AATGAATGTGAATATTAATATTAAGAAGAATAAAGTTAAATAAAAAGCACGGGTAGATTACCGGTGATGATATGTTAGCAAACTGTTTAAATGTTTGGCAAGAGCGGAGAAGCGTCCAGCTGCTGCAGTGCAGCAAACAGCGTTAATCGCTTGGAATGGACAACTTTTAGCAACATCAACCGGTCACCCTTTGCCGTTGCCGGTACTGCTCCTACTACTATAAACACAACATTTACACTGGAAAGTGGTTATATTTATCTTTAACTAAATTCCGCCATTACTCCCATTAACAAGTTTCTCCGGTTTAAGTAGCTGTAGTTTTAATTAATTATTGATATAACTACAACAATCATACACTAGTTATTACAGTTATGTTTCATCCTATTACTATTCCAATATATCACTTTGATTTATGGAAATATTACGTAACTTTTAACCACATATAGTTTCTATTCATTATTTAAAGCTTCTAAAAAGCTCAATTATATTTTTTCCTTATCAATAAAATTTTTTTATCTATTTATAATTATACTGTCGATATTTTAAGTTATTCTACTGACATTTCAGCAGTTTGGTTTTAAGGCAAGAAATTTCAAATGAGCTGAGATTTAATGTAAGAACTTAAATAATAATGAGTAATGGAAAATTATAAGTAGTACTCAAGCAGTCTGATGCTTTTTCTTGAGAATTTATCCTGCATTATTGAAACATTTAATTCCAGCCTTGGAAAATTTTAATAAACGACAAAACAGGATTGCAAGTTTCTGTAATTTAATGAGAAAATTTTATTAAAAAAAAAAATAAAATTGTCATTATGTAAAGTTTGAGTAGTGGTTGAAAAAGTCGCTTATTTGATAAATTGAAATCAATTGATAGTGTAAGATACTTGTGATTCCTTGGAATTTATCAAACGGTGAGCTTCCATTACCCTCTTATATTTTTCTTGGTGATTCAATAAGATAATTTATCTTGCTTATAATAATTTCATTTCTTCAATGCCCCTTTATTTTTTTCATCTATTTTCTTCAGGCTCTATTACCCGGGCATTAAATCATCCATTATTCTGAATTACCTTATTGTGATTAACTTTATTAAATTTAAGTAACGTGATAAAAAAAGTTTTTTACGAACAAAAGAGCGGATTGTAGCTTAGAAAATTTTCTACAAAAAATTTTTTATTTATTGACATTTAAATTTGTACATTAGTTATTGTTTTATTTTTCTTAGATAAAAACTTTTTATTAAAAAACCTAAATAAAAAATTGTAAAAAGAATTGATTGACTTAAATAGTCATCATTATAAAAAATGATTATACCTAAAATATTGATCTTAAACAAAAATATTATTATTATTTTTTATTATTATATCTACGATGAATTTAAAGTTTAATTTACACCTTGGTAGAGAAAGAGGATGAGAAAAGCAAGAGACTCGCATTAAATCATACCTGCCCAGCCGGATGACTGTTATTCCCATCTCATTCTACCCAGAAATGCACACGGTCATTAATTTTCATTAAGCACCAACAAAATTCACCCTTAGTGAAAATTTTATGCTGAATAAAAAATTCTGACTTTGTAAATTAAAATAAAAACAATAACAATAATAATAATAGAACCTCCGCTTTGTAACAACTAATAAATAAAATTACTAAAATAAATAAAATTTACTAAAATACGTCAAATTAATAAATAATTTACGAGTAGCATGTCGTCAAAGGACGTAATTATAAAAGGGAACGCGAATAAAAGCACAGAAATTCTTTTGTTAATATAATTAGAAAATAATGAAATTTTTTGGATCGGTCTGGGGTATCCTTTGGTCTGTACGGTGAATTTCTCGGTATTCCTCCCTCAGGCATTCGATGGATTCGAGTTAACCGGTGGAGTAGATAGTTTGAAGAGGATACTTGGCCTCGGGTGTGGCTTTGTACAGCACTCAAGGACTCGATACGACAATCGACTGCGTACTGGGAAATCGAGTTAATCATTGGTCACGATCCTATCCCTTGAGATCAAGGCGCAGCCCGAAAGCTTACGAGGATATTCAATCAATATATCAGCTCGAAGAGCTTTCATCAGAATTACTGTTCCAAATATAACACACCTGTGGTGGCGAAGCTCTGAAAAAATTACCAAATTTTCTCTCTTTAGGAATTAATTATGCAACTTTTAAAAAGTAACAAATCCCATAAAGCGCAACCACTGTATTTATTTTTAATTTCTTAATTACTTAATCCCTCAAACAAGTTTGGAAAAAAAAGAACCTGCTACCGCAGCAAAATGTTTCCAACGGAAATAGACTAAAAATTTACAGCGGTTAAATTTTTTTAGTTTGATAAAAGGGATACAGGAATGTTTATCACAAAACTAAACCATCAAATAAATCCATCTTGGCCATTAGTAGAGAAAACGTGTGGATGCATAATAGCAAATAAGCTCGCTTTTGAACTTAATGATTTAGCTACTCTACGAGCCCATTAAGATGAAGAGCCTTGGATACCCAATTACGGATCATTTCAAGTTTCGAGGATCTCGAGATATCAATAATCGTAATCCGTATTTTTCAAATCTTTAATTTTGTTCATTCATCCTTTGATTGAAATACAAGGAGTTAAGATTTTAAATTTTTAAGCTGCTAGATTTAATGATTTAAATGATTGTGCACGGAAAAAATAAGGGGATGAAAATAAAAACAAAGTTTTTTAAATATTAATTATTTTTTATTATCAATTACATTGATCAGTACTATTCTACATCGAAAGACATATTAGCACTTTGAATATCTAAAGTATTTACAATTAAATTATTTCAATAAGCTATAATACAAATAAATTATTTTAGATCGATGAATACTGTATACATATACATTTACATGTATCAACACACATTCACGTCTATTTATCTGTTTACATTTCCCAAAATCCATTTATTTATTTATTACACTAGTGTTCTATTATATTTCTTAGACTCTGGCGAAAGTAAACGGTAAACATGTATATTACATTAAATAAAATAATTATTTATAAATAATAATAGGATACTTGTATAATATTTTACAATAATACTCAATATTTTATGCCTGAGGCAAAATTTAAGCTACGGATCATTTTTCTACTTACAATTTAAATATACGACGGTTTTAAATTTTAACAATTAGATATTATTATTTATTATTATGTGCATCTTTTTCTAATCAAGTCTTTCATACTCTTATAAAAATCTAACTTAAACAAAACGAATAAAAACCTTTCTATTTAACAGTAAACTTTCCTTAGTTTTAAATAAGTTACAAAAAATATTTACTTATAATTTATAATCATCACTTATTTTGTCTTTTTTCATGATCAAAATCTTCGATGCAATTTTGAGGAGCAAACTGTTAGGTCTAATTCATTCAAAAGTAAAAAAAATAATTGTTTTTCCGGCAGTTACAGCTTTTTAACGTTTTTCCGTGTTTAGAAGCAAATGGCGGAGCGCGTGAAATGGCGGCGACGCATGCGCAGTAACTCGAGAAATTTTGATTGGGTTTTTTTGATGAAATATTAAATGTTTGCTCCTGTGTATAAATAAATTTAATTTAATAATAAATATATAAAAAATTAAACCGAGTTGAGATTCATAAAAAAAATTATTACTTAAACTTTTGGCCTGAATCGATTGCTCATTTAAGAGTTCTGAGATAAAGAGCAGCAATACTAAAACTGAGAGCTTTTAAGAGACTTGAATCAACTCGGCAATAAAACAAACCGAGACAACGGTGAGCTGAATTTTCATGAGAACAATCACCAGAAAGAGTATCCATACTATTTTTACGGCGAAAGACAAAACAATACTTTGATATAAATATATTCGCTTTTCATAAATATAATAGTTAATTATAAAATATTCCTAAATGCAAATTTAACGAAATTTTTGAGCACATGGCGGTTAAAGCGGTCGGGGTGTGCAGAACTTAACTCGACCACTAGAATTACTTTTATTTTTTAATTAATTATATGTATATGTATGTACATCTATAATATAACGATCTTTAGTTTTAAATAAAGTTTACATTCAGCGGATGAAGAATCGAAGAGCGAACACGTACTATGAATAAGTTAATAGTCGATAAATATTTCTTTTAAATTACAATTTGTTATTACTTCAATCAACAATTATTATGATAAACTATGTACAGAAATATATAAGTCATACAACAGTTTAGATTTAACTAACCGACAAGTGAACATTGCTAGAATTGTTTGTTTACGGGAGCAAACTTTGCTGATCTTTGTTAGGATTGCTATACCTTTAGCAGTTCGCGAATTCCACCTCATCTGTTTTCGACTCTTTTTTTTTTTTTTTTTTTTTTTAATGATAGCTTATATATTGAGATAAATTCTCGATGTTATTAATGAAAACAAATTGAAAAAAATTTATATCGAAAACATAAAATATGTATAAAAAAAATTAATTTATTCTTAAAAGAAAAATTTGGTTTTTTTGGGGTAATTTTTTTTTGTTTAAAATTTGAAATTTAATTATCAAAACAACATTGATCGTAATTTTCCTACTTAATAATATTAAATATTGTTCCAAGCGACTAAAATTCAAATTCTTTGTCAAGAAATAAAATACTGTTACAAAAATGCCCAAAATTTAACCAAATTTTTCTATTTTAATCTTAAAACTTTTCAACCATTCTCATTATGATATTATCTACACGGAAAAATTTAAAACTATTCTATAACATACGATGTTCAGTCATTCAATCTTCATTAACTATGCAGTCACAAAACCGTTGTTTCGTAACGTTTTTACTTGAATATTACAAAGACCGTCTGTGCTTGTAAATTCACCGACGATGATGATGATAATGATAATATTGATGATGAATTAGTATATATATTTATATTTAATTAATATTTCCTTTGAGTGGAGTCTATGGAGAAACAACGGAGAGCAAAGGCACTTATGCTTCCGTCTCAACACGACCAAGTGCGTTGGACCGGTTGTTTTTACGTGAATAAATAATGGCTGGCTAGGAGAAGGACCGTCGTCAATTGGGTGATAATTCGTACCTGGGAGGTGGTGGCGGCGCCGGAGACAATGCACTCACTTTGTGTGTAGAGCGAGCAGTGCATCTGTAAAACAGAAAGCAGACAAAAGATTGTTGTTAAGTAATTGAAGTTGAGTTTAATATAATTGGGTTCAATTTAATTTAGTTTAAGTAACGAGTTAAGGATGAGAATAACTGCACAAGTTCTACTCCGTATTACGTTTGATTGAATTTTATTTAATTACTTCTGAGGATGGTTTTACGTTGTGGAAGATTCGAGACAATCCAGTCGAGCTTACCTTAATTAGAGAGTTCGACATTCGGTCAAGAAAGTCTTTTGTGAATTCTGCTGTTTCTTCGCCGCACTTCCTTCGGACTGTGTGATGCGAGCATGCCAAAAATTCACGGAATGCACTAAAACATAATTGTTAAATTTTTTTTTATTATTCTATATTATTATGAGAATAAGAAAAATTTTGTGGCCAGTGTATTTATATGATAAAATGGGTTTTAATGGTTAAATTTGGTATCATTAGAAAGGTCTTGACCTGGAGTTGTGCCTTTTCAAGGTTTTATATCATTCTGACCGATAGTCAATTTATGATAATAAGTATTTAGGCTGTATTCGAAAATTCTCTATCTCTAGGTACATAATTAAGAAATGACCTTGTATCTTGTGAACTATTGACATTTTTTAAGATATAACCTCATCTTGATGTTACACTCATCAAGACCTTTCATTTGAATACCCACATCAATTTTTCATATATTTATATATATTATATACATGTATATATGAAAAATATATCAAAAATGCATGTGGGTACTCAAATGAAAGCTCTTGATGAGTGTAACATCGGGATGAGCTTATATCTTTAAAATATATATGTATATATAAAAAATTGATGTGGGTACTCAAATGAAAGCTCTTGATGAGTGTAACAACAGGATGAGATTATATCGTTAAAAACTTCAATTGTTAAAATAGTACAGTGCAATTTAACAAAAGTCATTATTTAATAAAGCAAAATTTTATTAAATGTAAAAATTTTGACGACGGGAAAAAATTCCAAGAGTGAGTAAGTTAAATATCATAAATTATACTAAGCAAGAGCAGAGTGATGGAACAATGAAATAAAGTTAAAATAAAACAATTAGAGTGAAAGAATAAAATGATAAAAGATAAAGAGGAAGTGAAATATAATTTTGAGGAAAATAGTATATACGAAGCAACAACGGGTGATATTATCTTTTCGTTTTGTATATTTTGTATATATTCATTACGAACACTCCTAACACTCGTATTCAGTTTTCCCGCGGGAATGTGTCGAGTCGTAGCTGGATGGTACAGTTGAGGATGTAACGTCATTAGCCTATCTGTGCTACGGTCTACTGCAGCTTTTGAACTCGTTTCCCTCCTGACATTCACTGGATACGATGCAGGATAGAGGATGGAGGAGGATCCTACTCATGAGCTGGCCACCAGGATAACTATTGCCAGTATAGAGTCGAGCGAGCGAAAAAGTAAACTAAATAAAAGGAAAATAAATAACAAGTGGGTGTGCGAGCACTGTACCTGTGTTGGAATTTCCGAAATAATTCACGAGTACGCGTATTATGCGCAGCACAAAATCCGTTATTACCTTTTTCTCCTCCCGCCCCCCGCCCCCCGCCTCCCGCCTGCCGACTGGCAAATAGACTCTACTCCTCCGCTGTTTTAATGTAATCTTGTATTTTGTAATCCGAAGAATTGAACATACGAACACACAGAGAAACGAATAACCGTGTGTGTTATTATGGGAATTCCCAGAGTGAGCATTGACGCAATAAATAATGGTAATTAGTTGGACACAAAAGGCCCTGGCGCATAAACGATAACGATGTTATTAATTCCTATTTATGGAAATTATTGTCCCAGCCGATACTTGACACAGTGTCAAGGCTCCTTTTCATATTCATATGCATATTTTAGTTTTGATTACATATTATCATTTCAATAATTTTATTATTATTATTATTATTATTCATATTAGCTCCTTGATTATAAATATTATTTACTCTTCAAAGGATAACAAGGCATTAACATCTTGGACGATGTTAATATTGTATGTTTTGGTATGTACGATATTTGGTTTTGGTTATATGTTGTTATTAATTTTGCTTATATGTACTTTGTTATTGTTTATAGAGCACCTGAGGAAGCAATAAATAATTGCGAAACGTTGCGTTAAAAAAAAAGTATTCATTTTGAAAATAATTCGATTATAATTATTAATTTTCACTATTGCCCAAATAATTAAAATGATATTGGTAAATTTTGTCCTGAGTAATTGCGTTAAATTTTCCATCAAAGTACAAACGTATTTACATATTTAATAACAGATAAATTCCAAGTTTAATATAATTAAATCCGATTACAAAAGGTATCCGGTCGAAAAATTCCATTGAAAAAAATTCCAACGAAGCATAAATGAATAATTCTTATTTAAATAAAAATCAAGACTCACCAACACACAGATTTAACGTTCTCTGAAGACTTTGTTGTGTTTTTGGACTCCAACTCAATTACTGACTGTTGATATCTCTTTGAGCAGAGCTCGTAGTCGGTTTGGACCTTCTGCATACACGGTGCATGCTTCAGAAAAGCTGAAACAAACAAACAAACAAATCATACATGCTGTTAAATAAAACGCGTGAAAGTACTCAGACAATTAATAGTCATTCGTTAAAATTTTTATCCCTCTTTAAAATGCTGAGAATTGAGTTTGATTGCATTCCATGTAATGGGCTGAAGCTTCATTAAAAGTTCCGTCAATTACAATCGCAACTATTAAACAAAATGGTAACTTGTGCTTCACGGACGGGAGTACAATTGTTTAAAATAAACATCGTTATTTTTATTTTTATACGCTTTGTCGTAACTTTTTTATTTTTACGATGAAAGGATTTTTTAATATTTAATTGGCTTATTAACTTTTAAAGACATTTTTTATAATTCCTGATTTTTTTAAAAATATCAAGAGAAATTGAATTATTAATAGGTCTGATTAAATTACCCCTCGTTATCTCAATCAGTGTAAAATAATCAAAGGAACGATAAGACTCAATAGCCATTACATAAGGGAGATAAGACGCGAACTAGCTCGTTGAATGGTGAATGGCGACTAGCGAAGGGTCGGAGCTTTTTGGCTGGATAATGTATTTAGCACTCGGAAGATTAGCAGCTCGGGACTCCGAGAATAGATTATGGACACAGTTTCCATTCACTAATTTGATCCTTTGGCAAACTAACCCGAGCGACGTCAGACATCATAATAAAGACACATTCACCGCATTTAATTATCACTATCACCAAATGAAACATGTAATATTTACCATCCTGATAGCTCCCGTCTTGACAGAGCTCCTTTATCGCGATATTAACGCCCTGATACAGCGAGTTGAAATTTTGTCTCTGGTTCTCCGGCATGCAGTTCTTGGTGTAAGAGTTTATGCACTTCATACTCGACTGTAAGTCCCTGAAAGCATTAAATAATCATTTTCAAATTTTTACCCTCTATAAAAGTCACAAAGTTAACTTGTTACTTTCAAAGTTTCTCCGTACTTTGTTTAATTAGTCAGAAATTCGTCCATAGGAATATTAATATTAATTATTATCTTAGTAGTAATTATAATTATAATTATGATTACAAGTGGAGTCTATTTAGCAAGCCATCATCAAAATTTAATATTGCTGGGTGGAGAAGGGTACTTAGACGAAAGCTACAAGATGGAACAGCACTATGGGAAAATTGACTGCGAACCACTCAGCATCAGTTCTCTGTTGTTTGCTGTCTGTTTTCTATTATGTTGAGTCGATCTTAACTGGAGCACCAGTGGCCAGCTCTTCAAGTAGACTTAGACTTTTACAGCTTACAGAGTTCCTATTTTCAGGAAAAGGACTTTATTATGCCTTCACCTTACTTCACGGCACTTGTATAATGAAGCAAGATGGTCAAACTTGTTAACAAGAGTTAATGGTGCTCTAGTCTTTTTAATTAATCGTCTACAGCTCTGCAGTTGTATTCATGTATATGTTTGTTTGTCGGAAAGTTTTTTTGCTTTAATATAAACTGGTGTGAGGATAATGAGCGAAGAATTTATGCCCCATTTGCGGCCCTTGATTATTTTAAGCACACACTTGACAGTAATTTTGTAATTTAGCTATTTAGCTTTTGTTTTTATTTCTTTAAAGATACTATAAAATAATTTCATTTTTTATTAAGACCAAAGAAATTTATTATAATTAGGCTGTATTCAAAAATGCTCTATCTCTAGATACATAATTAAGAAATTACCTTATATCTCGTGAACTATTGACATTTTTAAAGATATAAGCTCATACCGATATTACACTCTTCAAGACCTTTCATTTGAGTACCCACATCAATTTTTCATATATTTATATATATTATATATGTATATATGAAAAATATATCAAAAATGTATGTGGGTACTCAAATGAAAGCTCTTAATGAGTGTAACATCGGGATGAGGTTATATCTTTAAAAATGTCAATATTTAAGAAAGTACAGTGCAATTTAACAAAATTTATTATTTAATAAAGTAAAATTTTATGACTGCAAGGTTACTAGTTTATTATTAAATCAATTAGTTAATTTTTTTTAAGAATGAATATTTATATTAGAATTATAAAAAAAAATTAACACGAAAGTTATCGAAAAGTTAATTAAATCCAGAGACAATTAAAGCCACAAACTGCTCGCCAGAAATAAACAGAATAAATCAACTATAGAGTAATCCGTCATCGTGTATGGTAAAAGTAAATCTACACGATATTGCAACTATCGGATAACGTTTCGGATACAATTCCAATTTTACGGTCAATCCTCGACAATTTATATTACAAACCAGTGCTATATACAACGTATAACAAATAACACATAGCACATAGATGTATTCTCCATTAGTTCCTAAATAGATAAAATTTACAAGCAATATTTAACAATTAAAAATAAAATTGCAATATTTCACGGTTTAACGTCAATTATTAAAACCGAACTCCAAATCTCCGGTGGATATTTAAAAAAAAGATAAACTCACGGGCAAAGCGCTTGAAGTTCGCTTTTAGTGGTGACAAATCCTAGATTGTTGTTATTTGTAATTTTTCCAAGTGGCCTAGCGCACTTGAGAAGATTTTCCTGGCCGCACTCGTGCCCTCGACAGCTCGCCAGCACTGTAACAATAATCGACAAAAAATAAATTAAAAACATTCAAACGTTATTAAATAAAAGATAATTGCTGGTTATTATTATTATTATTATTATTATTATTATTATTATTATTATTTTTATTATCAAATTGCTTTAATTAAAAAATAGTTATATTAATAATAATGATAAAAAGGGAAACATCTCGGCAAGGAATTACGGGCAGTTAAATGAACATTTCAGACGTCTGACCAATCTCGAGTTTATCTACTTCAGTGTGTTGCTCGAGTTTTTATTTTTGATAGATCAAAAGGATTACCGTAACTAACGATGAGTTCAAATAAAAAGTAAAATGTGAACATACTCGGTAAATAGATGATGAGATAATTGGATGTTTGAGAGATAAAAGCCAGTAAAACATATTTTAGAGTTAATTAATTAATTTATCCAATATACTTCATCGTATAAAGAACATTTTTAATCTTTTTTTTTATCAAAAGAAATTTTCATTCTGTTTTAAATAAATGTAAATATGATAGAATTATTTTTATTAATTTCAAGATTCATATTATTATTATTATTATTATTATTAAAAAATAATAAAATTTTTGAATTAAATACGAAAATATTGTCTAGTCCTAAAAATGATCATAACTTTTAAAATAATGATTTTTTGAAAAAATTATGAGAACAAAATTGTAGCTCAAAAAATTTCCTACAAAAAATGTTTTTATACTATAAGGTTATCTTCAATATTAGTAAATTTAATTAGTAAAAAATAAAAAATCAATAGTTACTATAAATTTAACAATAACTTCTGAAATATTTTGATGATTATTATTATTATTAGTTAAGAAAAATTGAAAAGAACTCTTAAAGAAAATATTGAAGGAAATTATAAAAGAAGTTGGATCTATAAGGGATAAATTAACCGGTTGATCAATCATGATTTACAAATTCAATGGAAATCCTGTCCGATTCAGAGGATTGTTAAATTCAATTACAGCTTGTCGAAATTACCAGCGTACTGGACGGATATCGAACCACAAGTTTCTACCCTGAGCTTTCGACATAAATCTACTTTCAAGTTATCCACCATGTTCAAACTAAACTTTATTCCAGTGAAATATTCCCCAAGACATCACTTCCTCTCAAATGCGATCCATTCCAGATCCATCGCGGAAAAATGTTTTAGAATATAACTTACAAAGTCAGTCATCATTTGTGTTAAAGCATTGCAAGCCCGTCAATAAATATATATTGTTTAAATTATGGATTGTACAGTGAATTGGACATTCGATATTGCATTATCGAATTACCTTAATTAAATTCCCTCGCTACTGTCAGTAACTTCGGTAAATATTTTGTTTTTATTCAATACTAAATATTTCTCATTATCCTCGATTGCTGTAAAACGATACGTCCCTCTGTTTTAATTACTTACCGATGATTAACAAGGGCAATTTATATTTTTCTAATGGAAATTAAATACTTTTATTTTAATACGATAATTACTGGCATTTAATAACAATATGTTGATTAATTTTTTTCGTTTTAAAACAAAATTTTAATTATCTTTCTGTCAATATTTTTTGCAATGGAATTTTTCGACCGAATACCTTTTGTAGTCAGATTTAATTATATTAAATAATATATAATTTTATACTTTGATAAAAAATTTAATCAAATTGCGAAAGATAAAATTTACAATATAGTTTTATTTAATTACAATAAAAATATTAACCATAATGATAATAATTTTCGTTTAAAATCAATATTTTAGAAGTTATGACCATTTTTAGATAATTATTCGGTATTAAATTATATTTTTTAATAATAATAATAATAAAGCGCTCATGATTGAATTTATCCGTAAATAATGAGAAGAATCTCGCCAAATTAAAGCTGAGCTTAATAAACAAATTCATGATATAATTTAGCCAGTCAATCCGGGAATATAAATACCATTAATTCAACACCCGCAAAATCTGTTTAAATAATATGCATTAATTAGAGCGGAGCTTCGTAGATATCGAATGAATGAATATCAATATCCACTGAAATCACAGCAACGGCAAATGATTATCATTTTATCGTAAATGTTAATTATTTCTCGTATTACATTATGCATATGCCCACGTGGTGGTAGTTACCCGTTAAAATAATACGCCGAATCTGAAGATAAGCCAAAATAATTTGAAATTAAATTATATGTCGACTATTGTCCCCGTAATTGATTAAATAAAATTGATTTTAATCTAATAAAATAAAGTTAGCTTTGTGACAATATCACCAGGATAATGAATCATTGTTGTATAAAGCCGCTTATAATAAATTACAGAGCTTAACTATATTAATTATTTCGTATTTAAATTATTCATATTTCTGTTATCGTGATATAACATCAATGGATTTATATTTTATAGAATATAATCCATACGTATAATGATATGAGACGTTTTTTTTTTTTTTACTTCCCAAGTTTGTTTTACGGCTGATAATTATGCTTAATGAAATTACTCCGTGAGGAAAGAAGGGTCATACATATTTATTTTAAATGTAACTCATAATGTAATATAATATAATACATTACTCGGTAAAATGAATTTACTAACATGGTGAGCAAACTCCATATGGTCGTCCGGGTTCCATAAATTTATGGTCATTTTCGAAAATGGACTACGTTGGTTATAGCACCCTCGGGATAGAAATTACGCTCGGTCGTTAGTTAATTCTCTTCTGCATTTGCGAATCCACGGAAAAAGGAGTTAAGATTTTAAATGTGGGATCCAGGCGGACCGCTCCCGGTTCCTTTGAGTAATGGAACTGTTTAATTTTGATAATTATTCGCAACTGGTGATATTAATCCAGTACAGTCGATAATTATCGTATTTTCTCTTGAGAATTCCATCCAGAAAATTATTATTATTTATTCATTGATGAAAAATATAAAAATTATCTTTAAAATTCATTTTCATCTTTAAAAGAAAGAAATTCCCTTTTAAAACAAGTACCTGTATGTACTTTTTGATCATATGTGTAAATTTTTCACATATGTGAATCTTAAAAATTTATAAAAATAAGTCTATTATGTTTATATTGATTTAAAAGAGAATTGAATTTTCTATTAAGAAACAATAATAATAATAATAATAATAATCTATATATTATTAAGAGAATAAGAAAAATTTTATGTCTAGGATTTTACGATGATAAATATTTAGGCTGCATTCGAAAATTCTCCATCTCTAGATACATAATTAAGAAATGACCTTGTATCTTGTGAACTATTGATATTTTTGAAGATATAAGCTCATCCCGATGTTACACTCATCGAGACCTTTCATTTGAGTACCCACATCAATTTTTCATATATTTATATATTTTATATATATGTATATATGAAAAATATATCAAAAGTGCATGTGGGTACTCAAATGAAAGCTCTTGATGAGTGTAACATTTGAATGATCTTATATCTTTAAAAATGTCAATAGTTAAGAAAGTACAGTGCAATTCAACAAAATTAATTATTTAATAAAGCAAAATTTTATTTATTTCAAGTTCACAAGTTACATAGTGACTGCAAGTTTGCTAGTAATAATAATAATAATAATAATAATAATAATAATAATAATAATAATAATAATAATAATAATAATAATAATAATAACTTATTTTAAAAAAGCGACAATTTACATCTATAAAATAAAATAAATAACTAAAATAAACAAGGAAGTGTTTGAGTTGAGCATTAGAGGTATCGCTAACAAACACTCGAGCATTGAGTATTGTGTGACCTGGCAAATCGTAGGTGAGAAGAGCTTAGAATTAGCAAACGTGAGAACCCGTGAGAATTCGTCACCAAGTACCAAAGGCAATAACAATAACAACCACACAACAACACAATTGGTACATGTGTGCATAGTATTGAAACAGATGTATGTGAGAGTAAAGACTGAAACTAAAGATTTAAAAGTAAAGAATCAAGAGTTAAGTGTGTATTTATTTATAACAGACTACACAACTTAACGGGAGCGTCGTACGATGCAAACCTGACCAATGAAAACTCGAGAAGTGGTCTGGCCTTGCGGCTGGTGGCCTGTTGTAAAAAGAACAGTCAACAGTCAACAGTGACGCATGTAGAATAATTCACAATACACAATTAATCGACGCCACTCTGATATATATATTATACACACTTAAACGATTCCTTGGATGTGTTTGTAGGTATTTGTAAGTTTATGTTGTATTGCCGTACGTTCACCGACAAGCGATCGCCACCAGCGTTCAATTAATCCTACACTATTCTGTTCTTTAATCTTTTTGTCGCCGTTCTGCTCTGCCCTTTTTTATTTAGATTTATACATTTATTAGATATAGAATTCTCACATTCCTCTTGTTCCTTTTTCAATCCAATCTAGGTATTAGATTGCTCGCGGTTTCGATTTAAAAATAGATGATATGAGTCGGAAAAATGAGAAGGATTAAATTGAATTTTCATTTAGTTTTGTTTCAAGGATATGTATTTGGTTTGTACAACCGGAAATTTGGAATTATCATATGTTGGAGTGACAAGTACTGGCGTTAGTACTATGTCGATACCAAGATAATCGTGTCGTTGGTATATTGGTAAAGCCAAAGCACCGTGACCCAAAGTCACGCGACGGACATACTGGCACGCTGAGCCAAGAGATGCTGAATTCAGAAGGTGTATGTTTCTATTATATGTTCTATCGAAGATATATATTATATATTATATGAGCAGGGTCAACGTCGCCAAACGTTGCGTTATACATGGCTATATATTTTTTATTTACTGTTAATAAATTTATTTTTAATTAATATTTTTTATACAGAAAAAATATTTGGTATTTTTTTATGAAAATTAAGTTAGCCGACATTTCAAAATTTTTATTGAAAAAATTTCAATTAAACAATTTAAAAAAAAAAATTTCACATGTAAAAAACTTGAAATACTATAAGTGCATTTTTTTAGAAATACCTTTTTAGTTGTAATTTAATTAATAAAAAAAATCCAAAATTTTTAGACGTCTGCTAACTTCAGTGTCATATTTTTTTAATTAAGAGGATAAAAAATTTGAGTCAAAATATTTTTTTTATTTTATTTGTTATCATTTTTCATTAAAAAAACTATCATTTTACCTTATCTATTGAAAATTTTTTATCTTTTCAAGTTGTAAAGAAATAAAAAAGTGTTTAAACAAAACTTTGACACACTTTTTTATTAAAGAATCCCAATAAATGTTTATCAACAGTTAAAAAAATATTTATTAACAGTTAAAAAAAAATTATTAAATACCAAAAAATCCTTCTATCAGTGTAAAATAATTTAAATACATCAAGAATTGTCGCTCCAACTTTAAAATTTCATAAATCAATGTTAATGTCTATTTCAATTTTAAATTAAGATTAAGACACTTGTCTTATCTACGTCACTATTACGTCGCCAAGTATTTTCAAGCGTAATCGCAACTATTAGTGACTACATTTGTTACACAATGAACTTTCATAAAGAAAAAAATCATTCAGCATTTTTAAAAATTTAAAATCACAATCTGTAATTAAAAAAACAAATTTGGGTGAAGAAATAAGATTGAAATAAATTCTCCCTCTGGCGAACGGATAAAATGTGCCTGGTAAAAATACTAGAGTTGTGTAGAACAGAGTAAACTAGGCTCTTGGGTTCCATTATTTTTAATTTCACTTGATATCACTCGAATTGTTCACGCGTACCCAATTAAATCTAACTGCTCGAGCTTCTATCCGACGTCGCCCGATTAATATTCATCTGTTCTTTTATCTCCGCGACTTTAATCTTAATATCACTTAAACTTGATCGATCATTAATCATTGATTTTATTCACTCTAAGCACAATAGAAGCAAATTTAATAATAAAACTATTCGGAATTTAATCTTAAAGTACGAAATGCTTCAGAATATAGTAGGCCTGATCTCGAGAGCAATATACAGCTCGTGCAAAAGATTAATTATCGAATAATATATATTACTCAGGACATCAAATTGGCTCGATCACGTTCTGGTTCTTCCGACCGATAAATTTCATTAGTATAAGTGGATTGATGAACTCAAGGGTCTGTCTTCATACTGAGCTAGAGGGTAGATGCTAAGTAACCTTCGATATAGTAAATACAACATCCGGTTGAGAAAGATGCTCAGGATGACCATTAATTCTATTTCCTCGATGGGTCGACGTCTATAAGCTTTTGAATTTTAATTAGCTAAGAATTATTTTTAATGTTATTTTTTCTTCAAAAAAAGTGGAACAATTTCACGGCGAATAAAAAGAGATTTAGAAACGATTCAATAATCCAAGAAAAATCGCTTCTGTAATGTATACTGGGCTTGTATATCATTAATAATATTACCTCGATAGATAAATAATTTCTCTAATACCTAGAAAACTTTCCCCATATGTTGTAAAATAAGATTAATTCATTCTGAAGCCTAGCAATTTATCCAAACTATTTCCGATCAATACTCAATTTTCAAACTTAAAAAAACTTACATAAAATAATTCTGTCAAAAATTGGGCAGCCGAATAATAATTTTCGTGGTCAAACGAGTAATAATTTTTCCACAACAGAGAATTGTTTTCATAATTACGTTCCCGAGTATTGGATCTGCTAAATGGCATGACTATTGAACTGAAAATAAATTGCCGTGTATTGAATAATTTTCCGCGCTCTCATAATTAAAAAATTCTCATTATCGCAAACTCGGAACTGAATTAAAAATAGTATAAATAAATTTATTATTGAAACTCGAGGACGAGTAATGAATTCACATATTTTTTTGCTTTTTGACTCACTATTCGTTTGCTCATGTCTAGTTAACGTAGTTAGTCCAATAACAATAATAATCATAGAGTAAAGAATTGATAATTTGAAATTTTTAATCAACGAAAAATCCGCTGGATTTAACTAGGTTAGATCTGAAAGCTAAATAGAAAAGTTTTATTTATTTATTTTCTTTTTACTTCGTAACTCATGCAGGGCTTCATCTTATTACCGGTGGGTACTCTTTATTGTGAAGTACATGTAATGATCCCCGAGAAATATTCTCTCATGAGTATTATCAACATGCTGCTTAAAGTTAATGATGCTTGGAAACCCTTAATTACTTTAATAACTGAGACAGTTTATGGCTTTATGAATAATCCAAAAATTTTTCTGCTTAATTCAAGACAATGTTAATTTTTTTAGAGTACTCTGCATAAAAAATAGAATAATTAGAAAGAATTTTCAACATTCTTAAAAAATATTTACCACCCTAACTTTTGGAATTCAATAAAAGCCCTTAATTAATCAACAAGGACATAATTAATGACCGAGGTGAGTAATAAAGACTCGCGTGGTTAGTAAAATAAAAACCCGCGGTAAAATGGATGTTTTGAATGAAATTCTCCAGGGTAGGTGCACACGTTGCGTTTGCGTTCTGTCAGACCAGACATGGAGGAAGCTTATTGATCGCCGCTGTATAACACAACCTGGCTCCAATGTATATAATCATTGTTTCTATACCGTACCGGTTCACGAAAGATCACAACAACATTATTTATATACTTTTGTTGCCAGGATAAATATTGTTCACTTAGGTCTCTCGTTTTATTTTATTTGTGTTTAGATTTCCGTCTCTATTCGCTAGACTAAACTGTTTTTGGAAACGTTGGAAGCTTTCTTGAAATGATATTTAGATCTACCATTTAGTATTTAGTATTCCGGTGCATGCATGCCAAGGGTTTGTTTATTTCGAAATTAGTAGGACACGATCTTGTACATATACTATGTCTGCAGTTGCAGTCTGATGAAATGCCAAGCCTCGAATAATAAGTTCGTACTTGTATTTGTGTGATATCCAGACAATAGTTATGAAAACTTATTCTAAATGTGTAAGTTTGGTACAATAGCTAATGTAACTTGACATCTATTCGAGCTGTCAGAAAGTTAAACACAGATGTTTGAATTATTAATATATATGTGAGTATTCTAAGCCGGCCAAATTTAAGATAAAGTCTATACGGATTTCAAACTTTTATTTCTTCGTGAATTTATCAAAAATAAATTATTTAACCAATTTCAAATCTTTTAATGTCAACAAAAAATGATTAAACATTCCTCATTTATTCTAAAACTTTATCCGAATCCAATTTTTTTCCTCAATTTTTATTCATTCCACATACTTGAAATTGATTTTCCAATTACACGGCTAATATCACGTTCAATCGGTTTTTTTCCCCATATAATACAATACTATCGTATAGAACCAGTAAATTTCCATTATATGACTTTTACAAAATAATATCATTCAGCAAAAAAGTCACCAGGTTCCGCATAAACGATATTTGATGTATTTTTTTCTATTTTCTGAATTGAAAAGTGGGTTGAGCTTTTATGCGACCACAATATAAGTACCCCATTGTCTTTCTGGCGTGCATTAAATTTCCATATCCACGTCGATAGTCACATAATTGGGCTTTTAAAGCTACGTTTTAGATGTTCGGATAATTGTTCCGTGTATTTTTATGTGTATGTATTGATTAGCGCGAAAGTAGTTCAATTGCTGCGTTGAACTATTGGCATATATTATATTATAATATTAGAATTGAAGCTGATTGAAAAGAAATTTCCAAAACGGAAATCATAAGAGAGTCCAAATATATGCAAAGATACATATTATAGAGCCACTAAAATTTTATAAACTGACACTATAAAGTTAATGTTTAGTTTATTACATACTGCATGCGTTCTGATGGGCAACCACTGGTTATTTCTTAATAAAAAAATTAATGGCATGCGAGAAAAAAGCCAAGTCTCGTGGGTCGATAGCAAATAAGTCGGGGTTAAGATGATAGGATGAAAGCTGTATAATAGTCTACTATACCATACCGCAGTATGTGCTATAAAGTATGTTGTACGTGGCTCTGGACTATGCTGAGGAATAAATAGGGCGACATAGCGCGTTCTCACCACTCCATTTTATTTCTCTATCTCTTTCTAAACAACAGACTCTCTCTTATGCTGAAACTCTATATAATACTGTACAGTAATGTGCAGGCAAATAACAACAGCATATAATTAAATAAAATAATAAGAAAAATTATCGAGAGGAAATAAAGGTCAAATTTGAAATCGATTAAATATAACACAAACACGTCTAGACAATCTCAATGGTATCATTCTGCTTATATTTACTGAGGGAGATGAGTTTAGTATCATTGGATGAAAGTGCTATCTAATTTCATCCCCTTTGTTAAAAGTATGACATGCCGCTAGCTGTAAATGAATGGTTCATTGTCTTGCGATTTCGTTATGATTACGATTTAATTTGAAGATATTTCTGGCCCTGTTTCATTTTCTTGAACACTGAAGGAGGAATTTAATAACTGTTGATGTATTCATTTCTTTATAAACCTCAAACATCATTTATCAACACGACAAAGCTTATTATTTTTTTTTATTTTTTTAAAAAAACTTCTCACAATTCAATACAACAACAAACGTTTTAGCTCACTAAAACGAGTTTTTAAAAACCAAATCCCAGAACATCAAGGAGACTATCTGAAAACTTCCATAGAAGGTAACAGAATACAAAATTCGTATAAAATATAAATAAAATCTATAATCTGTAATCTGTAATCTCTAAGACTGAATTCCATCGATGCATCCTGCAACGTAAAAAATAACAAACTACTCAGTCCCGATATAAAAAAATCTATAAAAATAACTGAATAATAAAAAGTGGTTACTGAGCAAGGTATTGTTTGCGGTGTTGCAGGATGCACGCGGTTGGATTGCACTCGGCGCTGGCCATCAAGCGTCAAAGAAACCGGCGAGATGAGCAGCGACGAGCCCGCGAGCGCCGCTACAGTGCGCAATCCGGGGAAAGCGGCCTGACGTCTCCTAGAGCCTCGACGGGGTCCTTGGACCGGCACCACCGACACCGTCATGTCATCCAGCAACACCACGCCGGCCAGGGGATGGTCGACTCCAAGGTGGTCACCTCTATCGGGATGCTCCACATCGGGGTGGTCTTCCTCGTCCTGGGAGGCTTCCTCCTGGGCAGCGGACTCCTCCCAGGTGACCTGGCGACCTGGAGCTCCAAAGGCTCCGGTGGCTGGTGGAACGAGCTGGTCGCCACTGGGCTCTTTGCAGTTGTCGTCGGAATCTTCCTGATTGTATTAAATCGCGTAATTGCAAAGCGGGAAGAAGACGACCTAGAGGAGTACGTCCAGAGACAACTCACCAGGTCCAGGTCCGGCCACAGACTCGAGAGGGACGTAGAGACCGGAGGACTCACCACCAGACATGCCAGGAAAGCGAAGCAGCTCAAGAAAATGACCTCCCTCAGCTCGATCGAGCTTCAAAGCGAAAAAACCACCAGCTCTCCCCCCAGAAGTCCTCCTCCCGCGTATTCCCCACCTCCAGTTGCGAATGGGGACCACTCGGTCCAGCCGCCACTCTTTTTAGAGCAGATCACCGAGGAGGAGATCATCAGCGACAGGCTGGAGACCTCGACTACCAACAGTCTCAGTCCAGGGTCGCCAAGCGAAACTAGAGAGCTACTGCGCAATAATTCTCGACACTCTAAGCATAATGGCACTCACACCCCCCAACACAACCACAATTATCACCATCACGACGAGCATCCTCCGATTTACGTTTCTGCTAGGAATTAATTAATTCACTAATTAATTGTTTAAGGGTCTTAATAAGCACCACGGAAAAGGTTATTTTAGTTATAAAGAAGGATTTTGATTGGTAGTTATGATAGGTAAGGATAGTGAATTACAAAAATGTTGATTGCGAACACCAAATTATTATTATTGTTTTTGTCTAAAGATTATTTATGTTCGGTTGTTTATTGTAGTTATTATTACTATTATTATTATTATATGTATAGTTATTGTTAATCTTTATACTTTGATATTTTAGCGAGAGTTCAATCATTTATCGATAATTGCACCCGTAGGGTTTAGTTAATTGTACACGTAATTAATATTTTTAATACTAATGATAGTTCGCGGTTATAGTTAGTTAGTTGATTATTATTACTTTGATTGCCAATTTAGTTCTCAGAGGATCAACGACTATTAGCAATTACGCCGAGATAATTCAAGTAATTTGGTAGTTTTTTATAGGAGTAATTAAATTAATTATCTGTGAAGAAATTTTTTGATATGGTTTGTCTTTTTTGATGGTCATGATATGGCTTGATATAATCAAATATGCCTCTATATATTGTGTTTGATTAAAATGGTGTTGAAAATCTCCAACAGACGGCGCATGGCCACTGAATCGTCTCACTATAAGAGAGTTAAGTTTAATACCATAAAATTTTTTCACGGATGTTATTAATTAAGAAACGAAAAATTATAAAATTTTAGAAATTACAATCTCTAATTAATTATAATTACAATCAAAATTTCTAGTTACATAAATAATAACTTCAATTTTTATAAAAGTTAATCAATGTCAGTATTTTGTTGCTTACGCGTATTCTGTAAAAGATCTAAAGTAATATAAGAGCTCATTGATCATCAGTGACATATCGTCGATACAAGTAATTCAGAGAGATATATAAAAAGAACATTATATACATAAATAATATTCGCTTATATTTTCAGCAGAGTACAGATAAAAATCAATACATCTATTATATATCGTAATCGATAATAATAATAAATATACGAAAATGATTTAAATACAGACGTGATTGACGGACCAAGGCAAATGTTGCAAAATTATCACCGGCGACATTATCTAATAAAATATATGAAAATACGAAGCTATCACAAATATCACTTGCAACTTGCAATCGCATTTTTTAAATAATAAATTCTTTATATAAGTATATTGAATATTAAATATACAATTATAGGTTAATTTATTATTATAATTATAATATTAATAAGCCAAATATATACTCGTTTATAAAATTCATCTTTACACAGATTTTACATCGATGTCGAATGGATTTAAATAATTATTTATCTGTCTCGTCATCCGAATAAATAACCGGGATCGATTACAAGTCTAATAATTATTTGGATTACGCAAGTCTGCTCAGAAATATATATACATCTATTATTTATCATTTATATATATTATATTAGATCATAGAAGATAAAAATTATAAATTGTTTACAATCTTTTATTATATATAATAATATAAGTATACACGTTTAATAATATTTAAGCTAGTGAATTAATATTATTAAAAGTATATTCCAATTTTTAATACCTCAAATTATTTTGCGTTATAGCTTAAGCCTTTGAGAAATTCTCCGAAACTTTTTTTTTATTATAATTGAAGAAATTATTATTATTTTTTTGTTATATTTTAGTAAAACAAATTCATGCAGATGTTCTGATATCAATTTCAATTTTCGAATAAAAAATTCTATTAAGAAAACTTTTTATTAAGATTACAGATAAAGTACTTATTATTGATCTCGGTAAAGGGAAGGGATGAAACGGACGTTTAATTTTTAGGCAATCATGATTTTCTATAAAATATTCAACTGAATAATGTTGGATAAATTTTTTTTTTCAATTCCTCTTAAATCAAATTAAGAATTCGTTTTGTTAAATAAAATTTATATTGTTCCTGAGAATTTCTCGAAGAAATAAAATTGTGCTCGGGCGCTACTATTCTGTGATTTAAAAAAGAAATAAATCGATTCACATATACAAGCTAAGTGAAATCCTTCAAACAATCTTATTCTATAAAAAAATTATTATTTTTTATCATTATTATTATTATAAAATATTACGCACATAGGTGTAACATACACATGAATAGAAAAAGGGACATAATACATGCGCTTGCATTTGAAATGCATAAAAAGGTAATTTTATCTGAATTCTGCATAAAGGAAAGAGCTGTCAGTTAAAAATGAACTTTTCAGATCTTTAATTTCATTAAAGTGCCTTTTTTATAATTTTATTTCATTTACGTCACTCCATTTATTATCTCACACTTTTAATACTTCTATTAATATTTTAAAGTCTCTGCGAAATGTCTAAACGCGAACATTTTGGATCTTTAATTAATTACCTTTTTTAAAATCGAGATTTAATTAAGCGCATGACCTGAATTTCGGGAACACTCCGGTATATACATATTTAAGTATTTATGCGAAGAAATTCTAATAAATATCTCTGAGTTGACAAAAAACTAATTATTTGCTAATGTTAATTGCAATAATTAATTTTTTACCATTAAATTAATGATTTTTTTATTTAATTAATTGGATGAAAAAATATAAAAGCAATTAAAAATAATATCGTTTAAAAATTTAAAATAAACAAAAAATTTAAAGTTAAATTACGAAAAATTTAATGGATTTATTTTATCAAATTACCTATCTCGGTATAAAAACAGAGTCGTCAGCTCAGTAATGTTTATTTGAAAATTCGATGTGAATGAAACCGATTATTTAATATTTATGAAAACAAATCTTGCGTGATATACTTGTATGCATATAGTGTTTAACTTTTAATTTAATAATTATTAAGTGAAGTAATTTAGAACTTTAAGCATGAGCAGAAAGGTGACGATTTATCGGGAAAATAGCTCTAAGTTACACAAAAGTAACAAAACTAAGAACATATAATGAATCTTGGCTAATTTAATAAACATAATAATTAATAAATAATACCGTAATAGTTATTTATAATCTCAAAATTTACATGTAATTATATTAATAATTAATATTGTAATATTGTAATTGTAATAGTAATTTATTAATATTTCTAATAAGCTTTCTTATTGTATTCAACTTTATTCTATCACTTAAATATTTGACGCACGAATTTTCGAGAATAAACTTTATTAACGCTCCTTAAATATTTTTCAATTATTTTATTAATATTATATTAAATATTTACAGCAATCGCAAAAAACTTTTCGAAAGGTAAAATTAAGACGGTTAAATATTTACGGTCGAAGAGATGAGAAACTACAAAATGTTCCTTAAATTTAACGATAAGAGATTTCTCTCCGAGAATTTTATTTTTCTACTAAAAAACACAAGAACAGTTTCTCCAATACGAAGAATTGATTACCTCAAGCCTCACTTGATTTTACAGACAGAAGCTTTAAGTGATTGAATCCCGTGTTATCTTTTGCCAATATCATTATTAATACATATTCTTGAAAAATATATCGAGTCAACAATTCAAATGTAAATATATGCTATATAAACTTATCCAATTTATTTTTACAAGACTTATTTTCTTCAGAATTTTTATTGAAATTTTTTTCAATATAAAGAACCCTTATTTCGTTCCACCGTCAATTTATTTCGGTCTAAGTTTCGTTTGAATCTCCTAATTTTAGATAGAAAAAAAATTTAATACGGCCTCACTCAAAGAAAGGTTGAATTTGGATCCGGACAATTCAATTAGAATGAAACGAAAAAATCTGCTGAATTTAAACTTATTCTTCAGAAATAAATTTATTTTAATTATAATATACATTCAATAAATTTTCCAACAAAAGTATAAGCTCTTGAAAAAGAATAGCGGGGAGGAAAATTTATGTAATTCTAGTAACACATGGCAGTGGAGCAATAATGCCCTTTTGAATAAGACACCTACGTCCTTAGCATTTTGTTTTAACATTCTCAGTCACGCAATACTTAAATAATAGGATCTGCAGCCGTTAATTTTTATATTTATAAAAAAATCAATAACCTAGTGATTCACTTTTGCCGTCCTGCATTTTTAGAAATTATAAATTGAATTAAATAACATCTAAAATATTTTTGAAACAATGAATGACTTTAATTTCCGATTGGGGTGAATAGATCATTATTGTGCCGACCGAAATAGTACATTTAATTTCGTTATTAGTATCACGCTCTGAGTTTTCGATAAAATATTATATTACTTGCTCTCTATTCAATTACGTGAGCGAAATTTGTGATAAATTTAATAATTCTCCTTCAAGTTATTATATTAATAGAAAATAATAATTTTATATTTAATTATTGTTTGAATTTTTCTGATATATTTTTTTCTTAAGAAAGTAAAATTAAAAGAAGAATTAATTTCGTTTAAAGCGAACCTTCTGTTGAAGTTAACAGTGACAATAAAAGACTTATTAGCAGAACAAACCCTAGCATTGTATTAATTCAAAGTAGGATCAAACGTTGGCTCTGAAAATAATTCCTTATGTAAAGCAAGTTATTGGTGTAAGAAGAAAGCTTCATTTGAATTATAATTTCCAGACTTATAAGTTTAATCTTCATTAGACTTGGGCTTCGGATTCACCCACTGTTTGAGTTTGTATTTTGTTTATTCTGCTATTAATCTCAACGCTTTATTACAATAATTACTTTTTGAAAGTATGTCAAAAATATTATTAAAATAAAACACCACCGAGGAGATAATTTTTTATAAAGTTTAAAATAAAATATCAAGATGGAATAATTTTTCATTAAGATTATTTCACCACTTATTGCAACGGTTGGAGAAGTCTTGAATATTTTCCAGACCAGAAAAAGCGGTATTATGAGCTTTTGATCTCAATAAAGCTTTAAATTGTATTAATTTATGCATAATGTTTTTAAAATTCATATTTTACTACTCGAGAAAAATAAATGTAGGCAACATCTGTAATTGTAACTGCTGAAGTATTATTTTTATTGAAAAAGTAAAATAATAAACGAGAGTACTTATTAATTTTCAAACTTTTTCAATTTAAAGCGTCAATTATCAATTGCTTATTCCTTCGTACTTTAGTAATTGCAATCTCGACAATAAACATTAATAACAAAACTCATTTTTTATTTTAATATACTTGTTTGTACTGTTTAAAATGTAAAATAAGCGAGGCTTGTTTAATTTTAGCTCGAAAGTTTTAAAGTCCAGAGAATTTCAGAGAGGAATTTATTGAGCGAATAAAAAAAGGATGAAGCTTTAAAGGGCGACCATTTTAAAACTACAAAATTAACTTTTTCGAATTTATAAACAACAAAGGATTGATTGCAGCTTATAGAATTTAGTTTTGATAATTACGTTAAAATGAAATTAAAATATTTAATTACTTTTGAAACTAGCCTCGATACTCGAGAATCGATTAATTTGAGCAACAATTTCAATTTATTTAAACTTTTTCATTGAAAAAAAAAATTTCAATTCTTTTATTATCAAGCTAAAAAAAAAAAGAGTAATGTTCCGAATGTTACTCTAGTAATTAGTCCAATGATAATTCAGTATGATAAATGATAAGGAAAAAAATGCACGCCGGCGTACAGCAACATTATCATTATGATAATAATTAGTACTAAAAAGCTGTGATAACGAAGCCTAGTCTTTTAAAATCCTTTTACCCTTGATTTTACAAAGGCAGTGTAGTGAATACTGGAAACTGGATATCACAGAAGCACCATAGAATCCATGGGACAGAAAGCTCGGAAGTCTTTGCCTGAGCTGGCTGTACGCGGGTCTGGAACCAAGCACCAAGCTGGTGGGTGGCGGGAGCGGGATTATAGTGACGTATCGACCGCGCGGGGTCATTCGAGGTCACTAAAGTTCACAGCGCGTTAGTTCACGAACCTGTACTCGCAGAAATAACCGAACGTTGCATCACACCATTGTATCATTGCCATTACCCGGCAGAAGCAGAAGCAAAAACCAATGATCACTATCTCCGTCAAATGTCAGACAGATCATGATAAAAAATAAAAAATATTTTCATTCGAAAATATTCATGTGTTGGTTTAATTTCAGGATGATTGGAGCAATGCCAGCGGTGGCTGTACGCCATGAACGCAGGAGACAAGAGAAAAGGTTGAAACGTCCGAGCCAGCTATATCTCGGCGGACAATGGCTGCCTCCTCTCCAAGGTTCTCCGCCGACTCCCAGCCCTCATGGACAAAATAGCCATCTTGATCCTCTCCCAGAGCTCTATCTCTGTGGCAAGGTATTTTTTTACGGATTATTAATTTAATAACTAATATTATTAATTAATTAATCCTGATCTCAGATATCGGGGCTTCATGCAGTGGTAATTTGCTTACTATTGGGCGCCATAGTCTTGGTAGTTGGTCTAGTTCAACTGGCGCCCGGAGCAACGACCACAGACCACAGACTTATACTGCTGATTGCTGGCGCTACCATACTCATTTTAGGTAAGGTCACTAATCAAATTTTATAAATTTTAAGAGTCATTTACCCTCTTTTGACCACCGCCACAAATTATCGAAAATGGATTTTAATTTTAAAATTATATTTGGTTAATACTTTATAGAAAGATGTAATTAGATATCGATAAATTTGTGACGGTCACGTGAAAAAATGAAAAATAAAATTTGAACTTTTCCCCAGGGATAATTCTCGCCGGCGTGAGGTGTTACGTTCTGCACTGCATGCCTTTACCAACAGATTCTCCAGTGGCGACGCCATTACCGCCTCCCAGTACAGCAGATCAATCGTCAGTCGCGAAAGGGACTCTCGACTTGTTGGTAGGACACGAAAACCCCCCAGAGACCGAGCAAATGATCCACCACCATCAACATCACCGTCACCACGGAAACCACAAAGAAAAGCGTTCGTCCCAAAGCTCCGACGTCGAAAAAGCCTAAGTTACTTCCTAACTCACGATCAGTACTTCCTTTTAATCATTAATCAACTCATTGGTTGGTAAATTGTTGGTTTTGCTTTTGACAAATGTCCTCACTGCAATCACGGGTAATACTAATGTAAAATTGTACGCAGTTTTATAATAGACCGCCAAAAAGCTTGTACTTAAGCTCTTCAATTGAATTCTACAATTTAAAAACTGAATTTTAGCGAGTGTTCAAAATATTTAAGAGAAAACAGATAAGAACTAAAAAAAAGGGATAAATAAGATAAAAAAACAGCTGATTAATAAATTATTGAAGGCATGAGAAATATTTAAAGACAGCAGACTGGCTAAATTTAAATTAAAATATATAAAACGGCGTCACGTCGTTTCTTTTAACTTTTATAACTTTCTATACACCTATAAATTATAAATAATATTGATATGTTATATATGATATATATATATATATATATATATATATATATATAAATATATTTATGTATTCTTTGCAGAGTGTGGTATTTTATTTGTCTGCACGTATATTGTGTATATTTGTCTGTATTCTAAATATATAAATATATATTATATATATTGATGAGAGTTCAAATAATATTAACTAAATAAATAATAGTCGATAAAAATGGCGCGTAAGTTTAAATTTTTAAGTTCGTTTTTAAAAATTATAAATCAAATATTGAGTTCCTATTATCGATGTTCGATTACCGAGCACTTTTTTTATAATAAAAATTTAACGATGTATAAATATTGTAACTTGTAGAAATTTTAATGACCGTTGATATTTTTTAAATAATTTATTTCCGTTCAGTTTATTGAAGTTTTTAGTGAGAAATAAAGTACCGTAACAGAGCCTGCGCATGCGCGAGATTGGTTCCGGACCAGAATATATGGGTGTGAAAAATTTATGGGAATACTATTGACGTTTTGCCGTTTTGAAGGTTCAATTTTTTTTCGGTACTTTGTTCTTTTTGAAAAAATATTTAACGATAACGATGATAATGTAGACATCGATTACAAAACATAAAAAAGATAAATTTTAATATATATATATAAATACATGTATATATTTTATTCCTTAAATTAAATTTACGTAATATTTAAACAGATATTTTAAATGAAATCTTCCATATATTATTCACTTTTATGACATACGTTCGACTACTATTTGGGTCCACTTTCTTATATTATAAAAATGTTATATCGATGTTAGAAATTATTTCAGTGAAAATTTATAAATTCTATTTTAATTATCACAGACAAAATATTTTACAAATTTTATTACCCGGGAAAATGTTTTAATTGCATTTTAATATTAAAATTATTATCGAGGTCCGTATAAAATTTTATAAAACTTAAAATTTTTAGTTAAATTATAAAAAAAAATGAATAAAGTAGAATGAATAAATTTTCACTGGTTATTTAAATGATTTTATTGTAAAACAATATATAAATACAAACAAATAATTAAACGAAGGTGATTGAACAAAAAAAAAAAAATCATAAAATTATGACCGTATTGAGCAGTGATATAAAATAAAGATTTAATTATACGTAAAATATAAAATTACAGTTAAATATAAATAATATATAATAATAATAATTGCATATATTAGTTAATTCTCAGATATGAGCACCAATTAACGTTAATAATTTTGAAAAATCTCTAACGCAAGCAAACAAAAATATTATTAAAATAAATAAAACTGTATAAATAAAATGTGTAAATTGTTGACGCTTGCTACGCCATTTTGTGATTACGAGTTGATCTAAATAAATCACGACAACTTATGATTTTTTTACAACATTTTTAACGCTTTAAGCTCAACTGTGGATAATATTAAAATAAAAAAGACCAAGTATTATCTATTTAAAAAATTTTAAACATACGTATATTTATTTCTTTATCGAGGAATTAAGCATTAGTTGGAATTAAATATTTAAGTGTCCTGTAAACTATTTAACTTAATTATTCAAGGACATTGTTTAGTAGAATTGTGAGATTCTTCCTTCTAAATTTTTTGAATATCTTACGAGTTGTATCTAGACTAACGCAATAACTTCTATACTTCCGACTTATTGCTTCCGTACTTTGTTATTTTGCTATTACATGTACTTGATAATCTTACGATCTCATATGTGTACAATTGTTTACTTCTATTACAAATATCTGTGAAATATTTATATATTTTATATTTCTTTTATCCATTGGATTGTGATCTTTTTAAAATTTATTGTGCAATTGAGGTCATTATTCCAAAAATTTGAGATCTTCCACGATGGTTGGATAATTTTGACAATTTATACGGCAGTCAAAAAGTATTTTAAAATTATTAAATTCATTTTTAAAAGAGTGATATTGCTGGAAAAAATTTTTAAAATGAAAAATAATTTATTTAGTTATTAAGAAAATCATGTGAGATCTCTTTAATTAAAAAGACTGAGCTTGAAGAAGCTGTAAATTAATAATAAAACCCAAGTTGCACAATAAATTTTTAGTTTTAATTATTTTTAAAAATATTTAAATGTAATAAAATATTATAATTATTTAATGTTAATTACTCTGGATGTACAAATTATAATATATTTTTATATTTTGTATTTAATATGGTTTATTACCAAATTATTTTTTTTTGTAAGCTCTGACATCTATTTTACACTTATTTATTAAATTTTATTATTCCAAATTAAATTCATTATCGAAAAAAATATTTTAATTTTTACAATTTATACTAAAGATTTTATTATCTAATTTTAATTTCAATAAAATAAAATAAAGGTAAAATAGATGTTAGATAATTGTATTTAATTAATAATTATGAAATAAAAACTGAAAGTTATTAAAAAAGTGATGAACTGAACTGAAGCCTTTCCATTAATTTATTTAAAAAATGATAAATATTTGAAAATAACTGTTTAATGAAAAAAGGTCTTTCTAAAATATTGTTGCGTATAAATTAAAATTTTAGCAGTAGATATTAATTGTAGAAAGGTAAATTAAATCATTTCAAAAAATAAATAAATCCGATCTTTTAACTGAAAGTATAATTTTTTACAAGTGCAACTATTCAAAGTTCTCCGATTTTTTCTATAAAATTAACGTCGTATGATCAGCGATCGGTGAAAGTTAAACCGTTTAATTGTAAATTCATAATTTTTTACAAAAAATTAACCACGAAACAATGAAAAATTTAGTTGTAATTTATTTACCCCTAAGTTCTCAGACGTAAATAATTTTTATGGGAAAATGATTCATCGACATGCGCACAGCTATTTATTATAAATAAAATCACAATCAATTTGTCATTATCTTTAAATATAGTTATAGAGTCATAAATATTAACGATGTGATGTTTTTATCGCTAAAAATATTGTAATATAAATAAATAAATAAAATTGTAGCTCTCATATGTATAATTCTACATAAAAACATGTATTAAAATAATTTCTGCTTTTGTAATTTCTGAGGCTCAAAAAAAGATTTTTTTCAAAACTACTTTTTTATATTTTTTTTCGTATCAATTTGAAAAAAATTCTTACATCCTAGAAATATTTTTGAACATATCGAATTGAGCTCAAAAATATTTGAACTATAATTATTTCCTATACCTTCCGGTCACGTAATACCTTATCCTATTAAATTTATCGATTTTACTGTAAATTCTAACAATTTGAAGGATTTCCTCAATTGTTAAGTGTAATAAGACATTAAGATCAAGATCAGATGTTAGAAATCCGTTAGATTATTTGAGTAAAAAGGATTCTTTGGGTGACTAATGACAGAGATGTTTTTCTGACTCAAGATTTTAATCTTTCGGTCCAATCGGAGCTGAGAATAACAAATTAAATTTCTTAATCAGTTTTTTTCAACTGATCATTTTTCATTAGTCATTAAATTAAATTTCGTAATTTCGTTGTAAGAATTAAATAAAAAATCGGAAAAAGATTCCAAGGCAAATTTTAAATTGAAAGTATTCTTCCATTGTAATTAACAAAAATTAATCTTTGGATTGGAAGCATAAATCAGAGAATCAATAGGTGGTATAGACGAGCGATCGAGTGTAAAAAAATAAAAACTAAAAGGGTAAGTTCGTCATAGGACATTGAGCTATTTTTAAGAATGATGATACCGACAAGCGCGGACGTGTAGTCACCCTTGGTGGGAACAAGTGGGCGAGCGTAGGGTGGTTTATCGACCAGAATACACACTAACTAAACTTAACGTGGCGAAGCTCAGTTTCCGCGGGACCAGCAACCCGTCAAACACACCAAAGGCGGGCTAACTCCTTATTTACCAACAATATATTCCTTTGATATTGATACTCATTGTTCATTGTACTCTAATCGAATAACAAACAAGTTTAGTGAGTTTTAACTAGCTGGCTCTACTTTTAGATATAACCAACTAAAGTGAGTGCCATTTTTCTATCTAAATCATTATTATTATATTAACTACATTAAAGTGTAAACAATACAACATAATTTTTTCATACTCGGCGCATTGAATTAAGTCTTCTGCTTTTATTTTCTAACAAATGTTGCTCCAGATTTGCCAACCGGTAGTTTTCCGTTTTACTTATCTAATTATAATGATGTACTTGACTTTTTTTTATTCATATGAAGGAGATGTGGTCTATAATCTAGAGTCTATAGACTCAGCTAATTGCTCAAGGACCTTTTTTTATTCACACGTTACTGATGCTTCACCTACACCGGTGTGATATGCTTTTCTTTAGAGGCTCCTTTGAAGTAATTGTTAGTTTTTTTAGCTTTTTGACCGCGGGTTAAATAAAGAAGCTTATGAATTTATTATTTTTCAAGCTTTTTTTGTTAATACATTTTTAAATTGTATTTTTAAAGTTAAAAGTTTTAAAAAAATTTTTTTTATCAGTCGCAAACATTTAAAAATAAAATTGGGCTAGACTAATGCATGATTTAGTCATAAACGTAGTATTCGGTAGTATAAAGTCATTGATAAGTTAACCTACGTGAGTCAAAACTGGAACAGGGCCAAAATGTCAGCGACTTTGTACATAACAAACCTTAAAATATCTTGGCCAAAACGTAACTATAATAATAATTTAATTTTAATAGTAAAAACAATAGTTATAAAATTTTTTTTTTAATGAGTACCAGCAGATAATTTTTTAATTTAAAAAAAAATAAAATTTTCTATTGAAAAATAAAAATAGTAATAGATTAACAAAAAAGTAAAAAATAACATTCGTAAAATTAAATTTGCACTCCTTTATCAAGTACACGTGCATGATACGATGATCCGGCTTGATCCGGGTCACTGTTCTACTTTACATTTGTTGTGCTTAATCCACAACCGTATTCTTAATCACCTTGTCATGATGCTTCTAAGGGAGAGATAATGACTAATGACAGTTGCATGTCCTGTTCCGTTATAAATGTATTCCATTTACACCCTATTCTATTTCTTTCTTTCTTTCTATATTTATCCCCCTGCTAATCATGGCGAAATTTCCTTCATACTCACACTATAAAAGAATAACAATTCAACAATAAGATATCTAAAGTATATACTTGAGTTTATTCAACGTTTGCACGTGGATGAAAAACTCTGTTTGGTAGAGTCGCAATAACGTGTCCTAGATTCACCGAGGGGCCGACGGCCGTAGTGCCTCGATTATCGAATTGCCGGGTTCTGCAGCTCAGACCAGAGACCAGTCGAGAGCTTCAATCTCTCACCCCTTTCTTGATTCCATATTTATTTACATTAAAGCTTTTTAAAATTTATTTATCGGAAAATTATATTGGCAATTCGTGTCCAATAAACTTAACTTAAAAATATAAAAGCTCAAAAACTTTCAGTTTATTTACTTTTTTTCCAAACTTTAATAACTCCAGTTTCGACAAAAGAAAGTTATTATTTTTGGGAATCCATTTGACAATAAAATTGTTCTACTTTGTATGGATATATCAAGTGACATAGATCTAAAATCAATAAATAACAGACATCTCAGCACATCGGCACACGTCTGACTATATCTTTGTACGATCTACTAAAATCCGGCACTCAGCTGCTCTACTTTTCATGCATTGCTGACTTACAATGTGATAAAGGATGCTTGCCAACTTTTATTTCTGATCTATGAATTGGATATTTAGCACATAATAATCCCCGACCCAAACTCAGGTGGCATTGTTTCATTTTCGACTTACTTAAACTTCCGCCTGCAGCTTACCACGTTTTGTAAACGCGTAAAAGGAACGAAGCCCTATACCTTTCGATAAAGACAATCTGATGCCTATCGATGTTAAACAAATAAAAGTCATTTACATAAGTTTATTTATCCGTTTACCGGATTTTGAAACACGAGACCTGGGATTAGACTGAATAATTAATAAATCGCAAAATTATTTATCATATGGATGATTTTCTAGATGTGTTATATATTTTTAGTCTGTTTATTCAAACAGAATGACAACCGCAAAATAGTTGTTCACCAGCTCGCGGTCAATGCTTATAATTATTCATTATATGATGCGAAAAGTACCATCCGCCTATAAAAAGCGAAGCGGCATCCACTTTAATTTTCACTGAAAGTTTGTTTTTTTTTTTCCGACCTACTCTCATATTTAAAATAAGCTGCAAAAATAACTTTTAATCTCCATCTAAAAATCTTCATTATATATGACGGACAAAGTAAAACTACTCTACATACCGGAACTATCTTCCATCATTTTTTTAATACTCCACATTCTTCCTCATTGTTTTCTCGAAAAAAAAATTTATATAAAAAATTTTTAAAACTTTGTATTTCTTGCAATGTACCAGCGACTGTGAACTATAAAAAAAATTATCGCGTCCTCTGAGGATCTAGAAGACATTTTACTGCCCGTAGTGACGGTAAACTTCCGAGCATTACGTTAGAAACTTTATGTATTACGTTATAGTTACGTGATAGAAAGTAACAATAACTCTAGATTGTTCAAAGACATAAATATAAATTGTGTCGGTATTTTTCGAGTGAGTCGTAAAATTAAATTCAATGTAAACTCTAATGAATGGTGTATGATTCTTCATCCCAGAAAGTAAAGCTAAAAATAAAGCTTCATTTATAAAAAATTACTGAATGTAAAATAATTTATTAACAATAATTCGCTATCTCCCATGAATACCGACGTTTACTTTCCCCAAGAGAATTTAACCTGTACTTTCAATTCACTTAAGTACGTACTAAGATGTTGAGAATGTAAATATTGACAACTTAATATCTTATTGAGCACTAGAAGTTGTTATCATTTAATTAATCTTTCAAAAAAAGAAGCTTTTAAGTGACTCTATTGAACTTCTCAAGACAAACAATCCTTCAGAGCTTTGACATGTAATTTTTGAAAAGTAAAAAAAATATCGATAGCAACCTCCTGAGCTCATGTCCCAAAAAATTGACAATTACGATTTAAACCGAGTTTTTAATTCGCAGAAGTTTCGTCATGAGAAAAAGTTTTTATTGGAAGATAAATACCGAAAAATGTCACTCCTACACACACATATATATATATATATATATATAGGATAGAATAATATTATATCAGATATCTCGATGTCTACACCTACGATCTTGAGGTTGCGTCATAATGTACACACGAGCGGAATTTATCGTAACTTTTGAGCTCTTTGACATCAACTGGTAGTAAAACAAAATGCTGATGGTTGATATAAAAATATTATCTTTCCCGGAAGCTTTTAGCGACATAACTTCCTTATTAAGTTTTATTTCTCGGGAATTAAACTCCTTGCAAGGTCAAAAGTTTAAATTTCAATAGAAATGACTAATAATCATTATTGTGGTGGATTTTACTAAGAAAAAGAAAACTTTAGAATGATTACAGCGCTACCAGTGCCTTCAGTGAAGGTCTTCCACAAAACATACTACCACGAAAAAGCTCGAACCGGAGCGAGTCAACCTGGAAGCCCTCTCACAGATAGCGAAGCAATCGTCGCCTTAACGGAAAAAGAACAACCCGAGTATTTTTTCTGTGGCAAGGTAAAGTATTATAATGTCTTTTTAAAAAATGTATTTTTAGAAGACTAGAGTAAACTCAACCGTAACTCGATAATAAAGTTCTTGCGCCGCGTGTAAGCACAATTAATTCCATTGTAATTGTAAAAACCATTGAAACATGAGCGAGCTGACGTCATCAAAGTCTGTGGGCGTCTGGTCGTGTTTATGGTTACTCTACTCGCTGAATCTATTTACTCTTATTCCGAGTGTTTATATTATTTGTGCTTGTAAGCTAAAATACGATACAAGTGATTTTAATTATAAAGTTTATTCTCACGTTACTATTAATAATTAGATTAATCGTTTTCTCATTAATCTATTAATGTCTACTCACGTTTTTACCCTAATAAAATTTATTTATTAAAAAATAATTTATTAATTTATTAAATATAAGTAATTATTTTTTAACTTTTAATAAATATTTTTAAAAATAAAACTACATTTATTAACTGTTTTATAAAAATTTTTAAGACTGAACTGCTGTTCCATTTTAAAAAATAGTAATTGCAAAATTTTTTGATCATTTTTTTCTGATCAATAAAAAATATCCCCTAATTAAAAAAAAAAAATAATGTAAAGAATTTTGAACCGAAAAATAATCTCGCGATAAATAATCATAACTAAAAATAAAAAAGTAAATTCAAAGCAACCACAGGCGCTTATATTATATACACCGACATTGTCGCGAGGTATGTTATGCATGATAATTAACAATGCAGTGGAAATATATGTGTATGAATATGACTAAAGAGATCCATGGACCCGCGGAAACATAACCAGAGACTATATACATAATGTACAATAATAATAACAACTTCATTTCCATTTGAATTTACAGATAAACGCTCTACATGTCGTCGTAGGTTCTATTCTCTTGGGAGTTGTTGTTCTCATTGTCGGGCTGGTGCAGCTGGCACCAGGAGCTGAAGCTGCGCAATATTCAACGGCACTCATCGGAGTCGGATGCACCCTCTTGGCCCTCGGCGCCCTTCTGGCACAGTTGAGAGCTCTCTGGCTCAGAAGAAAGAGGGCTGCCCAGAAAGATTCCACTCATCAACGGAGTGTTACCAGTATAGACATGCTCTTAGCCCAACATAGGTATAATATCATCATCATATCCATCCATACATACATACATACACAATAATATTTTGTCACTACACACATTATACAAGTCTTACTTTTACACTTTATTACTCAACTTTCATAAAATGTTATTCTTATTACTTTTAAATCCCCAGTATAATATTATGAACAAACTCTCCGTACTCCGTAAGCCGATTTCGTTTTTTTAAACTTCTTTTTTTTTTTTCTCTACTCTGTCTTGTACATTGAAATTTTTTTTTAAAACTCAAACACTGTGGAGTAAAAAGTTGTGAAAAATTTATAATCATCACAGAGGGATCGTTTTAATTAAAAATCTCGTTAAATGTTTGTTGATACGATTCCAGTTGGGAATTATTTTAAATATTTTATATTGCTGTTAAACTTTGCTTTTGGCAAACATCATTTTTATTTTTTGACCTATCGAATGTTTATTTTTAATTGACGGAAATGGTTTTTTAAACTAAAAACATTCACAGAAGGACATTTGTTTGAATTTAAAAAAATAATTCAAACATCCACGGGTTATACACACGTAAAAGGTTGCAAAAAATATTTTTTCTGAATCAATTTAAAAAAAAAAAAATTCCAACCCCATCAAAATCAAATTATCAATTTAAAAACAAAACTTGAATTAAAAAGGAGCTAAAAATAAATTTATCTCGACCTTGTAATCAACCCTCGCTTATATTAGCAAAACTTAAGCCTCAAGATAATCACCTCTGTGTAGTTACGTGCTAAATACATACAGTCTAATACAAACATTAAATCTAAAAACTAATAAAAGGTGTTATTTATATTAATATAATTTAAAATTTCAGGGACTTTACGGTTCTCACGCCAGATGAGCTTGAAGACCTTGTCGGTAAGCCAACCCCCGTTCTCGAGAACAAGGTCCGCAAACACGGGAATAATACCTAGGCTCAGCCGGCCTCGAAGAGGATGTCCTCATCATCCTGTCCTACAACATCCTCGTCGTTTTCTTCAGCGACTTCCCACGCAACAAACGCCTCCGTTCTCCACACTCATCCTGTCGACTCTCGCGAGCAAAGTTTCGTTTGATTCAATCTCATTTTTTAATTTTTTAACAATCAATTATTTTTTTGATTAATCAATCCTAATATTATTGTTAATTATCATCCCGATTCCTCTTTCGATAAACTTAATGTAATTTTTGGCTGTAAATTAATGATAATTAACTATAATAACAATATTAGAATTTACAAATGGTAAATGATAAATACAATACAATAAAAAAAAATCAAGTGGCATTATTAGACTGCCATGATTTTTTAAAAGTTCGGAAGTATGGCATATTTATAATCTTTAATATTTTCAACAAAATAAAACAATAATTAAATCAAATTTTTAAATAATATTAGGATTATATAAATACATTTTTAATATATATATATATATATATATTAATTATTATGATTATTATTATATACCATTTATGTAACATGGTATTTTTTTTAATTAAAATTTCTAAACGTTTTCATCCACGGACAAAATATCAATAGAGTACAATTGGATTTAATCTAATATAATTGTTAAAAAATTAAACTAAATTTGGAATTGCTAAAATTTTGTCTGAGGATAAAAGCAAAATAAAATTTGTCGATCGATTGTTTCTTAAACCTTGCAATTGATAATCTTGTATCAAATAAACTACGTAAGGCTGCGTTAATTATTCAAATAAAATAAAATAATAGTAATTATTAAAGATAAAAAATCTAGTGATTTGATTATCAATTTGAATCCTTGAAGGATATTACAAATATGTTCAATTTTGGCATCAATGTGTTCCACTTAATAAACATTATTTTTTTATGACTATTAAAAAGATAAAAGTCTGACCCTGAGTTAAAAATTAGTTATATTGTATTGCTTTTATTTATTAAAGGTAATTAGGTAATTGCATAACATAGCCATCCTAAGAGCAACGTTTTTAAACAAAAGAAAAGTAAATTATTATTTCTGTTATGAGAGCACAAATAAGCTAAAGGTTACTGAGAAACGAGTTAGAAGTTTCAAACTTTTATTTCTTTAGTTCAGCTTTTATTCAATTGTATTTTTGTATCTATTTTTATTTATTTTTTATTTTTTTAAGAAAAGCCTTTGTGAATATAGTGAAATTAATCACGTAGGATTACTTTATCGATTAATTAATTAAGGAATTATTTGCAAAGAACTTACTGATGCGTTAATTTTTTTATTTTTCAAATACTCTATTAATTGGGGACTTTGAATTTGATAAAAAATTTTTAAATCTCGAAAAAAATTCAATTAATTTTTCAAATAAAAAAATTTTAAAAGAAAAAGTATTTTAAAGATATAAAAAATTAGCAAATCATCAGCTGCCAAATGTGAACCACTCTGACGCTGAAATTACACAATACAATAAACAAACACTGATAAAAAAATAAACTTATCAAGTTAATTTTTTTCATGAGTGGACTCAAGTAATTATTTGCAAATAAGCAACAATTTAAATGCAGCAAGTTGCTTTTGAAAAGCACATTAAGCTTATTATCAAATGAAATGAAACATAATGTAGATATACTTATTAAAATTGTACTGTTTACATTATGTTTGCTAGATTAAGAACTATAAATATTAATATAATGTAATATAATTATAAAATAGTTAATATTTTATAATAATTGACACAAGTGATACTTAATAGTAAGCTATCATGAAATAAGAATAATAATACAAACAGTTTACGGTTGGTGAGGAGAGATGTGTTAAGAATAATATGTATAATATTGAGAATTGAAGTTTATACTAATAAACTTCAACGGAGACATATCTGATGAATTGAATCGAGTGAATAGTTAAGAGTATTTTTCTATTCACATTAAGTTGACGGTGCATCGAGAGTAAGCCATTTTTTCAATAAAGATTATTAACGCTTCAGTAGCTTTTTTTAAATATTGTATTTAATATTTGATAGTCATTTGTATGAGTCTGTTTAAAATTTTCAATTTACATCACAGATTTTGATAAATTAGAGATGATTATTTAAACTTAAAAATGAAAATCACTAAAGATAAATTAATTTTAAATAAAAAATAAAATGTGATTTATTTAAATTGAAAAGTTTAAACAGCAGTGATAAATTTTGAAAAGTTTAAAATGGTGATTTTTGTATGTAAAATAATAATAATAAATAAATCGAATAAAGGGCGAGTCAAAAAAGAAACATAACTGAGGAATTAATAGATCAAAATTATAAATTTTTTTAATACAGGCTCTAATTATCTAAGAATATTATGTAAGCCATTGAACGCACATGTACAAGTTATTACTGAGATTTGGTGTACTGGTACTCTATGAAGAAATTTTTTTTCTATTAAATTGAGCTTTTTTATGACAAACATGTATGATTTTTAATGATTTAAAAAAAAAAATATTATAACTGTCCAAAGGTCAGTTGATGGTTGAACCCTATAATTTATTTTAAAAAATGTTGATTGAAGATACTTTTATTAAAATATTATAAATTTACATTGTTATATTTTCATAGAGTACCAAAGCAAATATACCGAGCCTTGTAAATATAATATATAGAAAAACTTGTTGGAAAAAAGAGATATTAATAAAAATGAATATTCATATGAGGAAAAAAGCGCTGTAGGTCAACGTAAAGTTCAACATTGCGTTGTTGATTGGAAAAGAAATAATTTTAAGCAGATGAAAAATGATTTCTGATAAGCTGAAGATAAATTAATTACTGCAGCGTATTCAAGTTGTAATTATAATTGATAATTACTTATTAAGTTTCTGCATTAATATAAAAGAAAGTCTAATGTTACACCTAGAATAAGCTAAGATTAAATTTAAAGAATTTTTAATCATTCTTATTATGGTACGACCCTAAAATACGCTATGGAATATTTTATCAGGTAGTGTTATTAAAACCGCTTTAAATTCTGTTTAATGAATATTTTATAAATTAATATTAATTAATTAATAATCATTGATAATAAATTATATTGTAAAAAACTAATGTCTTTAACTTGCTCATTTTCCTGAACTACTTTCCGCGGAATTTTCAGAGTTATTTTTACTTTATAGTCGTTATTTCATAATTGGTATCATCATCCAGTGTTGGCGAAAATTTAATTACAAAACACACTTACCATGTCGAGAAATGTCCAGACCAGCAGCGACTTCTTTCAATCTCTGTAAGAAAATGAAAAGTTATATCATTATGTATTAAAAATTATAAACTTAAAAAAAAAAAATATGTAATAAATTATCTTGCCTGAAAACCTTGTAGAAGATACAAAAAAAATTGAGTTTGTAGATAACATGATACTAACTAACACTACTTATGCACCACAATTTTAAAAATAACAATTCAAAAAACTACTTTTACACTTTACTTCACTTTCACTTCACTAAATTACTCTTCTTGATTTAGCTACTAGTCTTCTCTTAAAAAAAAAAATTAAAATTTTTAAATACTGCTAAATGATTAATGAAAAAAAATTTAATATTTAAGTATATTAAATAAAAAATAAAACAATTTAATTCCATTATTTGATTAAATCGTTATATTGAAAAATTAAGTACTTATAACTACCACTCGTAAGCACTGGCGCTAGTGTTTTGTCTGCTGCAATTCGAATATTTTTATTCAAGCACCTATTTCTGTCTAACACACGGGTAATAATATTTACGACTTTCTGCATTACGAGAATGCTCGAAATAATTTTTCATTATGATTATAAGAATTAAATAAAAAAAAAAAAAGAATCTCAATGCCTATAAATTCTATTGTTACTTTTAAAATGACAAGTTTTTTATAATTATTAAACTTGTTTGATAAAAACTATTATTTTTAACTGAAATTCTAGGACTGGGGATTCTAAATAAGTATAATTTGTCAAATATCTAATGAAATAAACAACTAAAAATAATTAATTAGCGGAGAGTACGCGGGAAAGTGATCGCGAGTCGACATCTTGATCAGAATCACGTGATCAGAATTCCGGATTTAACGGACAAACGGACAAACGGACAAACGGTTGTCTCTCATTGGTTGATAATTAAGCTGCGCGCGCATCCAATCTCAGCGCGGCAATTTTTAAATTATAATATACATTTTTAATTTTTTTCTAAAAAATTATTTTATAAAATTTGTTAGCATAGTTTGTTTATTTTTTTTTTTATACATACTTAAATAATTTATTAATTTTTTTTATCCAGAATAATTCTCTTTTGTTCTTTATTATGACTTAAATAATTTAAAAACAAAAGACTGAACTCATGTAAAAGTCAAAATTTTTCGTAACATCATCTTAAAAAAATATGTAAAAAATAAAATTTAAAAATAAACAAAATAAATTAAATATTAACCAATGTTAAATATAAAAGTGTGTGCTTCTTCATCAGTTCCTATTTTGATATTAATATCGCTGTCATCTTGGCTGTGCATATGCCGCTGGTTTTTTCGGTACAACATGAAAGATCAAGAAGTATTATTTTTTTCTTACTAATTAAATTATTGAAAAAGAAATAAAAAAAAATAAATAAATTGTTCATTTATTTTTCAGGTACTCAATGCGCTGATTACTTATTACGCAGTAATAACCTTATTAAATATGACATTTTTGGGTCATTTTACATTTACTTGTAGATGTTCGCATTGCATAATTTTTTAATTAATTTAATTGTTATTAATAAATAATAATTAATTTTTTTAATTTTACAGAATTTCTGGCATATCTATATTGTATATTCCCGGTATATATTTCAGTCACCTGATCACTGCGCTTGCTCATAAAAACACACCAACACACTCCACGGCGTGTAACATAAATTTGCCTCTAAAGTTATCAATTAAATAAATAATCCAACAATGAACTCTCTGAGATCAATTGCACGATGCAAAGTTACATTCCGACAATTTCATACATGGTAAGTTTTTTATTATGATTATTATTTATTGTAATTTTATTTGTTACTTATTTTGTATCCATGGTTTACATAACCTTACTCTGTACTTTTATTTTATAAATATCATGATATAAAAATTGCAAATTAAAAATTAAAAAATAATTTAAAACAAAATAAAAAATACAATTAAAAGTAATTGATAAAATTTTAATAGTTTCAGATATTGTCAAGAAACAGTAGGGGCTTCAGCTCCAAAATTGTCAATTCCTGTACCTGAAGGAGCCGATCCAGCCCTGAGCCCTAAGATTGAAAAACTTGTCCAAGAAATTACAGCTTTGAATTTAATAGAAGTGTCACAATTAAGCGATGTCCTGAAAAGACGACTTAATCTTCCTGATGCGCCTGTTATGGCCGTTGGTAGCGTCACAGCTCCCAAAGCTGAGGTAATTTTTTTTTTTTTCAAACTTTTTTCAAACATTTTTAAATATTAAAAATTTTTAATTTGACTTTTGTTAACTTAAAATTAAATTTCAATTTTTAGGAAGAAGAAGCAGCACCTCAAAGAGTCCAAACGTCGTTTACCGTAAAGCTAGTTAAATTCAATGACAAACAGAAGGTTGCGTTAATAAAGGAAATTAAGACTCTGATGCCTGAAATGAATCTTGTCCAGGTATTTAAAACTTCTTTGATTACCACTAGCGACATTGCAGTCACTATGTGACTGCCGTAACTTGTGAATTATTGCTATCGATAATATTTTTTCACACACTTATAATTTTTATTCTCTCTCTAGGCTAAGAAATTCGTAGAGTCAGTTCCAACGGTTGTCAAAGCCGACGTCTCCAAGGAGGAAGCTGACAAATTAAAAGAAGCCATTGAAAAAGTTGGGGGAGAAGTAGAAGTTGCATAAATTTTATATTGATAAATTTTTTTATCATTTATCATCCTTTATTATTAGTTTTATAATAAATATTAATATCAATATAACAAGCCTTTTTTTCTTCACTTATCACTTGAGTATTTTTTTGGAATAAAAATTTAGTATCAAAATTAATATTAATTTATAAAAAAAAGTCGATTGTTTAAAATTCTCAACACGAGATCTTTGATCTAGTAAAAAAAATAACCGGAGCTGAAGCGAAAACTTTCATTCCTTTGGCTATAATCTAAATTCTGGGAACTAGCCTTATTGTTTTGTAATTTACAATATTGAATATACATATGATAGAAAGTATTATCTAGAAGAATAGAGCGCGTATAAAAATATATATACGAACGTTATTAGCCAAGTATCTTGAGAAACTAAATTTTATTTCCAACATAAGATCCCGTTTCCTCTAATCCCCTGTGAAGAAACTTTATATTCTTCTTTTTTCCCCATTAATATTTATAAATAATAAATAATACACAGAGATTGATTTCGGTTCAGTTTATTACCGAACAAAAACAATATATAATTCTTACATTAAACTTCTTAATAAAATAAAATAAAATAAAATTACATTTATTTTTAATAGTCGCATAAAAGTAACAGCACTCTCAATACAATAAAAATGCTTTATGTTAACAAATTAATGACACTACGAAACTATAAACATGTGCAATACAATAATGTACATACTACTCATCTTGACATTAGTTAATCGCACCTATCGAGTATCATTTTGCCGTAACAATAATTACGACAGTCGAAATTAGCACAAAGTAGATAATTATTATATTAATTATCAATAACGTTAAAAAAATACTATTAAAAATACATGAATCCTAAAAGACCGAGCCATTTTGAGCAAGATCAGCTGTCTTATTAAATTTATTATTTTAATATTATTAATTAACTAACCGTTAAATACACGTTATTACATTCATACATCTTATATATGTTAACATTATATATATATATTTATTATTTATATAATATAATATAAAAAATTCTATGTAGTTATTAAGTACTAGGACAATAATTTTTAACAAAAAATTTTTTTTATGTTTCAAGTTTTAAAATAATCAATTGCAATTGAATTAACTAGAGAAGAAATGACATCCTTTGTTTAGTCATTTAGATGAATAGAATTTGTGAAATAATTGTGTCAATAAATTCCCGGCTTATCGTACAGTCTTTTTTCTAATAATTGTAAGGTCCATATTGAGAGCCGTGGTAGTAAGGACCTGGATAAGCCGCTGGTGCAGGATATGAGGCGTAAGCGTATTGCTGCTTTTGTGGATACACTGTAATCATCAATTTTTTATTATTATCACTATAATAGCATATCATTACTGTCAGTACAGCAAAAAAAAAAAAAAAAATTCAATATGAATATTAGACATTAAAAATCCCGATGGGCAAATTTTTATAAAAAAATTTAATAGAGTAACAAAGTAAAACAGTATCATTAGATTAACTGGGGTATAATTATTTAATTGCAATCTACTTGAGCAAGAAAATTATTTAGGCAAGTATGCCACTTTCCTTTTGCCGTAGCTCTTTTATTTACCGCGGATCCTCGTTTGACCGCGCTCAGAGGCGTTAAATCGCGGATGTTTATTGATTAAAAAAAAAAACGTATTTATCGATAGATTTATCGATTGCAGACGGAAAAAGGCGACATAGAAAGTCCGGAGCCTTCTTAGAGTCAGAGCGTGACAAAATTATACTAATCCGGGGCAAACAGAGCGTAATACTAGAAAAAAAAAAAAAAAAAAAAAAAAAAAAAAAAGTAAAAGTACCTGTAAGGAAGAATATATTCAGCTCTCATGTCCTTTTTTTACATTTTTAATTATTATTAATATAGTTATCATTTTTTCAGCAAATAATTGTTAAAAAGGTTAATTATCTTTACAAATGATCAGGATTAATTCTCTAGTTGCGGTTTTGTGAATGATACGTTAATTGCAAGTATTAGGCAAACCTCGGAAATGTTGAAATTCGGTATAAATAAAACCAGGAATGAATTAATTAATGTTTTAATTACCGTTTTCTCTAGTTCTTCAATGAATAAACATATTAACATAATTACTTAATAACCGATATAAAAATGAATAAAAACTTTCAATTTTAATAGTAAATTTCTATTAATAAATTGCCCATTAGTGTATTTATACTTATTCTACGTTTCTATAAAATAAATGTTAATATAATTTACAAAAGAGGTGCAATCGCTGAATATAAAATCATATTAAAAGTAATTGTTTGAAAAATCCTAAATACAATAAAATGTCTTTTAATTTTGTTATTTTAGATTTCTTCACCAAAAAAAAATAATTTAAAATGAAATTTTCAGCGATTGAACAACCTTTATCAACCTATAAAACTAAGTTAGTAAAAGCCAAAGTGTTACGTATGTACCAGGCATGAGGTACTGCATGTTCATTGCTTCGTCGCGAATTCTCTCGCCCTTCAAGCAAATCGCAGCGGAGCTAAACAATATTGCGCTTATGAGCGCCCACCCGACGCCGACCCAAGCGACCACGTACGACCAGTCGTACGAGATTAGCGAGTTTTCCTTGAGGATCTACACTCCACCAGGACCAGGTTGCCAAGGGAGACCCCAAAATCAGACAAAACAAAACATACATCCATTAGTTTATTGTTTTAGTAATATTTCACCTGGCATTATGTATTGAATGTTTGCGGCCTGCTCGCGCGCTCGCTCCTTTCTCAAGCAGGAAGCCGCTATCAAGAAAAGAGTCATCGTCGCGAAACACGCAGCGACTCCCAGCCAGGCTAAATAAAATGACCAGTCATACCACTGGGCTACGTTATTCTTCAACACCTGTCAAGATAAAAAATTTATTTTATACAATACTCTCACTCTACTTCATCCGTCATTTCTTCTTATATATTCTACGGATTTATATCGCCGCCTGGAAACTTCTTGACTAATGACATCTGAAAGTAGCGCATGAAAAGCGCAATCCGAGCAGGAAAGTATCCACATTTATATATCTAGATGAAATTAGAGAAAATATCCGGGACGTGCAATGACTCGTGAGAAATTTTATATAAATATTCACATTGTTTGCTCTACAGTATATATTGCTGTTGTTATTGTTAATATATATTCAGCCCAAAGTTAATAATTCACAATAAGTTTCTTATTTTCACTGATCAGTGTCAACTTCCCATATAATTTCTCTCTCAATACTATTAACTACTCCTTTAATTATAATAGTCTATTTAAATAAAATAAATACATTTACTAAATAATTAATAAGTTAATGACTCACGTTGCTCCATTGTTGGTAGTATTCTTCGCCCACCATTTTTTCTTTCTCGTAGTACTCAACACCATGCCAAATTCCCATTGCGCCAGCACTGAGTAAACCTGTTGTTTTTATTTTTATTAATTATTTAGAAATTAAAATAAAAAATATTAAATTTAATTAAGATTTTTACAGGCAAGCAGCATAAGTATCGCTGTAGCAGTGACATTTCCGTGAGATCTTCTCCAACATCCGACGACTCCGGTCCAGAATGCGATGAAGATCGCGAGGAATCCCAGAATAAAGAGAGCGATTACCGATCTTCCCATGTCTGAAAAATAAAGGTAAATTACTTAATTAGATTTTTATTTGTCTAACTGAAAGTAGACAAGACGTGATTTTAGAAATTTTTTAAATTTTAAGCTTCAATGCGTATAAATAGAAACCTCTGCAAACTGACAATCAGTGTAAATATAAGTATACAGAATCATGTAATTTATTTTTTTTTTTAATAAAAAATCTACTTACGGAGTCGTGCCATGGCATCATCTGAGAATCCCCGGGTTTCATTTTCAGAATCTGGGAGGAAATAGTCGACATTCATACAATGAGTTTCCACGGGACTGAGGTAGGTCTCGACTGAAAGCAAAAAAAAAATTTGTAAGATAAATTAACATTAACAAGCGTGAATTTACAGTGAAAGACACTTTAAGGACCGAGGAAAAGGGAGATCAATAAAAGTTTATCGTCATGGTGATTGTGTGGAAGAAATGACAGCCAGCCAGCATCTTTATATGGCGATACTGAAAGTCTTGTTTATTCATCAACGCATGTAGGCTTGTTTCTAATATATAAGGAAAGGAGTACCATCGTAAACTGTTGAGATACCTCGTAATTAAATGAGCACAAGGACGTATTTTAATTTTTATGAGAAATAATATGTTATTTTATTATATATTAAGTTAATAATTACAACTACAATTGGTAATTATTAAAGCTCAGGTTCATTGTTTGCTGGATTACATCCTTACTTTCGATAACCAGGTCTAATTACACGTGACCAAAGCTTATGAGTTTCTCACATTTAATATCTTTGCATAACTTTACCAGAGGAAAATCTATTCATTATTATCTTATATGATCTTTATATCTTTAAATCTAAGCTGCAATTAAGTATTCAAAAGCCATCGTAAATTACGATTGTCTTGATAATTATGCGAGCCATGTAATCGACATTAAAACTACCGTTTTAAATGCTTTAATATTTTTATATTTTAATTTCAATCGCCAATTAGAAGAGAAAAATTACATAACTATAAAAAATTACATGACTAGTTTGTTTTAAAAATAAGAAAAAAAAAAAAAGCATTTCTTCACAATAAGACAAATATTTATTAAAAAAATTTCTCATAATGTTAAACCAAGCATTTTCAGGTCAGTCAATATAATAAATAACTATCTATAATATTAAATATTAAAATGTAATCTAACCAACTGTGTAATAGATCTATCAAAGATGAATACCAAGTACCATCAGTATCTAGGACAACAAAACGGCTTCTAAATTCTCTAATAGTTACACTACAAACTTCCCAACTGAACGTAAAAGCTGTACTGGTAAGTAAGCTTATAAACAGTTACATGTGTCTAGTTAACACAAAACAGGATTAAAAGTAAGGTAAAATCGTCATCAATCTTCGATCTTCATTATAGCTTCTCAGAATAAGAATTTTTTTTTTTCTTTCAGATTGTCTTCTGTGCCAGTCTGCCGCACTAATACGTCACCGTTTAATTTAAAAATATGAATGATCGTGATTGTAAATAAAATAACAATAAGCCTGACGATGTTTGATCACGTATCGTAAATAAAAAATCGTAAACTGGCCGTATAAGAACCGGAAACAAAGACTACGCCGGATGTGTGACATGCGAATGCCAAAACCCGATAAGGTACTCTCGGTCAAACTGAACGGTACCTCGTTATATACTCCAAGTAGAGTCCAGAGGCCATCAGTTATTTCCGTCCTGATGATAGTAACTAATATGAGACTCGGCTCTTTTACTCCCAAGTTAAATTCTCTGGTTCTGTGTCATGGGAATCCCATTTGTCAATGTTATATTTTCTCTTGTATAATATATTATTATTGTTGTTGTTATCACATTTCTTCTGAGTACAGAGGTTTAGTTAAATGCATAATCATATACAAAATGATGATCATCATCAGACTTGATATGTTATAACAGAACTTTTGTTTGCAGACTGGTTTATATTATCCCCTGAGGAATCGCGTGAGCTGTTGTTTGCACTGATGCAAATTTCTTTGCATTGAATTTGGTAAATAATAAAAATGAATACCAATACAGATGAAAAATAAGCGTATTATCAAAGCACGAGCCACGACCGCAGATCTATCAATTAAGTAATTAACATTTGTGCTAACGGTTATGATCCGGCTGCTGATTTCGAGTGATTAACGTGTTAACGGAATTTAATGTTATTTTTGCGTTAACAAATCATCACCGGAAATAATAACACAACCTTTATTTATTATTTTAATGGTTTATTTTTATTTTTTTTGAATTGTGTAAGCTTTTATTTAAATGGGTAAAAGTGAATGCCGGTATTTTATATCATTAATATCATTATAATTTATAATATTTACTATTTTGTTTATATAATGCTCTTTTGAAATAGTTTTATTAATTTTAATTACAGATTTTAATTACAGATTTATGGGATTTAAAAGATTAGATATGAAAATATTTAAAGGAAGTTTTACATTAATTTTTATAACTAAAATTTTTCTGTTATTTAATATCTTGCTCCACTATTAAATATACTAAATTATTATAATTATAATTAGTTATCCAAATAATATAATTTTTTAAAATTATTACATTTTCTAAAAGTGAATGTGGATAAAATTAAAATTATTTTTTCATCTCGACTTTCTATTGCCGAGATTTACTCCAACATGTAATTATTATTCAAATATATTCAATTAAACTCGGAGTATCTTATTTTCGAATCACCTCAACCAGTATAATTACAAAAATAACATCTCGAAAAATTAAAATAAAAGAAAATAAAGTATCGATAGTGTGAATTTAAGCGCGAATCATTCGAGAGCAAAGAAAAGATCAGGACAATGACTGCAGTTTTATTTCAGCTAATTAGATTTGAATATTTATTCCAGGTAATTCAAGAAAAATTAACAGTTTAAAAAAAATATACTCTTCCGGCTTTAACAATGACACACAAATAGTTAATAATAAGCATAATAGTTAACATTAGACCTACTTTCGTAGGTCGTTGATATAAGAAGGAAGAATCTTAAATACTTCTTTTAAGATTTCACCTGATAATTCGACGGGTGTTTTATTCAACGTTTAACCTATTACGTGGGTCCTATAGTCTAAGTGAAGAGATAAAAAGCCGTTTCATTTAATTATTATGACCGTTAGAAAGTAATCATAATTATTATTATAACTATTATTATTTACAGGTATTTGATGTTATTATTATTATCATCATCAATCGTAATCAAGATTTAGATATATTTACCTTTCGGAGGGCGTTCTTTCGGGTAACATATCCTGAAGAGTCCTTGCGTTCTTGTGTAGTAATAGAATTTCGAGTTCATCTGCTCAACAATGTGATTTTGTTCGCCATTTTTCGACGCATATTGCTGAAATTATACGAAATTGTTTTAATTAAATTAATATAATAGTACAATAGATAAAAGTGTAATTTAAATATTGACAATAATAAGAGAGCCGGAGGCTTGAATGTCTCTCTCTCTCAAGGCCAGCGAATTAATTCTTGCATCATAACTCGTATTTACAAATACTTAACGGCTGTTGTCATTCGTATTCTACTGAATCAATCGATTGAAATATTATAGCACGTATTTATTTGTATGACAAAAGATTTTATTTCACGGGTTAAATGTATTCACAGATATTTTTTTTTCTAAATATTTATGAGCTTCTATATTAGAGATTATTTCAACTCTTAACTTATTTACAACCGTGAAAGTAACTGGGATAACTCCAAAAATTGATTAGTACATTTAAATTTTTAAGTTTTAATTAATTTAAAGAGAAGAAATAACTTTCATTAGAATAATTTATTGACTTTTAAAACTTTGAATAAATATTTTCTTTATTTTACTAGAGTTCTTTCTTCATTCCAACGGCAAAAGATGGTATTTTTTTATTATACAAAATGATAATTACCATGAATAAAAAATAGAATTTAATTAATTTAAATTGTTTTTATTGCTTTTAAAAAAAAAAAAATTTTGAATTGAAGTTAAAAAAAAAAAGAAAACTTTCCCAAAAAATGTATAATTATTTTGAAATAATTGACAATCATTAAAAAGGAAAATTCCACAGTAATGAAGAAATATATTTGTGACAATATAACTATCTAAATTCCCATTAGAATAATAATTGCATACAAACAATAAAACACAACTTTAATATCCCCGATAACGTTTCAAACAACTTGAAATATTGCCAAGAAAAATTCCTATGATAATTATTATTTAATTACTAGCAGGTCGTTAAATATTTCTGATATCACTAATAGTTAATGTTCAACTCGTTTTATCCAATAATAACAATAACAACGCATTTAAATTCCTCAATCTTATTAAATATTGCAAGCAAAAAACAATTGTTGAATAAATTTCATCAAGTTGGCGCAGAATTGAGCTTAATATTGAACAAATACCTCAAAATAATTATTGCGACCATTATCTTATCAAAGTACATGTTTAAAATTGTTTTTCCTTGAAGAAAGCCAAACAATATAAAATTGTCATAGAGAAAAATAGTTTTGTAAAATAAAAGTACAAATTTAAAAATTGGCTGTATGGTGAGCATCCCAGAGCATGTTAAGTTATTTATGTATTGAGCAACAAAAGCTGACTTGAATGTTATCTACACATCCCAGTAATCAACGCGCGTTAACAACCGTCCCGTAGGTAGTTAAAAAATATAAAACCCAACTTATATCAGGTTAAAACCGTTTCAGCTGCTTTCACATCGTATATCGCCGTTCCGCCGATGCAACGACGACGATTTCTTCAGTATGGATGTATATATATAATAATAAGATGGAAAGAAAAATGCCAACAATATATTTTACCACGCCTGAAATTAATGTGAATCTATCAATCGGTTGTGAATAAGAATAATCTCAAAGTTATTCCTGCTAATAAATATTATTTTATTTTATTTAATGGTCACTTCACAGCATATTTTCCTGGAAGTCTGCTAGATATATAACTTCTCTTTATATAAAATATATATCTATTATACCTATAAAAAAAAAAAAAAAAAATAATAATAATAATAATAACAACTCGTTATTTATTATTTTAATTAGCAACAAAAATATTTAAGTAATAATAATAAATACTGATAATAACCAGCCAGCCAGATGTACGCATTCTTGGTTAATTAATAATTTCTAAAATTGTCAACCGCCAGTTTATGTTACTGTTATCCCACAGTTTTCTCTCATCTGTATTACTTACTTTTTTATATGATTCATAAAATATGTATTTTCATATTGAAAAATGCGAATTTCACGATCAACTTTCTTTTATCAAAAACGAGTTTGTCTACCGAGATTTATTAAATATATATATAATATATGATATATTAAGTCGGACAATAATTCACGCAATGGTAATTAGCAGATTTAATGCGTGACCTGAATGTAAGTGTGATTAAATATGTTATGCATTTACATATAACTTTATTGGTATAATTTTAGGTCTTGAAGCAATGTGGATTTAATTGTGGATATATTTTTTCCGTACACCTGTACATGCAGACATTGTGGAACACAGAACCCGTGTAATATCCGAGGACTTTCTCGTGTGTACATGCAGCGAGCAGCGACGTTCACGCGTTTACGTGGTGGTAAATAACTGTACGATCCACGCAGCTACTCGCTCTTCCAGTGTAAGAGCAACATATTTTTTATTTTTATTTCACGAGGATCGTTAATAAATATATACAAGGTACACAAATATCTATTTTGACAGCGTGTTCAAAAATTTTTATTTTTTAGTTAGATATCAAAATTTAAGACACTGAATAAGTTATAACAATAAAGTTAGCCGACGATTTTAATTTTTTTTAATTTAATAATTAAATTAGAACAAAAAAGTATTTTTTAAAAATTGCACTTACAGTTTTTAAAGTGTTTTACAAGTGAAAATTTTTTTTTAATCATTTTTTCTAAAAATGTCGGCTAACTTAATTTTCATATATACTGAAGTTAACTGTCAGAATTTTTTTATTGTAATTAATTTGTTATAAAAATTGACACTTGCCAGCTAACTTCAGTATTATTTAATTTAAAATTAGTTAATAAATAATAATGACGATAAATACTTGACATTTTTAGATTTTAAGTAAGTATGTGCTTATTGGTTTAATTGGCCTGTTAATGAGAATTTGAAATAATTACGCAAGCTCGTCGGTATTTGTTTGGACATAAAAATTCAAAACTAAATTCAAAACTCGTCGAGCTAAGCTGAAATGGGCGCGGCGAGGAATGCCGATCGCTTGGAAAGGCTCCTGATCATTGATCGTCAAGTTTTAAATCATAAGTCAACAATTTGTTTTCATTTGTTAACATCAATAATGGTCCTAAGCTAACGGAGATCTCGTGTTTGAAGAATTAGTAATTCTTTCATTCTTGAAAAAAGTTTAAGTGGTAGTTTTAGTAATAAAACATTTGTGCCAATGAAACAATTAAATTTAAATATCTTATTTAATAACTTTAATGTCGATTTTAAAGAAGAAGATGACCTGCATTAAAATCGATAAAGATTTTGCAGGTCAAGTGAAACTCAAGTTCTTCAGCAAAAAAGCCTTCGGTATGTACTTTGTACTTAAAACAAAGCAATGAGTAATTATAAAAAGGGTTAACATTTAGTTCACAGGTAAGGAGTTATTTGCAGAACTCCAGCGACTCGACTCATTGTGGTGTAATATAATACAGAATAAGTGGCTGGTAGACGGATGCGAAGGTGCTTAAGAAAAAGCTTTTATCGAGGTAGAAAATCGTAAAGAATCTCGAGCTCGTGAGCCCTGCGACCCAGGACATTAACCCGGTGCAAGGACGCCTAGCTTAATCCAGGAAGCCGGCAATTTTACAATATCCTCTAACCAGTAAGCCTACGATCCTAGTTACTTTTCATTATTTTTGTTCTTTATGCTCCTCGCCATCTTGCCAGCATTCCTCCCAGGATATTATGCTACACTCGATCAGCCCATTAAAACGCCTTACTTGCCTCGGGTCAGCATACTCATTTATATATTAATATTAATCAATCAGCCAGACACTATTATTATACTAAAATAATAATTATATACTAGATAGATAAATTAAATACCTGTATTTGGGCGCGTTTGACCTCCGTGTAAAGCCAGTTATCCGTGGAAAATGCTATTGCAAGAAGTGCCGTCGCGATTATGCCGGTTATGGTCGCCAGAGATAGTGTCACCGCCGAGCAAGGCATTTTAAATCAATTATTTATTTATTATATTAAATAATTATAAATTATTACTGATGCTGGTACTCCAGGTACCGAGATCTTTACTAAGATCTGGTGATTTTATCGAGTAACTTTGAAATACCAGGAGCATCCGTAAGACACAAACAGGTACCAACCACTATTCCACATGTATTTTTAATTAATTATTTATTTATTTATTTATTAACCACAATTATTAATTACAGGTAATTATTATTTTAAATAAGCACTTAGGAGCACATAATACCATTCTCTCGGCAACAACACTAACGGCGCGACGCGACTGTGGTGTAGCTTACCTGGAGAAAAGCAGAAACTCGAATCGAGTTGGGACTTGGCTACACTTTGTCGTCCATACGGGAGAACTGAAGGAGAACTCAAGAAAGGCGAGGGAACCAGTGCAGGTGGGGATGAATAGTCCTCAAGCAGGTATATATTGCCAGTGTTTTACCTCCCGCGGTTCTCAACCTCCTCGGGGTTTTAAACAACCTCTTTGAGTCATTCAAGTAATACCAATGTCCAAGTTATTTCGTATTGAGACCAACTTGATCAGGAAACTAAATATTTTAATTTCTTATTTATTAATTGGATTTTTTATTTTTTTTTTTTTTGCTACATCTTGAAAAAAGAAGATGAGTCGGAGAGAGCCTCGGGATGAGAACTGAGATGGTTACCTGTTTCATGATATGAGCCTACAATCCAATCCTGTCCCTCTTCTTCAGTGACTAACTATACCGACAACTATATAATATGAGTATATCGGAGAAAAGAGTCGATGTCTATATCTATACTGGAGGTGTATAATAGGGATTCCGGGGATTTGGAATGCCGATCTTTAACTACGCGTTGTATTGAGTTGCATTACACATTGCTCGTACCGTGCCAGAAAAATTCGAGCAATAACATTAACATGCAACTCCTGCTTTTATTATTTCTAATGCTTTTATTTTATTTTTTGAGGAAATCTAGGCTGCTGGTTAATTAACAAAAACATGTTTGTTGATGACTTCTTTACTTCTTCAAATCTGAATTATATATAAAAAAAAAAACAAACTCATCTTATCTCCGATATTATATTTCAGAGATAATTTTTAAACTAGAAAAAAAAAAAAAAACCACTGGCTTCTAGTTTTACAAATCCTTGGGAAGTCTCGAGAAACGTAAAACCAGAGATACCGTAACATAAATGGGTATAAATAGGATCGAAAAGAGGAGTAAACTTGGTCTTGATTTCTCACGCACCTGCTGCTCCCGTCAGACTGGTATAGGGGGTAATATTTTTATTTATATTTATACTACAAAAAAAGCCAAGTCCAGAAGATTTAGCCTTGATGTATTTGCCCATCGGAGTTGATGTAAACCTATACGCTCATTATTACAAAAGCGTTGTCATACTCAGCTAAAAATCTGAAACCTCACAAGTAGATTTCATAATTGCATGTCACCGATTGCCAGTCATCAGCAAGCTTTCTTCCTTTCTAATCTAATCATCTATAACTCTTCTACCATTATAAAAAAAAAAATGGGATTTATTTTTTTAACAAAAGGATTTTATCAATATTAAAAAATCACTAATAACATTAATTATTTTTCGATTTATTAAACGTAATTGCTGGTTGATTTTTAATTTTCTAGACCTTTACTTATAATGTCGTTAATATTCCAATATAACGGTTAAATAAAATTATTTATTGCAAAAAATTAGAGCGAACGGTTTGATGCTTGATATATGTCTAGTCAAATGTGAACAGCGCGTATTGCATGATTTAATGTGCGAGTGTCGTATATCGAGAAATTTTAGCTGATAAAAGCAGAAGTAATTAAACAAATATTGCTGTTTAATTATTAATGTAATTCATTTATTGTTTTTTATTTATCGCTTGACCTAGATAGTAATTTTTGTTGTTGATACCACATCAATTCTTGCAACTTGCTTTGCTCAATTGGCTTAAGTTCGCTGTAATCTCGCGAACAGTCTATTTCACTTAATTTTATTTTAGCCTCACCGACTATCAAAGCTTCCCACCATCTTTCAGCGGCTTTTTCTAAATGAATCTGCAATTAATTAAAAGATTGAGATGATATATTTAATTTTACTAAAAATTTTTAATATTTACGTGAATATGCTGGCTAGGAATTAGACTCCAAATGGTTTCATTTTGCTTTACGGGGAATGATAATTGACCGTTTAACAAGTGAGACCATTTTTCAGGACTATCGGCGCCGGTAATATTTTTTTCTCTTATCGCGACCTTGATTTCCTTGCTCGATACGCTGACTTTGAGGTCACGGGGGCTCATCAGACTGCTAGGAATGTTCAGGAGCACGTCAAGGTCGCTTATACTTTGCGACCAACTGAAATTATCATGACTAGCACCATTGTAACTATCTGGATCTTGCACTCGAGCAGTATAATCACTCATTTTTTATCTAATTTTTTTTTTAATAAATTTATAGATGTCATTTTATATTAAAAAAAAAAAAAAAAAAAAAAAAAGAATATCGATAAAAAAAAATAACAAAAAAAATTTAATTTTTAATTATTGTTAATTTCAACAATAAAATTTATTAAATACGTGTAATTATTTACAAGCATAAATTACATTTAAATAAATAATAAATTGGTAAAAAATAAAAATATATATTCAACAATCAATAATTATTATCTGTAAAATTTTTTAAACTAAAAAAAAATTTATCATTTTGATTAGATGCGTAAAAACGTGCAACAAAATTACGATACTAAAACTCTAAAAAATTGTCAATTATTTTCAGTATTATAAAATAACTTCCGAGTATTAAATAAATTAATTATAATTAATAGTACAATACAGGTTTACAGAGCATTATCACATTGTATAAATATTAATTGGGACGCAAGAGTGATTTCTTAATTCTATACTATTTCATAGTGGCCTTGTTTTTGTTTGTTTATTGTACATACTACAGACTATTTTTAGGATAATTAATTATTAATATTAACTAAATTGGAAGATTTATATAAATGTAATAATTTTTATCACGTTGATAATTGAGAAAGATTTGTATGTACGGAAAATGTCCGAAGAAGAGATCATATACTTGATTAATTGCTACAATATTTTATAAATATTTATAAATATACCAGGATAATGAAATATATAAGCTCTTTATATTTGGACGTTTGACAATAATATATAAAAATGTTTAATTTAATATTTAATAATATTTAACTTTGCACCTTAAAGCACTCCTCTGGTATCAATTGGTGATTAATATGTTATTAATTATCAATAATTCATATCTCTTGATAGAACAATCTTCAATACAGCAACAATAATTGATTAATTGATGATTAATAATTTTCTAGGCAGCTGACCAATGCTCGGACCTCCACAATAAAGTGTACATGTTATGTTTAAGATCTTCAGCGAGCAGACAATCCAACGGATAATCAGTGTATCGTGAAATTAAGCTACGGTATCCCTGCCCGACAGTAGCGAGGAACAATTTCTTTTTGTCATTGGATTTCAAGGCAACTATTTGGCACACTTTGCCCTCAAATGGCCTAAAAACGGTGATTGGCCTCAAAGAATTGCACTCAGCGACTGCGATGCACCCCCAAGTAGTTCCAATGTACAGCTGATTGGAACAGGCCTCCAAAGCCGTCACTTGGCAGCGTTCGGTAGTCAAGTTTTCTTCAATGGAAATAGACTTGAGGCTCTCGGAGCAAGGAACCAACTTGGACATGTCAAGTTTGTTGATAATCTGACGAGTTTCAACATCCCACTGGTAGACGATGCACCCAGGGTAAGTATAACTAAGCACCGAGTTTTCAGCGCTCAATAAATAAGTAGCGAATAAATTTTTACTTGCAGTTTCATTGGGAATGTGGATCAATTCACAGGTGTCCACCAAGTTGGAGTCCTTGAGAACGTAGATGGTTATTCTTCCGAAGCTCTGACCGGTCCACAGCTCGAGAACCCGCCTTCGACGATGAACCGCAGTCAACGAGTAAGTTTTAATATTACCAACAACTTTAGTCTCTATCTCTGTCTTTTTCATCTGCGTGAAATTGTTGTTGAGCAAATAAATCTTCCCACTGTACAACGCGACCGCAAATTGCTTGAGCTGCTCGAGGTGGATCAAACCAATGACCTTGGAGTCGGTATAATGATCAGGTTCAAGATTATAGCTTCCTACACAGCCAAAGTTACTTCCCAGGTAGACGTGAATCTGTCCAGCATTGTCTCCAATCCAAATGTAGCCGTCGAGCCCGCACATTGCGTACGGAATAACGGGTGTTTCTATTCTGACGTGCTGCAGCCAACCTTTTTCTGTCCCCAACAGCATGTCAACTTCCCCGTTGTTGTGTCCCAGCCATATTTCATCTCCATTTACATTGTCATCCAGCAATCGTGAGGTCGCTGTTATTGCCGTGACATGAGTCCGCTCTGTCAGAAGAGTCACGTCTATTAAGTGAGTAAACTCCGGCGCGGATGCAATCGAGACTATTTGACTAGCAGTCGGTCGATCTTTAGGATTCTGAGCCCAACAAATAACCATCAGGTCCAATAAATAGCACGGATAAAGCGTCTCACGGAATGTCAGCGGGGGTCTGCCGCCTTCTAGAATGCATTCCTTTACGGCTTCGTGTCCCTCGAACGGCTGTCGGAGAGTGACAAGCTCGTAGATGAACATTCCAAACGAAAACGAGTCTACTTTCTCCGTGTACTCCTCTTCCCCGTTATACTTTATTATCTCCGGGGCCATGAAGCCTTCGGTACCGCCGAACCCTTTTGCTCCAGAGGGCAAAGTCAGCCGGGAAATCCCGTAGTCTGCGACTTTCACGTGGACATTGTGCTGCTCTGGAAACTCTACAAAGGGCAGAGGCATCTGCCAAACTAGAACGTTCTCAGATTTAAGGTCTCTGTAGATTACGTGCTGCTGGTGTAGATACTCAACAGCTTTGGCGACTTGGAGGATTATTGACTGAAGAGGAAAAGGGTCCAGCTTGGCGCCAGAGCGACGGTAATTCTTAAGAACGTTGTCCAAAGCCCCCTCGGGCGCCAGATCTAGAACTAAAGCCAGAGGACTGATAACAATTCCAACAAGAGGGACAATATTTACATGCCTGAGGGTCAGCAGAATATTTAATTCCTGTCGCGCTGTGCAATAGGCCTTGCAGGCATACTGAAGAGGGTCACGATCCCACTTACTCTGAGCGGCTTTGTACGCCAACACCGCCGATGGTTTAGAATTCGGACCTGGTGGAACGGGTTGGAGCATCTTCATCGCTACGTCTATCCTTCCCGCACTCCCCGGAGCTCGACAATTTCCTTTGAAAACAAACCCAAAAGCTCCACGGCCAAGCATCCTTCCACGCTTGATGTCTTCTGGCTTGATGAGATGCTTCGCGCCAAGGTCCATGAAGATAATGTCAGGCGCGATGTGAGATAGCGGGATGTCCAAGTGTTTGGGACAGGCTATTGTCTTGTTGCTGTAAGCGGACAGAATGCATTCTTCGACCATCCACGAGTAGGCGAGAATACCTTCAGGTTTAGGATACTGGCGAATTAAATCAGGATGCCCTTCCAAGGATGGCATTCTGCTGGAGGCTGAACTGTCGTAGCCTACGCCACTATCACCGTCTGATTTGTAACTATCCTGGCTCTGCCGTTCCCGGTTGTTCATGAAAAACTTGGGAATGTCTTCAGGATCCTGATCGCTAGTTTCTTCATGGTCACCGTTATTCAAAAGACAGCGCGGGCAAGGTATCAACCTGGTCACTAACAACTTTCCTTCAGAAGTATGAACAAACCTGGTTCCCAAAGTTGGATACCAGTCTTCTAATAAAATGTCAATGTGGTCGACAATCAGCGCCAATAATTGAGGCATGCTCTCTGGTCTTGGTTCGACGACAATCGCCTGGTAGCCTATGGGTTCATCATCCACAGAATCGGATAAGATTGGCTGTTTTATCACCAAAGTATCAACTGGGAACCAAATTTCTAAAATCGCCGAGTTCTTCAGATCAACGGTACACCAAATTCCGTCCTGCTTGAGCTTGAATTTGAACTGTCTGTAGTCGTAAGGTGTGTTTTTCAGATTATAATTGACCTCTTTTAGCCTGAGAAGAGTCACACCTGCATACCGAAGCTCGAGACCTGTTTGCCAGAGCACCCATTCTGCGTGGGTATCGGTCAGCGCAGAAAATACACTTTCATCAACAATTTGTTTGAACGGGGAGATAAACGACATTACTATCTCCACGATAGCGTCGTCGGCGAGTATCCTGGTAATAAGTCTCGACCAGAATCCACTTGGAAAATAGGACATCAGAAGCAGTCGAGTGACCGAGCAGTCTGGTTGGGGTCTTGATGTAAGCGAACAGTTCCTGCTATTTTTCTCCATTGAAATCCCAGAAGAGGGTGTTGTCGGCGTGGATATCTTTTTGGATCTGACGTGCCAGCTCCGAGTTTTTACGGGAATTTTAATCAATTGATTGTTCCTCAGGATATCTTCCTCTGTCGGTAACAAAGTTGGTATCAGCAGAGTTCGATAGTCCCAGGTCAGCGCCACCTCGAACTTGTTCAGCAAGCTAACAATATAACCCTGAGTGTCTGTCGAGGACATTGTGGATGACTTGAAGACATGCTGAATGTCATCTAGCTTCATGATTCCGCACCTGGCGAAGGGATTTATCTCGCGAATGGTCACTACATGAGCTAGCATATCGCAGAGCCATTGAGGATCAAGAAAATACAAATCACGAAGCGTTGCGTCGTCGTAGTGCAAAATGATTCCGTTTTCATGAAGAAAGAGCGTCGCCTGATGCAACTCTGCTGGGTCTCGAAACGACCTGTGAAGTTTGTGAAGCTCATTATTGACTGCTGCGTAGTACTGGTCGGCTTTTAAGACCGGATCTGCTCCAGAAAGCTTTCTGTCATGCGCCAATTGGACTACGACATCCTCCAGAGCAAGATAACTGGCTGGAACTCGTTGCTCCAGCAACAGTTCCTTGCTTCCGGGTGACCTTAGACTGAAAACGACATCGTAAATCAGATTACAAAGCATCTTAATATTGTGCCTGGTCTTGCAGCTGATTTCAATAGTCTCCATCACTTTCGGCAGCCCGCACTTCTCAGCGTCCACTACGTTAATGAACTTTTCGCGAATGTATTGCTGAAGTGACTCGCTCTGTTCATTAGAAACGTCGTAGTGAGTCCCGACAATAATTACAGGAGAGTTTGGAGCGCGACTTTGGATGTTCACTAACCATTGGAATATCTCATTGATGCCCTTGAGACCATCAATAATCTTCCAGACGACAATATAAAGACTGCGTTTCGACAAAAAGTACTGATGGGTGGCATAGTACTCTTTTTGCCCGCCAAAGTCCCAGGTCCGGAAGTAAACAGGTCCATGAGAGGACTGCCCACGGACTTTTTTCTCGTAAATCCAGTCTCCAATGTCTACACCAACGGTGGAGATGGTGGTACCTTTAGCAGTCTTTGTATTGATATTCTTGTTGCCCATTCTCTTGGTCCAGTGTTCAGAAGCTTTCTTTTTATTTGGGACCTCGCCTTCTTGCCTAAGTTGCTCCAACAGACTGGTCTTGCCAATTCCTTGGATACCTACAATCATGAGCTTCATCCTAGCGTAGGGTTTTGCGTCCTCTAGTACTGACTTGAGGTAACCAACGACGTCCATGGTCTTGTACTTCTTGGACTCAATCATCGACTTTAATGGTTCCTGAAGTCGACAGCCCTGGGTGTTGAGATTCCACAGCCTCGACAAAAGACCCATCTGAGGAGGCAGTTCCGTAATCTCAGCATTCCCGCTGATGTTCAGAACCGAGAGATTGTTCAGCTCGTAAATGTTGAGCGGGATCTCCTTCAACTGGTTACTGCTGACATCGAGCATGCTGACGTTGGGGAATAACAAGTACAGTTTAGATCCAGAGTACGCGATTTTTGTGTCTCGGTCGATGCTTTCTTCCTCGACATTCGGAGACTCTCCGTCATCGACTGAAGTCAGCTGGATCCTGGTCAGAGAATTGTTGGCCAGCACCAACGTTCTCAAATTTTCCAGCCTCAGGTGTCTCCGGTGGGTGCAAACAGACATTAAGACAACGTCCCTCAATGAGGTTGTTGTTTGCCTGTTGTTGGACACCATCGGCGACTGAATGTTGGTCGCTGGACAGTAACAAGCAGTCGAGGCCTGCTCCATTAGATCTGCTCCGTCGACCTGAGGTAGACTTGGCCAGCATGAAATCTGATTGTTCGACAGGTCCAGTTGTTTCAGACTAGCTGGGTAAGAGGTTATATGACTCATTGACCTCAGAGAATTATACGCCATGTTGAGTCTTATCAGATTGACCGCCAAACATGGCAAAGCCACTGGAACGCTGGTGAATAAATTATGCGCCAAGTTTAACGACGTCAGCACGGATCTAGTTCCTGGCTCTGTGTCGTCAGAAATTTTCTCAGTTACTTGAACGGATTCTGTCCAAACATGCGGCCTTTCCAATTCAATTATCTGAGCGTTGGCTAGCTTGATAAAAGACTCAAATTCCGTGGAATCTTCGTGAGGGATTCCCAACTGGGAGTTTATACTTCTGCTGCTTGGACTGTTGCTCAGTATATCGTCACGCTGAACTCGCCGGGAAATATTCTGCGATACCTGACTAGGTAAGTCCCTGAGAAGGTTAAAAGATGCGTTCAACTCTTTTAACTTTGGTGCTTGCCACAAATTATCCGGCAAGCACTGCAATTTGTTATTGGAAACATCAATTATTTCAAGTGCTGGCAAGTTCATCAAGAAATTCGGCAACGTTTCAAGCCGGTTGTCCTGTAAGTAAATTTCTTCCAACACAGGACACAATTTCTCCCGAGGATTACTCGGCTCGGCAACTAAATTGTCTATTTTATTCTGCGCCATGTTCAAATACTTCAAGCTCTGGAGATAAAAAATCAGCGACGGTACGGTCGTTATAGAATTGTGAGAAATATCGATCCTAGTTATGGCGTAGAGCACCAGATCATTGTTCTTCACACTCAACTTTTTATTAACATGAAGCACCGCGTCTATCAGCCATTGCCCTCGAATCTGAGACAGCCTGCACTGCTGATCATGCCAATTAATCATCGTAGGCGTGTTGGGGAACAATGACGGGTAGGTAACATTTCCAAAACTGGACAATGCTGAGAAATGGGAGGTTTGCGTTCCTTCAGTCATTGCTTTTTTGTTGATCTTATACTCTGGATCAGGATGCGCTTTTATAGACAGCAGTTTTGCAGTGAGAACTTCATCGCGATTCTGTGCTGCAATTTTAAGCGCTCTGCAGTCATTGTCCACTGCGCCGTGCTTCAGCAACAAGTCAGTGATCTTGACATCGCGATTTTGGCACGCTATTGTCAGTACACTGGTAATTCCCTCGTTGTTGTCAGTACTGCTAGCACTACTAGTGCTTCCATCATTTAGTTTAATATTGATGGGCAGGTTGGGGTTAGCCCCCGCCTGAAGCAACGCTGCAACAACCTCCGTGTGACCCGTCTTGACAGCAGCATGCAGGGCAGTTTCTGAGCTGTTGTTGCAGTAAATATCCAGATTAATCGGCGAGATCAAATTATCGTCTCTCTTGTCACTATTCTTGCTGCGGAAATTAAGACTGGACATCAGTCTCTGAATTCCACTGGAGATCCTGCGCTTGGAGACCGATATCGGCTGACTGATGCCTTCTTCGGTCTTAATTTTGTTAGACTTAACTCTAAAATTAAGCAGAAGCTCAACTATTTTAACATTACCGAGCACGCTGACGATGTAGAGAACGTTCTGACCGGTGACGTCTTGGGTGTTGATGTCAAACGTCATCTCGTACTCGAACTCACTGGACGGATCCTTGAAGCGCTGGTTCAGGTGCTGAGGATACTCGAACTTGAGCAACAAATCCACGACAGCATGGTGACCATTAATCGCTGCTGCGTGGATCGGCAACCATCTTTCAACAGTCAGCGACTGGATTTGCTTCGGAAAGTACCGGAGCAGGAGCTCAACAATCTCCAGCTTCCCGTTGTAGCAAGCGATGTACAGAGGACAGTACTTTGTCACGGGATGACTGCGACAGTCTGCTCCGTTGTCCAGCAGAAGACGGACTATGTCCCTGTGACCGAGTTCTGAGGCTACAAAAAGCAAAGTGTTGGCCCCATTGGGCGCCATGTTAACAACAAACTCAAAGCAGTCGCAATTTTGAATGATACTTCTCACCGCAACGGTGTCACCCTGGATACAAGCCGCCCTTAGAGTAGCGTGAGTCGCTGCTCGGGCTAGTTCATACTTCTCAGCTGCTTTTTCCAGCAGAATTACACAAGTAGTGTCATTATTCTTCTCAGCAATTGCCAGAGGGTTGAGATTGTTCGCGTCCACGGCTCCCAGGTTGACGTTGTACTCCAGCAGTTTTTTTATGTTCCCAGAGTGGCCGTGCTCCGCGCAGACGTGCAGTGGAGTTCGGTACTGACCTCGTGGGCCGCAGGGAATGTTCGGGTTTGCTCCAGCTGATAATAATACTCCGAGACATCTAGAGTTTTCAGTTATCGCGGCTGCATGCAGCGGAGCGCGGCCCCACGAGTCCTGGTTGTTTATATACTGGGCATGCTCACCGCCAAGAAGGTCTTCCAGCAGCTCCGCGTTGTCCCACAATGCTGCTTGGTGCAAAAGCCGACCAGGAAAGTCCTCGTCTACCGGAGTGTAATCTTCCATACTAAAAAAATTATTTATATTTTTATTATTTAAATAATTAATAATTTTTAAATCAATGATACTGAAATCAGCTGATAATTATTAAATTTTTTAAAAATAATTTAGTGAATATAAAAATTTTTAAAATTGTCAGTCATAAAATTTAATTTCAGTATTATGTAAAATAATTCTTCTTGAAAAAAAAATAAATACTCACATTTCAATGATGAAAATATATAAAATTCACTTGGGTTCCATTTTTTTTCAAACACTCATCAATAATTTACGTGATATCTTGATACTTCAAATCGTAGACTGATATTAAGAGGTTATTGTTTATCTCCCAGTTATCAGTGAAAATCATTTCTTAACTTTCATTACCTTTATTTAATTACTGAATATATTACCGTCAATTAAAAATAAAAAGTTAACAAATAACAACAATAACAACACAGCACTGTTTTTTCATTATTTACGATTGTTGGTTAAACATTGTCGCCGGAAATTAAAACAACTTTAACTAGATATATTTTGGAGTGGTTTTTTTAAACGTCAAAATTATTGACAATTAGATAGAGACAGAGATGATGGAGGCTTTTTGACCACCGCGCGCGGCAGATTGACTCCATTTTGTAAATGAACACTTCTATACTATCGACTGGGAAAAGCGTGTGCTAGTGTGCAATGAAACGAATGAAATGAACAATAAATAGATATATGACAACAGCTGCTCGGAGTTTTATTGTGTTTGTGTGTCCGTGTATTTAAAAAATATACTGGTAGGGTGTGGATGAATTATTTTTTTTAACACTGATAGGCGGGAAATCAATCTTTATACCTAAAGCCGTCAATGAGATCGATCCTATTACGTAATTTAATTTCCGTATGTTGACTGGTTGACCTTAATGAATAGTTTATAAAAAAAAATATTCAGTGTTTTATTAAAAATTTTTCTTTGTAAATTAATGTTATTGAAGTTAGCTGACAGCTGTCAATTTTTTAATAATTTAATTACAATGAAAAAAAAAATGCTTCTAAAACTTTGTTTTTAATTTTCGCATGTTGAATTTTTTTATTAAATTCTTTTTTCATAATTTTTATTGTTATAAAATTAAAAAAAAAATTTATGTTTGTCATATAAATTATATGATCGAAAAAATCAAGCGACCGTAAAGTAAAAAACAGTTATATCTTAAATTTTAATCTGCTATTATTATTTTACAAGTAATAATTAATAATTATTAAAAGTATTGTATTAATTATTTTTTACCAAGTATAAAAATCATTAATAATATATTAAATCATGAGGATAAACACTAATCCTCTTAATTCAATATTCCATAAAATAAATTCTCACGTTGAGAAATGAAAATAATACTCCCTAGCCTTCTCAAAGGTATCACATGCTCTATTAAACCAGTTATTATCGCTTTCATCCAGTTGATCAACTAGAAAATATCAGGTGTTGTATTACTTGAGTTCTTATATCTAAATATTGTAATTTAGATTTTATTACGTGAAAGTTAAGGAGACATATCTGCTAATGTCCAAAGATCGATCATCTATTTAATGTTAAAGAAAGTCGCAGTTGACAATTGATGATAATAATAATAATAATAATATCACAAATAATGTTTTTATAGAAATACGGTGTTTATTTAAATTACAAAATCATTAAGATTAGCGGAAAGTTAATTTAAATTTTTTTATAAATACATTTAAAAAAATAAAATTAATCCTTTTCGCAGCCTTCGAGATTCAAAGCACGTGCTAGATTTCTCGCGACCGCTAACCGGAATATTTCAAGTTTATCTTCGAATTTGGGGTCGTCACCGTGTGCTTCGACGCAGCGTGCTAGTATGGATGTGTCTTCGCTTGAAAACAATACTTCATCACTTTCTAAAAGTGGAATCGCGTCTGTCAACAGTGTTGACCAGAAACTAAAAATATAAATAGGAAATTTAGTAAAGATTTCAAATAAATTATTATTATTATTATTATTATTATTATTATTAAATAAAGAACTTACTACTTCGGTGTCAAATTTGAAATTATCAGAGCGATTAATAATCGCGCGGCTTCTTTGAATTCTCTTATTTCATACATTTGATGGAATTCGCAGTATTTTCCTGATGAAAAAAAAAAAAAAAAAAAAAAAAAAAAAAAAAAATTAATAAATAAATTGATATAAAAGTGTAGAAAATTATTGATATTTTACCTAAAAATGTTAAACGGTCACTGGTCAACATAGAAGCTCCTAAATTTTCTAAAAGATCTTTGCACTGAATTTTACTTTCATTAACATAATGTTTAAGAAATTCATCGGCAATGTACGTAGCAAAAGCACCGTCTTGCGCTTTGATAGCCCAGGCTAAAGCATTTCCTATTCTTCCGCGTCTAATGGATTTCATTCCTTGTATTTTACACAAACTTCTCACTAAAAAATTAATAAATTATTTTTTTTTATTACATATAATAGATTTAAAAATTAATTTCAACTTACCAACATTAATTAAATCATTATTACGAGCAACATTAATTATTTTGTTAATTCTTGCTTCACTTCCCATAGGAATGGATTGCAATAATGCTTCTAATCGAGCTAATCCAGATGTTGGACAGTGCTCGAGATAACTTGCCCCGCATTGCCAAAGTGACGAGTGACTGAATAATGTACTTCCGTAATCCAACAAAAGTGACTCGTGTAATTGTGCTGTTACACTGTAAAACGTAATTAGAAAATTTTTAATAAAAAACCGAAGATGTTAAAAGATTCATACGAATCTTTAAATTATTATAATTAAATTTAATAAATTATTTTTATAACTTTCAGTCAACCACAAAAATAAAATGATATACTTTGCTTGTTCTTCATCCATTATTTTAAGTTTCTCGCAACTGTACAGTAAATCAGTGAGATGAGCTGCAAACCAACCATTGTCATTCATATATTGTATCTGTTCAATAACTTTGTACAAATCGCTCTCCATCAGAGCGAGAATAATGTGATCTAAATTTCTTCCAGCTTGCCAGCGCTCGGCAATGTTATTTGCGTGTTGCGCAAGCTCTGGTTGTTTGCAGCAAGGCGACGAGTAGAGCAATTTCGCAGCAACAAGTTCGTACCACGCTTCTGTGTATTTTGCGAATTCCCACAATGTTGATTCGTCACCAGATATCAACTGTTAAATAAATAAAATTATAATTCTATTTAAAATAAATAAAAGAAAATAAAGATTTAAAGATTTCTTACTCTCATGAGCTCTTCCAAATTATGATCGATAATAAAGGTTTTGTACTCGAGGTTTGAGCTCAAATCGGATTGCCAGTGCTTCCAGCGCATTGTAAATTCATTAACAGAGTACCCACCGTAAACATTGTAAACTGGCATTGTTTTGAGAGCTTGAGTAGCGGTTACGAAAGCCGGATGATCGGCTTTTGTGTGGAAAGACAAAAGTGCGCACACAATGTCTAATTTACCATGTAGAGCACAACCTATTACAGCTTCCCAGTAATTAATGTTCTCTAATTCGGCGCCGATTGTTTTCTTCGATAAAATTTTTAGCGCTGCCAGTTCGCGGGATGGAAAATGAAAACGTACCCATTCTAATAATTGAGGAAGTACAACGTCGCCTTGAAATAGAAAAGAAAAAAAAAAAAAAAAAAAAATTAGTAATTTTAAATTTTATTTGATAAAAAAATTGCATTTTTAAATTTTTACATGTCAATTTTTTTTTTCTAATTTTTTTGTACCATAATTTATTTGTTATAAAATTTTTAGTTATATGCTAAATTAGTTTTCATAAATTAGTATCATATAATTGAATAAGAATATTTGTACAATTTAATAATTACCTGGGAGGGTATCAATGTACAAAATTTCAGTCAAGTGCCAAACGCATTCAACATTGTAAAAAATAGTGAGAAAATTTTCATACAGTTCTCGATCATCAGAAATATTCTCAGCTGCATCTTGCAAACTTTCGACGCAAGCCCTTAAAATAGAACGGTACTGTTTGCTGTGTCGTACAAGTTCTGGTCTCACTTCGTTGAAATTAGACTTTTGGATTTTTCTTATTGAAAGAAAAATACCGTTACTTTCGTTTACTAATTTACGGAGTATTGAGTTGAATAATATTATTTCTGGTCCGAGAAAATGCACTTGACTATCACACGGGTAAAAATTACTATTTTTATCTGAAAAATTATTATAAATTTAATAAATAAATAAAAATAAATAAAATAAACCGGTAAACAATAACTAACCTCCAGAATAAACATTGATATGCTTGTGAGCAAATACTCCAAGATTATTCCCAGTTCTCCAAGTAGCTGCAATACCTGCCCGTCTGCATAAATCATCGGGTATTTGCTAATTTTTATTGCAAAAAAATAAATAATTAAATTGACAAGTTTTATGTCAATAAACATTGATATTAAGGAGTAAATTTTAGGTTAGAATTATTAAAAAAATAAAACTTTTAAAAATACTTACGAAAATTTGTGGAATATCTTCTTCAGCCATTTTTTATTATTAATTAATAAACAATAGTATAAAAAAAAAAAATAATAACAATTACTTATATAACAGCGAGATTGATGTTTACGTAAAGTCTCTCAATTCGCGGTAAAATGGTAAAATGTATTGAGTGCTGCGCGGGTAAAAATAATAACAGAGCATGCGCAAGAATCAGCGGGAAAAATGACAAAAATTCAAAAAATGAAACTAAAACGATTAGGATAATTATTAACTTTAATGATTGTTAAATAAAATTAAAAAATAATATTATCATATTATTAATAAATTAAATAATTAATTAAGTGGATGTTATATAGTTATAAATAAAATATATGTATATAAAAATAATTATACTGGCAAAATGTCGGCAATTTATTTTAGGAACAACAAAACTTTAATATATTCATCTTTTTAAAAACCTGCCAGAGCCCACATATATTATGATTTATGATTAAGTCGCAGTTGCCGTTTTTAGGTGCAATTAATTATTATTATTATTATTATTATTATTATTATTATTATTATTTATTTATTTACAAATTATAATTTAATTAATAGTTCTGCAAGTTTTTCATATGTTTATTTTAAATTAAAAGTTTATCATTTAGAAGTTTGTTTGTTTTTTTTTTTTTTCTTCTGTTTATTTTTTTCAGTCTTAGATTGCTTTTACCAAAAAAAATCACACTGTTTTATTAAATCATTATTATTATGTATATTTTTCTGTACACAGCAGATCATGTAAAAGATTTAGATTTATTTATCTGTTTTTATCGAGAGAACACCCGGCGAAAGGATGCGACTTTTTTTTCCAATTCCTCAAAAAAAAAACATTTTTGTTTTTTTTCTTAATTTTTTATTTACTAATTACTTAATTTAAACTTAATTATTGGTAAAATCTATTAAAGGCATTTTTGACAGTACCCACACTTGCAATATTAATAAATTAATTAATTTAAAAAAATTTATCTAAAAATTTACATTTTTTTCTAGTAATTTAGAAAAAAAAATTTGGTAAAAATTTTCAATCTAATCCTCGTTATTTAAATAAAATAATAATAGTATAATAAATACGAAAGAAGTGAAGGGTACTGTCTAACAACGCCGTTAAATGTCACAGCATAATTAATTAATAATAAAAACAGTGTACACCCACGGTAGCATAAATAAAATAAAAAAAATAATCAGCACAGATTACTTATATCTTATTAGCTTATTACATTTGTTTTGTTTCTTCTTTTCTTTAATATGTATTTAAAGATATTTATTTATTTTTATTGATATAAAATAAACCATTTGCTCTAACTGTAAAAAATAAGGTGTCATTGATAAAAATCGGACAAAAGTATAAAATAATAAAATCCTTTCCCCGTAGTTAAACTCTCTGCGTACAAGTAATCTATCTACACACATCTATTCATCATTTATATTAAATGTGATGCCAAAAGTATGTAAAATGTTAAAAGCTAGATAAAAAACGTGTTCTTTGATTTTCAGTTTAGTTCAGTTCAGACTGTCCCTGTATCGTAAATTATTTAAAAACAAACTCATGTTTTTAGTATTACATTTATCTAGTTTCATTTTTTTTTCTATAAACTTTAATTGCACACCCCGTAATCGTAACTTTTTATCAGTATTGAGGAATTACAAAAATTCATTAACTTGATATAGATTAACCATTATTATTATTATTATTATTATTATTATTATTATTATTATTATAACTTTTATTTTTTGTATAAAAAAACCTTTCATTTGGCGTGATGTGATGTCTGTTGGTCTTGTACGTATAATTGTCTTAATTTATCTATATTTTATTCATTATCAGTTATCATACATATCTATTATTAGTTTTATTTTATACTGTTACTATTATTATTGTATATTTATTAGATACTCGAATTGCTTTTCTTTTGTGATAAAATTTGTACAAAAAAATTTTTTACATCTTTTAAGACTACAGTGGAAAAGTTTTAACATTGAATATCAGTCCTTTTAAAATGTATCTGTTTTTAAAATTTTTGATTTATAATTATGTTTCGATAAACAATCATTTTATTACGGGGTGTACATTATTAATAAATTATTTTTGACAGAACTATATTTTATTTTATAATAAAATTCTCAAAGATTCGTTAAAATGTTTCATCGATTCCTATCGCTTTACACCAAAAATTCAACTAAAATTATAATAATATCAATAATAATTGACTAGCTTAAATTCAAAAGTGTACTTTAATTTTTGTTTAATAAATAAAAACCAATTTGAAAATAAGAAAATCTTTAAAGATTTATTTTTTTAATTAATTTAATTTCGATAATAATTATAAAATAAATATCGATGTCCATAATTTTGTACTAGATTACAAATTTTTAAAATTTTTAAATAATTCAAAAGTCCGTCTTCTGAATTTCAGCTGCTCAATTACAATTATAAAAATAATAATATTAATAATAATAATAATAATAATAATAATATCAATAATTATAATGTTATAATTTAAAAATCATATTTACAATTCGTAGTTGCCATTATGGAATAGCCATACAATTTATTCCAATAAAATGACGGATTAATTGAGATAAATCATTTTTAAATAGCTGCTTTTTACAAAATTACATTACAAATCCGGCAGAGCTGGCACCTGGGTAGGATACCTCGGCTTATCTGCCTACCACATGTACATTTTCTAAAATTAAAGTTACACGATGGCGCTTTGTTCTTTAATTATTCATATCAATGTTTCATTTAATTTAATTTAATTTAATTTAATTTAATCAATGTTTTTTTTTTTCTTCTTCTTCTTCTTCTTCTTCTTCTTCTTCTTTATATCAGCATTATTATCATTATTTATATAACCTTATTTAAAATTTTTAAATTATTATATATATTTATATGTATATATATATATATATTTATATTTATATGTATACTCCAATTACCACTAATATATATTAAGATAGTGTACAATTTAGTGTATAAATAATTATTGCCATAGTGAAACGGAAATAAATGATAATTGCGGCTGGAATTACGCTAGACCACTAAGTCGAGCCAGTGTTTGTTTGTGAAAGACATTGGTGGCGTTACAACCGTTGTTTACCATCCTTATTTATATTAAAAAGGTGATAAATACACATAAAATAAGATAACTGTGTGGTAAATTTATTATTAATATTACTGTTTAAAACCTTAACGCTTAAAGAATGTTCAACATACTTTATTTTTCGAGGAGGGTCACGAGCCCATTATGCTACGGACCGCTTGATCGAGCACTGGGTCTTTAGATTCACTAGATTGGGACGCGCCGGGAGCGCTGGTGGTTGCCGTTGAGCTAGAGGGTCTTTTTTTGAGATTCAAAATACTGTCGATAGCCGACTGGACTTGAGCGGTGATGTCGTCGTGTTCGAGGATGTTGCTGGTATCAACGTCCCCGGGTAAAGAGTGCACCTGGGAGTGGAAAGCCAGCTCGTCGAGGCTGTCCGTGTCCTCGAGCAAGTCTCGCTCGAGCTCAGTCGCGCAATTCGCGCCGGAGCACCAGCGTTTCTCGCCGGCCAACATCGGCTCCATCGACATGTCCGACTCGATTATCACGTTCTTCAACATAGTACTTGGTATCGCGGCACTTGAGAAATTCACACAACTGGCACGTGGGGGAAGGCTTTCGCCGTTATTTCGCGTTCTTTCGGTCCTCGAGGGCTTCACCGTCGTGCCAGTTACACCTGGATTAACACCACTAATGTTTTTGCACTTTAAGGAATCACCAGTCGAGTGATAAACTCCCAGTTCTTTTTGAATCTCTAGCCACTCGTCGTAGTCACCACTCGTGCTACTAGACGGCTTTAGGTTCAATTTGGAATCTCCCTCGATACTCGAAAAGTCCTCCTCCTGTTCTTTCTTCACTGAGATGTTTGCTAGAGAAGACACTGGCTTTTCTTCATCCATTGGGTCTGCTTCTAATTTTGGAAATATTGGTTTTTCTTCTTTCTTTAACTCTTCTGCAAATTGAATAAAATAATTATCTATATTATTAAGAGACCTCGTATCTTGTCAACTATTGACATTTTTAAAGATATAAGCTCATCCCGATGTTACATTCATCAAGAGCTTTCATTTGAGTACCCACATCAATTTTTCATATATTTTATATATTTATTGTATATATACATTGTATATATGAAAAATATATCGAAAATGCATATGGGTACTCAAATGAAAGCTCTTGGTGAATGTAACATCGGGATGATCTTATATCTTTAAAAACGTCAATAGTTAAAAAAGTACAATGCAATTCAACAAAATTCATTATTTAATAAAGCAAAATTTTATTTATTTCAATTTCACATAGTGAAATAAAAAAATATATTCTTACCATTGGCTTTAGTTTCATCATTAACAAATATCCGATCAATCATCATGAGCTCAGACGTCCTAACTTCCCGCTAAAAATAAAAACAGAGATTAATAAAACTGCCTCACTGTATAAATATAGCAATAATAATAAAATCAATAATACACACCATACTGTCCATCAGCAGCAGATAGGTGTACTTATTAACCATCAAACTAAATTTATTAAGTAAATGTTTAGCCGTCTCCTCGAATATTTCGTCGGCTTTGGCGAGATCCTTGGCGCTCAACACTTGCTCATTTAAGCAATGGTAGTTAAGAAGCCTTTCACAAGCATTTTTCTTATCAAGGAAAGGAGTATTTACATCCGGGTTGGTAGCTCCAGCCTGATCAAGCTTCAGCTGTTTTTCTATCACATCGCTTCGGTTAATCTGCCGGCAAATCGGACTAGTCGCTGGTCTTTTAATCCCCTGCTTGGGACTCTCCGCCGGAGGATTAGTTATTTTCACAGTCTGGCCACTCAGATTACTACTATTAATATTATTATTATTACTATTGTTATTATTATTATTATTCCCACAGGGAACAGTTATTGGATTCTGGATACTCTGGTTAGGAATGGGGACTCTCGGCGACGTAGCGACCGGGGTAGTTTGTACTTGAAGTTGTGCCTGGACCTGGACCGGTGACAACAATTCCTGCTTTATTGGACTCAGCAGTTTAATGTCTGGCTTAATATCCGGCGGGTCTGTTTGGCACTGAGTCGACTGTTGCTGAGTGACGATCGGTACCGGATTTAGTATTTGAGTCTGAGCGGTCGTCGACGGCGCGGTAGACAAGGACGGACTTACCAGCTGATTATTGTGAACCTGGTAAAACTTCTGCTGAGGTTGTTTGCTCACCGGAGGCTGCAAACTAGTACCAGTGTTTGAAATATTGGGCATGCTCTGGCCAACACTGCTTATCACTGCATCACAACCAGCCCCACTTGCTGCGAGATCTTTTATGTTTACATTAACGCACTGAGTATTTAAAGAAACAGGAACAGCTGGAGTTTGGGTCTCGACCGTCGACGTTGGATTTTTATTCGCCAAAGGTTGCGACACCGAGAACACTGTCGGTGAAGAAATGCTCGAATGCGATGTGGTCTCGGTTCCCGTCGGAATGGTCCCAGGTGGTGCGCTGACGACTTTTCCACCGGCAAGAATTTTCTCCCTTTCCTGAAAGAGTTTGCTGAGAAGAGCTCTGTCGCCAGGAGTGATTTGCTTTCGACTATTGATTGCCTGGATCTGACTCTGGATGTTCTTCAGCATTTGCTCTTTGAATATTGGCAGCTGGATAAACTTCCTGCCGGGTTGTCCGTTCGTCGGGGTGCTGGGAGACGTAACTCTGCCATTGCCGATGTTCTGACACTCACTTTTGCTGGGATTTGTACTGAGAGGCGTCGAAGGCGAAGGAGTTGTTTGGACTTTCCCGTCAACTCTTACCGAAGTCGTCGCCGTAGTCGTGGAACTCGTAATTGGCCTCGTTACCGTCTTTACATTGAACCCAGTCGTTTGAGCAGCTGAGGGTTTTCTCTTGACAACTTTAGTTTTCTTAACTGGGGCTGGCTGCTGGTTCATCTGCTGGTTGTTGGACAGATTTCTTATCTGTTGCTGGTTCAGATTATCAATAAACTGACTCGGGAACCCGGAGTTCTGGATCTGAATCTGGTGAGGCATCTGCGAGGGTGCAGCTTGCACTACGATGTTCTGGATGTTGTTTTGTATCGTTGGAGCCCCACCGGAGCTGTTTACAATAATCTGACTGGTTGGTGTGTTTATTTGGACACCCTGTAAATTTTGAGATGCTTCAGAGTCTCCAATAACGATTTTTTGATGCTGGTTTTGGCTCTGCTGAGTTGTGCTCAACTGATTCGCTGCCAACAATTGCTGGAAAGACTGCTGGTTGATAATATGCATCTGCCCGTTCGGATGCGCTATTAATATTTGGTCGTTTGGATTTAAATTACCTAAAGGATTAAATATATTAGTTCCTGGTGAATTATTCAGCATATCTACGTTCGGGAGATCTACTTTCTGTTTCGTATGATCTGTCCCCTGTGTTACGTTTACCAAGTGCGGATCACTTGAGAAAAATATATTTTGTTGCTGAACATTCGGCTGGGAGTTTATTATCTTCTGCGTGTCACATTGCAGAGAATTTTGACAAGGAATATTTGTACCAATTATTTTTTGATGCTGCTGTTGTAGATTTAAATTAACTAGATTTGTTATAGTTTGATGATGTTGCTGTTGCTGTTGTTGCTGCTGTTGCTGCTGCTGTTGTTGTTGTTGTTGTTGTTGTTGTTGTTGTTGTTGTTGTTGTTGTTGTTGTTGTTGTTGTTGTTGTTGTTGTTGTTGCTGCTGCTGTTGTTGTTGTTGTTGCTGTTGTTGTTGTTGTTGCTGCTGTTGTTGTTGTTGCTGCTGTTGTTGTTGTTGCTGCTGTTGTTGCTGCTGCTGTTGTTGCTGCTGCTGCTGCTGCTGCTGATGTTGATGAATTGCATCGACAACTTCTTGATTTCGTTGAGTTTCAAATCCTTGTAAATTTTGATCGATATTCTGAATATTTGGAGCTAAAATATTAATCCCTTGCTGGATATTATCACTAGACTGTAAAATTTGCATCGACTGCTGCGAATTAGCTGGATTTTGATGCACAAGATTCATAGAATTTTGCTGAACACCAGAAACAGTTATTTTGTGAAGATTTTGCTCAAGAACTCTTTGTACATTTAGCGACTGAATTGTGTGGGTTGAAATTTGCTGTAAATTTTGTTGGTTAATTTGCTCGTTCTGATGTTGTTGTTGTTGTTGTTGTTGAATTTGCTGTTGTTGCTGAGGTTTTTCATGTTGATTTTTCTGTAAAACCGTGCGAGTGTTTTTGACATTAACATTGCGATTAATGAAATTTCCTTGGCCCTGTGACTTTTGCCGAGCATTTTGCATCGGTGATTTTTTAATCCCAGTATTCGAAGGCGTTACAGTCTGCTGATTAACTTTCCCAGATTCGTTGAATAAATTACAGCCTGATTTAGGTGACATTGGTCCAACAGCAATATGAATCCCCGCATTAGACAATTGTACACCAGCATTTAGCGACTGAATATTTTTGGTAATTTGCGAAGCTTGCAAACTGTTCATTGAAGAGGACGGCGAAGAGGCTACCGAGTCGGTTCTCTGGTTAACATTAATATTCGTATTAGGTTGAGGTGCGTTCTGAGAGTTGTGAGTGTAGGAAATTTTGGCCCCATGGACTTGCTGAGACATAGAAGTCACTGGCGAAGAATTAACTTGATTAAAGGTCTGATTAATTTGAGTCGGAGGAGTCGGAGTTGGAGTTGGAGCTTTTACAGGATTTTTTGGTCTATTTACTGGAGATGGAGTCGCAGGCTCCGGAGGCTGTACATTCTGTTGAGCTAGAGTTTGTGCGTGGCCAAGAAGCTGAGAGATTATTTGAGAATTCTGACTATTGCCTTGGATGAGAGATCTGATTAGGGCTTGAGCAGTAACTTGATCCAACTCGGGCTGGTTCGGGTCCGGAGTATGATGAAGTACCACTCTACCATCTTCACCAACAGCTAGTCGCAGTTGACCAGATATCGCATTTTGCATCGGCATCTGTAGCTGCGCTACCAATTGACTACCACCGAAATTATCCGTCGTGGGAGTTGTAGGCTGGATGTTGGGGGTGTTAATTGCTGGCTGATGTTGAGATTGAGGTTGAGATTGAGGTTGAGATTGAGGTTGAGACTGAGGTTGGGGTATGCTTTGACTGCTGTTTGACATCTGCGGGTGGGGAGATAACTGGCCTAGATGCTGAACAGGCTGTTCAACATGGATCTGCGAGGGCTCGTTATCTGGGACCGTGTCCGTGTCGAACATGTCATCATCGTCACCGATGCCAGATATTTTCATGATACTGGCAAGGTCAAGCTTCGGAGGCTCCTCATCTTTTTTCTTGGCTTTCTTTTTCTTTTTGGCTTTTTTCTTCGGTGGCGGAAGCAAATTCTGTTCAACAACTGTCGGCTGCTGAGGCGGTGGAGCTGCTGACACGTGATTCGTATTTGAAGAACTCACTTGGTTCATCTGAGGCTGTGGACTCTGGACCATCGCGTTCTGGATTACTATTGGATTATTATTTGCTGTGTTTGCTGTTGAATAAAAATTTATTTATTATATTATATTATCAATATAATATGGGATGCTTGTTAATAAATAGATGAATAATTAATTAATAGTTTACCAGGTGCTGGGCTTGTAGGTGTATGCCTAAGTACGGAAGGAGCTTGTGTTGAAAAACCATTAGGTACGGCAAAAAATGTCGGCGTGAGTCCTTGCATCTGCATACCTTGTGCAGTGATAACTCGTACGAGTTGTTGTTGAGTCAACTATAAATAAAAAAAAAAACTGGTCAGTAATCCAGCAGAATTAATTAATAAATAATGAAAAACATAATTAATAATTAATAAATAAATAAATAAATAAATAATTGTATAGCGTAATTTTATGATGATAATTATCAAGCAATGACTGTGTAGATGATGAAAACGTTTAATTGCGTCGATTTAAAATACGTTAAAACGGACAATGAGTGAAACCATCACCTGTGCAGTATGCGTTTGCTGTTGAGCATTCGCTGGTGCTCGGAGTATTAATTGAACGCCACCGGGTTGCTGTTGCACAATGACAGGTCCGCTTGACGGCAAAACCTATATACCAAACCCAATGAGAAAACCTTTATCAGCACCCATCATTGTTTTTGTTTGTCGTTGTTATTTAGAGACTATTAATTTTAAGCTTGGTAATTATCCATGTTAGTTATTTGTTATTTTATCTTTCAATAATCGGATAAAGGGAATATTATTTACAATCAATGGATTAAATTTTCTTCAATGAAAGTATTATTATGACAATGATCATGATAATGATATTAAACTGATTATTAATGAATGCGTGTAATATATAATTTAATATATACATATTTTGAAATTTTATTTTACCTGATTTAATAAAAGACCTTGTGCTGTGGGTATCATTGTTGCTGTACCAGTTGGATTCTGCTGGGGACTAGCTAATACCAATTGTGGTTGTGTTTGCTGCGTCACCTAATTAATTTAAATAGTTTAAATATAAATAAAATTAGTTATTGATACTTGAAAATATTAAAGTCACCTTGTGTTTAATTAGAACAAAAAAAAAGTTATCATAAAAAACTATAAAATATAATTACTTTGAATTAAAGACAACTAATTAGATAAGGCTAATTGAAGAAATTTTTTTTATTCAATTTAAAAATTGGCTTACATCAATAATTTATTTTAATTTTAAAAAAAAATCGATGTTATTGCTGTTACTGTCATGTTTGCAATGTTTGACGATCCATCAAAAATAAAAAAAATTAAAATAGAGTATTTAAAATTACACTTGAAAAAACAATAAACCATTGATATCAATAGAAAAAATAACTACAAACGATATTTATTTTTTTTTTTTTTTTTTTTTTTTTTTTTTTTTTTTTTTGATAAGAAAATGATAAAAAAGTTATTGTCTTGAGTAACTATTTAGCAAACTTAAGGTTTTTAAATTGAAAAAATTTTTTTTTTAATATTTCCAGCAATTAAATACTTTTTATAGATACAATTAAATTTTAAGTAATTAAAAAAATTACCTGGTTAGTAATAGTCGTTGTCACTCGTTGTTTTTGCTGGGTCGCGACTCCTTGCTGATTGGGTGGTTTCGGTAATATTTGCGGTGGCTGTTTGGCAGGCTTAGTAGCGGCTATTTGGATTTGCTGATTGCCAAAAAGATGTGTCCGCGTGACTAATTGTGACGAGGCTTGCTGGTAGCCCTGTGGTGTGCCAATAATTTGCAACACTTGCATCCCTTGCTGGAGAATCGGCGTATTAGGCCTAACAACAGGAGGACCTGGACTTCCACCAGGAGCAGGACTTCTGTTATTGAGCGTGGTACTGGACCCCAAGTGATGAGGACTCTTAGCAGGAGGGTACGGACTTGGAGCTGGACTCTGTATCTGGCCAACACTCATCGGACTCTGCATCGGGCTTTGCATTTGCATGCTAAAATTACTATTCGAAGTGGCAACCGGACTGGGGCTGTTTCTGTTCGACTGGATCGAATTAGAAGCTGGACTGCGAAGCAACACTCGGTTCGGACTTGGACTCGGCGTTGGCGGAGCGATATTCGAAGCCGGACTCTTTAACGGCATTGAAAAGGGACTACCAGGAGAGCTGACGTTCTGGCTCTGAATATTCTGGACTGTCTTGACTGTGTTGGAGGTCTGGTTTCCGGATATGTTTATCGAGCCCAAATTCGAGTTCTGAGCTTGAGAGAATTGTCTTTGCTGGAACCCGGTGTTGTGCGAGCTGCCGATCGCCGAGATGTGACTCAACGTATTTATTGAATCATTAACTGTTGAAAAATGTGAGGCTGATACATTGGGCTGGTTGGTGTGCATCACTCCCAAATGTATGCTCTGGTTGTGGGTGACGTTGGACGACTGGTTCGCGCTGGCAGTCGTCGACAAGATCGGCGTGTTCGACGTACTCGTGTAGACATTAGAGCTGAGAGCCAGGTTTGAACTGTGGGATATCGAGACCCCGCTGGAATTAGAATGCTGCTGGATCGCTGAACTCGGTACTTGGTTGACACTCGAGCCTACTATGTGCGGCGCTATGCTCTGGATACTCTGGATGGTTTGAAACGGAAAGTTGGTGTTGCATGAACTGAGGCTGCTGGGAGTGATTCCCGCGAGGACGTTCAGTGACCTGCTGAAATTTTGGTTGATGCTCGAGGACGACTGGGAGGTATGACTGCTCAAATTAGACAGCCCAGAGTTGTTCTCTCCAACGTTGGCGTTTAGTGTCGCGAAGTTTTGGTTCAAATTCCCACTCAAGCCGGAATTTATGTTGGACAACCCGGAGGAGTTTAGAGTATTGAGCCGATTAATGCCAGAATTAATGGCATTGATGTCTTGGGCGAGACCAGCCAATCCGTTGCTAATACTGTTGGAAGGTAAGTTTGAATTCAAGGTTGAGTTTATCGCGTTCAAGGTATTGAGGTCCGTGTTTACGGTGGTTATCCCTGGATTAATGCTGGGCAATCCGATATTGAGCAGAGGATTAGAGGTCGTTATTACGTTTGAAGTTAATGATGTAAGACTGGTATTTAATAATGACAGAGGCAATCCCATATTGAGGCCCACCCCAAAAGTGGGGCCGGCCGGGGGTAGGCCCATACCAGTCCCCGACTGGTTTATTGTATTTTGATTCAGTTGGCTCAACTGATTGAGATACACTATGTGATTCCCAGTCGCCGAACCGTTCGCTTGGTCCTGGCCATTGTTTGACGATTGTTGCAATGCAAATGTCAGTTGCTGTCCGGTTGAATTATGGGCCTGTAATTGCTGTATCTGTTGTAACTGCTGGTGGGTTAACACAGTCACCGAATTACCACGTCGAGTTGTCGGGGAAGTTGTAGAGGATACTGAGTCCCCGAGGAGAGGGCGTGTCTGAGGCTGCTGCATGCCCACGCAGCACCTCCGAATCCTAGGTAGCGAACAGCCACCTTTTCAGCACCTTTTTTTCGCTGTCAAAATTATTTTTTATACCTGGGAATACAATAGGACATACCTGTAGTGTCGTATATTTTTAAACAGATACTTCACTTGAGGTAGTTTGCTATCCGCATATTCATTCTTAATTTATTTTAAGTTGATTCTTATCGTGAGAAGGAAAAATAAATTAAAAAATTACCCAAAACATAGATCATGGTTAGCAAACTACCTAGCAAACTTGAAATAAAATTAACGCTAAATGAAGAAAATTACAATGTATTGAATGAATATTTAAAATAAATATTTTCTAAATGATTATTAGCACAACTTACCTTATTAGTTGTGTTAATTTGTTTATTAATAAAGCTGATTTTTGTTTGCGCTGCGGCGCCACTCAACGCGTCTGCGACCCACGTCGCCTGCTCCTGACATTCATGTAATTTTAAAATTTTACCTATACGCCAATCATACAATAAACATTGTTAATCCTTAGACAATAAATATATTAACAGATCCAGTAGTCAAATTTTTTGCTAATTTACTTGATATTTTGATCACCATTGGCCATGTGTACTTCTCGTTATATTTAGTAGTATCCTTTGTAATAAACTTTTTATCCATTGAAAATATATTATTTACTCCTTGATTATTGCTTCTGTTTATTCCTATTTCAATATTATTATTTTTACAAGCAATTTTATTGCTTAAATGTTTAATGGCTTACAGCCTATCCTAAATCTAAAACTGCGAAATAGTTTGCTGACATTGTTTGATTGTTTAATTATCGATAAGTCTTTGCATTACTCTTGCTATATTTTGGCATTTGATTGTCAGTCCCATTAGAGTCTTTTTTATATTATTAATTGGGACAATCTCATAAATTTACCCTCTTATCATCGTAATTCTGAAACAAAAAAATTATAATATTTATAAACTAATTTTTTTTTTTAATAATAAATAAAAAGCAAACACACAGGATTAATTTTAAAAAAATTTATTAACAATAATTAAACAAAAAAATAGTTCTTTGGAACAAGTAACTAGTGTATTGAAAACATCACAATCATCCAACCTTCACTCGTGCCAAAATTACATTTTTCAAGTGTTAAATTTCTTTATGTGGATGAAAAAGAATATTTGTCAGCTGTTTTTAGTGTAAAGAGCATCCCAGCAGGATAAATAAAGTTAAATAAAGTATTGTCAAAGGACTGATCAACAGCAACTGGTATGTTAACATAAAAAGTGACAACAACCAGTGGAGCTGAGGAGGGAATATCTGAATAAATCTAAAACTAGTTGACTCGAAATAAGATTTAAAGCTGGCGGAGGTAAAAGTAATGGAATTATTATAAAAAAAAAAATAGACATCTGGAAGATTATTTGGAGGTTATAACGAAGGCTGTGAGAGTGTAGTTGTCGTGTACGTGTATTACACTACGGTTCACAATACCAACACAACCAGTGCTCGCATCACCTACTGGACCTAGAGCAGTGCGGCGCGCGGTTACACACAACAAAAGCACAAGTGACAAGGCGTAAACAAAAGAAAATCCCGCTTGGATATGTTTATATGCACCTGTAACCGCCAAATACCACCAAGATAATAATTATTTATGGAAAACATTTATAAAAAACAGTATGATGCGAATAGCGTCGCAAAGTTAAATCATCAATATTACCTACTCCGCGAACGCGCGTTTAGCCACCCGTGTTGTTGCCTTGCTATATTATTTTCACAGTTTACTTTTTATATTTATTTACACTGTAATCCTTGCTATGCTGTACTGCTCTACCATTATTTATTGTTAAATACACCACGTACACACTAATGTATTTGGCAATAATAACTCTTGACAGACAGAGGAATTTTCGTATCACGACAGTTCCGTATACGCGTTTTGCTGTAAGGTGGCAACGGCCATAATATATTTTACATTATCGCCAATAAAACACCGCTTAATTTTCTATGAAATTACGAGATAAAATCCCTAATACATTTTTTAGTTACTTTTTATTGCGACTGCGCGCGAAACTTCCTGCGCGCAGAAGCTTTTTTTTCTGTCTGACAGATGGCGATACTTTGCTATTTTTATTCGACAAATTTGTTTTTTTATTAAATAAATTATCATTATGTTGAAAAACAAATGATAAATCATCATTAATTACAATAATAATAATAATAATAATAATAATCAATTAAAAAATCTTTGGAAATTTTTTTTTAAGGGATTTTTTTTTTTTAAGTTTGAATTTTGCACAAATTCTAAAATCAGCGCTTAGTTCAAATTTTTATTTACAACTTTTGACAGCTATGGAAATTAAAAATGTGTCAAGAGGAGATGGAAAAGAAACTTTTAAAGCTGCAAACCCAAATTTGATTAAAAAAATACATAATTTAAGAAACACCGTTTCTTCCTTAGAAACAAACTTCCAAGCTGCAAATCATTGGGATAAATTACGGCTGTCAAGGTTCAAGAATATTGAACTTTCTAAAGAGAGATTGGAGGAAAATTTAAAAGAATCGGAAAAACGAAACTCTAATATGCTTAGTTTGTACTTTATTTAAACAATATTTCATCTTATAACAATTTTTTAAATGTAAAATACTGTTTTAAAGATTTATTTCGGTACAATGCGGACTTGCCGCAGGGGTTGAAGACCCAAGTTCAAAAGAAATGGAATCAAAAGTTAGTTTTCTCATAAATTCATTGACAAACATTTTATTGTGTATTATTATTACAGATACGACGCATTGTTGAAATTAAATGATCATTTAAAAAGACAAATACGAGAAAAAGATTCGCTTCTGCAGAACAAAGATGACCAGGTGATTATTTTTATTTAAAATATTTCTTCTAGAAATATTTCAGTTTCAATTTTATTTTCAATAGATTGCTGTATTGCAACAAAAACTGCTTGATATTGGAGAAAAATTAAGCGAACGCGAAGAATTGATAAAAACCATTAGTAATAAATATATAAAGCTCAAAAAACGTAAAACTGTTCAAGAGACTCTCTTCAAGGAATCCATCGAAACTCTTTTACGTGATGCTCTATTAGAAGAAAATCATAATAATACTCCAACTACGTCGCGAATGTCTTTGAAACCAAGCAAAGAAGCTCTGCTGGCTTATGAAACTAAAAGAAGCAATCGATTGTCTCGCGAAAATTATCTTCTGCGTACTATTTTGCAAAAAATAAAGCTCAATAACTGTCATTGTCATGAAAAGCAGTCTGATTCTAGTGCCAGCGATTCGCTTGAAGCAGACAATTGAACACCAATTATTAATCAATTTTATCCAATTAAACATATAGTTATATCTTTAATAGTTTGATAACAAAGTAATAATACTATTACATAAGTTACGTATACTCATAATTCTATGATCGGATATTTATAATAATTGGATTTAAATATATAATTACTCAAGAGTTGAAGAGCTTCTCTATATAAGCAAGATAATAAATTTATTTCTTCAGTCGTAACCAGTTGGCTAACTTTTAAATTATTCAATCGTAAGTCTAAATATTATTTAAAAAATTGCAATTAATAAATTTTATAATTATTTTCAGATGAATACACACTAGAATTGCTCCAGCCAATAAATCTATGGAGTTTTATATGGGAAAAAATTGGTAACGCATCAATGGCTTATTATGACTTGTCGTCAATTTGGAACGGAACAAAACCAAATGAAGCGAATGAATTTAATCTATTTGAAAACCCTGCAAAGTTGGGAGTGCTTACAGGATTAATTATAGCTTTGTTTATTGAATCTCAATACGTTCCTGCGAAGGTAATTCAAAATATTAATAAATCAATTGTTCCAAACAATAAATCAATTCTAATATTTGTTTTAGTTTGACAATTACATCAAATCAAAGTTGAAAAATGTCGCGTTTATGATACTGAACATCAGTTGCTTTTTATTAACCGCTCCAGTAATCTCAATATTACTCGTTACATTTTTCATCTATCGCCAGATTGTTTGCTTGACGTTAAAAATTACTTTGGGAGAAAAATTTGCCGGTTTATTGGAAGGAACCGACTGTGTCTGGGCCATAGAAGACCCTTCGGCTTTGTCGGTGATAAATATTCTCGGAGTTTTGGAACTAAACTCACTGAGTAATGGTATAAATATCCTCGAAGAAGTTAGAGCGTTGATGGTTATTAAAGAACGCTTATTGTTGTTTCCAAGCTTTGAGAAGCTTTTTTGGAAGCGAGAGAAAAAGTATGGCTACTATTTTTGGAGGAGGAGCGGTGTTAACTTGGAAGAACGCGTTCGTTTGCTGGATGTCGATCACAGCAGATGCAAAGAAACTTGCAATTACTATAGAGAATACTTAAGAGAAATAATAGCGCAAGAATGTAACAAACCGCTTCCTGAAAATCATTCCATGGGCTGGGAAATTTTGATACTACAAAATTGTCAAAAGAAGACATTTGGCAGTGAAAGAACTGTTTCATTATTATTCCGAGTTCATCATTGCGTGGGAGATGGCGTCGCTTTGTTGAGACTTTTGCTAGAAGCGATAGCCGATTCTTCAAATTCAAAAGTTAAAGTTCAGCTTTTAGATGACAAAAAAATAAAAATAAAAGTTAATCAAAGCAATTTATTATCTATACCTATACTTCGGAGATGTTCGTCAATTTACGGAAGTTTGAAATATTCTTCAGATGTTGTTTATTATTCTTCTGATGTCCTGAGTGCGGCGATGCCGTTCGCGATAGGAATTCCTTTGTACCGAATTTTTAAAAGCTTTCAAAAATATTTGAAAGTTCAATGGGAACTCTTAGGTTGTTCAGAAGCCGAAGAAATGAAAGTAAAAATTATAAAAACTTTGAAAATTATCAGAGTGATTATTATTGAAACTCTGAAAAAATTACGAAAAGTTTGTAAGAATATTTTTAAAAATATAATGGCGTTGATCTTGATCCCGGATTGTCTTTTTCGACAAGCTTGTCTCAGTTTCGATGAAAGGTTTGTTAAAATAATTTTTTTGTAATGTTTGTGAGTATGCGTAAATTAATTTATAACTTTTAGTGCTTTGCACGGTCCGGAATTGACTGGAAATAAGAAGATATCTTGCTGGATAGAAGACACAAGCGATTCTCACGTAAGCTTGTTGGAAAAAATAAGAGACATAAAAAATATAACAGACACTAGATTTGGTGATGTGGTTCTTGCTGCTTTGTCCGCTAATTTATACAAACATTTCCATCAGGTAAATTATAATAATTTTTTTAAACTAATAAAAAATTAATAAACATTTAATTTATGCCCCAGATCGGTAAAACTGCGCCAAAAAAATTGACTATTGTCATTCCAGCGAGAATGTCAAAACCGAATCAAAAATTAGCTTTGAAAAATCGCTTCTCTGTAGGATTATTGCCACTCTGTATTTCTGAAGTAAATGGAATCTGTTGCGAGCCGACAAACGATCCTAGAAAGTTACTCGATCGTTTGCGTGATGTGTCAAGGTCGACTAGAAAACTAAGAACTGATCCAGATTACTTGATTAACTACTGGGTAATGACTTGGTTTTCGGCTGCGTTGCCTGAAGTATTTCTCAGGACATTTCTTAAAAGTTACAGTACTATGGTATTCAGTAATTTACCAGGACCACAGGCAGTTGCTGTTCTGGGTCATACGTTAAAGAAAGTTGCATTTTGGATCCCTAGTAGGTATGAAAAACAATTTATAAAAATTTAAAATAAAAAACCTCATTATTATTAATTATTACAGAGGAACAACAGGCATTGGTTGCTCACTCCTGACTTACAACGGAAATGTCCATCTTTCATTGCAAGCTGATGAAGCAGTGGTCAGTGAAGAAACCAGCCTCGATGAAATTCTCAAAGGTACTATTGATGACATTAAAGCTCTTCATGATATTATTACACTACCTTGTTTCGCAAAATCATTTTTAGACACCGCAGAAGCACCCATGGAAACAGGTACTATTAAAAAAAAAATAATTTATTTATAATTATAGTTAGACAATTTTTAATTATTAAATTTTATTCCAGGTTTCGGTGTGCATTAAAACATCATTACATCTTTAATAACTTTATATTTATTGTGAGAAATATTTATAAGTAATCTGCTTATCACAATTTTTTATCAATTAATATATTTAACTTATTTTTCTATGGATATATTTTTTAAGCACAAATATTAATACAATATGTTAAAAATTATTTGGCCTTTCTGAAGAATAAAATTGGCCAGAAAATTATATCAAAAACAATGTGTAAGAATGAATAAGTACAATTCTTGTTTTGTAACTGGTTGGATCTCTTTGGTGAAGTATATACTTCTCTGGTGTGTTTTCTGTAAATTTTTTTTTCAAAAACTGGGCTCGAACTTGACTCGATAGAAGATTCTTCTTCCTCTGACGAGTTTAAACTTTGATACCGAGCGCTTTTCAGTACGTCATTTCTAAAATTAAATAATTATTTTTTTATTTATTATCAAGGAAATACTCTGAGAGTGATTGCTCTATGCTTTATGATAAATAATAAAAGAAAATATTTATCTTGGATGTAAATAAATTGTAACTTTAACTTACGAAGCCCAATGTTTATATTTGAGCTGATGTAATAATTCTGCTCGTTGTTTGTACTTGTTAATACAAGATTCACATGCGCAGTTGATACAAGATTCACAATGTAAACTTGGGTCGTAACTATTCTCATCAGAATTATCATCATCATCATCATCATCATCATAACCGTCAGTGTCATCATCCTCGCAATTATCATTATCAATATCGCTGTCAGTGTCATCGTCAAAGTAACCAGCGTCATCGTCAAAGTAACTGTTGTTATTACACGAAGACAAGGAAATTTTTCTGGTCAAAGGACTGAGTTCAGGAGATTCGGGAATTTTATAATCATTTAATTTTTCAACCAGTCCAGCCACTGGCTCACAGTCAGACTTATTATCAGTCACCAGGATAATCGGGTCACTTGGTGCTTTTATTTTTCTTGAATTTTTCTTGACAACCACAATTCTCGTAACCTATTTTGTAAATTAATTCTGTGAAAATGACTAAGGATTTAATGAAATAAAGCAAATAATAATAATAATAATAATAATAACAAACCGAATGAAAACCCGTGAGCTTATTTGCTGTAACAACAGGCCTTCTCCGAGGAATCCTACTTGTCATTATTTTCTTATTTACTCGGGTTGATTGCAAATTACTCGAGCGATCAGTCTTCTCTTGGGACTTTATTGTTTCATTTATATTCAATACATCACCACGATGTTCGTCATGTTTATTTGAAACAAGATTAAGTAACTCTTCTTCCCTATTAATTATTTCTTCTTCCTCGGATCTTTTTTCCGTCACCTTATTGTCATTTTTTATAAATTTATTATCACGGTTTCTAATTAACATCCTCGACGGTGTATTCATTTTCAGCTCGGTATTTTTTATTTTTGACATGCTTGATAATGATTTATTAACACCTTTATTTTTATTTTTATTACTTACAGCCTGTTTTATCAATGTCATTATTATAATTTATTTAGACAACTATTATCTTTTTGTCATGTCGCCATTACTTATGTCTTAACTTTTGATTGTTTTTTTTTTTTTAAACAATATTTAACACTAATCAATACTACTTGAGATGCTAAAAGATAGTAAATGGCTGCGTTCAAGTTTACTAAGTTCTTGGCAGATCTTAGTATATCTTGTAGCAACAACTTAAAGTAATTATATTTAAAAAAAAAAAAAAAACAATTCAAGGTATATATAGATAAAGTTATTTACAAGGTTATTTATTAGAAAAAATATTAAAATTATATAATATCTTATAAATTATTTCTCATACAAAATTTTCCAATAACAAAATTCAAAAGTTATGTTTATACAAAAATGTATTTTCAACGAATGTTTTAAATATGAAGATAAAATTATTTTATAAATCAATGATCACAAAAAGTATGTTTATGAATCACATTTTTTATATCACTGTTTGTGAAATAGCCGATAAGTTCCTTTACCCAAACATAAAGTAAATTTTCATTTAAAAAAATAAAAATTGGGTATTCATTGATTTTATCTAATAATTTTTTTCTGACGAGCGCTTGATGAAACAAGTTACTAATTATATCTGCAAATTCAGGAAACTTTGATGCATAATTGTCTTGCAAATTTAAAACCTTCAAAATTTGAGAATTATTTAAGAAATTGATTCGCTGGTTCAAGCTACCTTTGATGAAATTATAATAAGTTATGTAAGGTATCGTGCTGTGAATTCTCTTTTTTTTCATCTTCTTCACTTCTATTTCCATACTTTTCTTGATCCTTGAATGGATCATTCATATTATCGATAGCAAAATTATAATTGCTGTCATCGACATATAAATTAAGATATTTTAATTTGATAATAAGATAGCCATAATAATCAACAATCTCATTAAGAAGACTTTCATCAAGGTCACCACCTTCTTCATCATCATCATCATCATCAGTATCATAATGCGACTCTCTTTTTTTTTTTCATCTACAGTATAATAAGAGGCTGAGTAACCTTCATTACACGTAATGTGTATTATGTCGACTCCATTTTTTATAAGACTTACGTTAGATTCAAGTTTGATATCCATTCAATAACCAACACGGATCAACATAACAGGGGATTTTAACTTGTTCATAACCTCTTTTAATTTTTCCATAAATATCTTATTATTCATTCACAACCGCGAATGTTATATCCTTGACTAGGTTCTCTTCATCATCTTCATCCATTTTCTGGCTCGATAATCTATAACATATATTTTACATTTATACTACTATATGTATAAATATATTAAAATTCATAATTTAATATATATGTTAAATTATTGTATATTGCCGATTGGCGTTTGTATGCTTTAAATAAATAACTATTATTTCATTGGAATTATCGCTTATTTCAAATAGAAAAATTAATTTTAATTAAAAAATATAAAAAATACTTACTAAAGATTTATAATCAATAAAACCTATACAGCGTTGGAGTTTTAGATTTTCAGCAGATCAAGCTGATAGTTGACAATTTTATGTAATTTAAAAATGTTCAAAAATTAATTGATAGTTTAAAGAAATTATACCAAGCTTTATTAATTTAGTTATGCTAATAATTAGCTTGTTATATTTATTTGATATATAATAAATATATATATATATATATACCACACGACGGTAAAAAAAAAATACAGAGTGTCTAGTCTCACGTACATACTATTCATATCTATGATAGCCCCCTAGCGGTGTCCTCTAAAATATCCTAATATAATATTGAATTCACCAAAAATATAACAATTTTTTAGATTTTTATGACAATTAAATTATAATGAAAATTATTTAGCAAGAAAATCTACAGTAGAAATTTAAAAAAATTAAAATTGTGACAATTTTTTTAAATATTTTTTTTTTATAATAATTGTCATATGAACTAATTGAGAGCAATATATCACACGTCGCTGAATTATTTATTTATTATTTTATTGGCGGTACTTTTATCTCAGATAAAATTTTATTCCGGATTAAGAAACTGGCCCTTAAGTCCCTTAAGTCTTATGAAATGAAAAAAATAAACTCGTAATTTACAATTTGGAAATTTAAAGTTTATTGTATTTTGGTTTTTGATTCTAATACTGATCGTTTTTATCAATATCATACATTCTATCTAACAATCGGTCTGTACAAGATCTTAAATACAAACTTTGAAATTTTTTCATACGCTAAAAACATAAGTGCAGCGGTGAGAACAGTCTGGAGCAATTTAGCTTCCATTCCTTTGTAAAGTCCAGCGAACCCGTGTTTTCTAAAATAGAAAAAAAAAAAATTTATAATAAAGCCATAAATTTTTTTAATTATTGGATTAATTTTTATAAATATTTACTTCAAGATGTAGAGTAATATCTGCAATGTTCCCGCATTCGCTGAGAGGTTTTCGTAATTATGACCATGCTGTAATAAATTAAATATTTAATTACTCTTTTGCCACGACACATTTTGCAATTAACATTCTTGTATAGATATCATGCAAATAAGCTTTTAAAATATTCATGACAAATTTATTTTTTCCAAACGTTTTTATCATAATTCAACAGAATTTATTGCACATGATAAAATTAACAAATTAAATTTACTTTTTCATATAAATTGTAATTACTGATTAGCTAATGGCTGATGAAAATAAATAAATGTAATTACCCTAAGTTTGGACTGAACCAACTGCAAAGGATAAGTAGCAGTAGTGGCAATAGTTTTAGCGATCGCTCCAATAGTGAAGAAGATCCAGGCGGGTGTTTGCGCTCCAGCCAAAGATGCGTTTACTTTTCTCTTGATACTTTCATAAGTCATAAATTGAATTGCGGGATTCGCAACGAGTATCATACTGGCAAAAGTACCAGCCCAAAGCTTTTTAATGCCCTCGTACTTCCAAATGTAAATAATTCCATCTGAAATTAACGGCGAGTTTAATGTATTTTATTAATTAACCCGTAGTTGCTTGGATAACTATTCTTTAGAGTTAACTCTTAGAGAGGAAGTTTACTTTCATCAAGTTAGTTACTTAGTTAATTTATTTTAACTTTTACTCCAAGAATAAATAAACTTATATATATATTATTATTATTATTATCATACCTAGAAGATTATTGTACTCGTTGTTATTCTTCTCGGGAATTCCGCCAATGCCCTTCATCTTCAGACGAGTGTTTACAACCCACAGCGGCGTTGTTACAAGGACGTTAATAATTCCTTAAAAGAAATAATATCTCAAAGATAATAATTTAAATTATCAAAAAAATTAATTTAATTCTCTTAATACTGACAACGTTTATCCCCAGATAATCTGGGACTTTGTAAAGTTACTAACTTACTCTTACTACTGGATTGCCGTTAACAGTTTAATCATACAGTTAAAGCCTCATCAAGTACTTTTAATAATGCGAACTAACAGAGGAAATTATTAGAGGAAATATCATTTTCATTTTCATTAAATTAAATTTACCAGCTATAGATGCGACGAACAAATCATTTTTTGCTGTTTGATTCCTTGAGCTTCTCAAAAGCTTAAGCCCGTGGAAAGTGTAGAAATAAACAAAATTACTGGCACACAAACTTTGTAAAACAGGAATTATCCCTCTGTAGAGTGTGTATCTAAAGTTGTTACAAGTTAAACTTAGTTTTATTCTAATAATGTTTCACTTATTTAAATTTATGATTTTTAAATTGTAACTTACGGTCCCTCCTTGGCCACCAGCTCTCGAATTGTTGCCAGTGTATTCTTGGATTGTCTTCCATCCTCAACTACAATTAAAAATAAAATTATTTTGTTGGTTTTTTAAATTCATGTAAACTTATTATTCAGTTGTGTTAATTATTCACTGGTCCAAAGGTCGTTCGCTTAGCATATTTCAACATAATTACAACAAGCGAATTATTTATTTAATAAAAAAAAGTCAGACGTCTGTTATACTTTCAGTATCATGTAAAATCAATGTCTAAATGTGTCGAGATTCGAGAGTACCCTCTCGAGGATAATGCAGTCTTGATGCATTAATAAGCATACTCATCAGCGCTCACCTTAGGCGATTACTGATTACATCGAACAGCACTCAGCCCCTCAAGCATAATTAGTCTCTAATTACAGCAATAATTACATACCGCACATATATTTGTTTTATTGATAAATACTTTTAAATTATCTTTCCGAACTTACGCTGCAGTCTGCTCCGTACAGTATCCAGCGGGAAAAAAGTCGCCATGGCAACCACACTTCCCTAAAAGTCAAAACAAAAATATTACAATTTATTTATCAAAAATAATTAATTATAAATTACTTACAGCAGCTCCTGATATTGCGTGGACCAGAGTCTCATAGGTAAAAATATTTCCTCTTTGACTTCCGCCTGTCATGTTTGCCTAGGCCTTTTTATTGGGGTTGTTAATAACTCAGCTCACTCAAAACTTTCAAGTTATATCAACTTTTGACCCACTTATAACTCCTCAAAACTTTACTCATTTATATTTCAACTGAGTGTGAGCTCGGGTTTAATTTACTTGTTAATTATTAATTACTCCGCCACGATTTTTAAATCTTTAATTTTTTATTTATTTATAATACGTGCTCATAAGTTTGTTGCGTGTCGCATGAAGAAACGCCGCTGACTGACTCACTGACACGTATGTATTCCCGCGACTCGTATTCTTTTTATTATTATTATTATTCTAGAGTTATACAATAGAGAGCACGTGTGTGTCGATAGACTGGCGGCCTTCAGACTTTAAACAAAAAACAAAACTTTAGTTTTAAAATTAAAACTCAACACTTGATTTTTATAATTCGGAAAAAGCCCGCGCAAATTATGATACTGAAGTCAGCTGACAACTGTCAAAGTTTTTTTTTTTTTTTTTTTTATTTTTATAACAAATTTTTAAAAAATTTCTTTTTAATTACTTTTTTTTTTAATTTTCGCAAGTGGAATTTTTTTATAAAAATTTAATTGTTATAAAATTAAAAAAAATTTTCTAATGTCTGTCAACTTCACTGTCATTAAAAAATTTATTTAATTAAATGAAATAAGAATAAAAATGGCGGATGACACATTATTAAATTAACAAGTAAAGCGTGACTAAATGTTAATAAATAGTACAAATATTATTTACTATCGCAAATACAATTGTTTAAAACATAATTAGGTTATTTTTTTTTTTTTTCGATAAATTGTGTGAAAGAGACCGAATGAATGCCGAGCCGATTAAATACGATGAAAGTTTTATTGTATGTTGTGCGCGGAAAAATGTTTGTTATCGGTTCGGGTACTTATAATCTATTTAATCACATATTTCACTGTGTATTAAACAGACACGTGAAAATGTATCGCGTTATCTCGTTAGAAACGGGTTTTGTTGTTGAAATTATAATCCTCAGTGCTACAACATGGCGAGCTACTGCACGCCTGCGTACAATTCGCGTTATACTTGTATTGATGAAAGCCAAGCATAAAACGTATATAAAATATAAGTAAGAGTGAATTAATTTAAACTTAAACGACCGCACATGCGCACCTGTGGTTCATTGTTGTGAGATGAAAGTTCATTGCAGATGCATCTTGAGCGCAAAGCTTAATTTATTTTTCAGATTTTTTTTTAATTAGTTCAAGTAAGTAATTTTATTATCAAATTTTTTTTTTTTTTATTTTAATTTAGATCTATGGAATAACTTTGATCTAATCAACGAATTGCATGAAAAATCCAATTACACTCAAGTCTCGATAAACCTTTTCAAATGTTCAAGTTTGAGAAGAAAACAAACCTTGAGATAAATCTTGAGATTACACGGATTTTAAAGTTGTAAAACGAATAAGTTCTATTCTCGTTATTGATACAATGCCTGATTGGAAAAGTTTAACATGAAACTTAAACTCACCGTTGTTGGAAAAAAAAAAAAAAATAATTCAAAATAAATTCTTCATAAAAGAAGAAATTGGAAATAATAATTACTTTAATTACTTTAAATAACAATAAATTAAAAATTTGCTTATAAAACTGACAGGCCTATGTATCAGATATAGGTACTTTGATATATAACACGTGACACATTGCTGAATGATTAGTTTGAAGTACACCTGGTAGAGATACTCAGCGGGGTAAAACTTAAGCGCTCTATCTGGCAATTGAGTTTTCCGAGTTTGCCTAACTCTAACTAAAATTAAACTTTTGATAATAATAATCAAACTTGTAATTGATATTCTTTAAATATTTAACTCGTAAGAGTTTAGTTATCCGGTTAATTACACTTACACTTAATTTTAGCTGAGGTAATTTATAGCTGAAACGATACTCACCTGTCGTTAATCATTCATCTCAACCCCAAACTCCAATTTAAATATTATTATTTATGTATTTATTTTTATTAGAGATGATTTTATCTTCAGCGTCACTTTTGACATGTTATTAATTTTTTTTTAACGTTATTTATGATCGTGACAACGTAATTTGGATTTATATTCATTAGTTTAAATACTCTGTTTTTTTGTTTCATGATGACATTTGTGGTAATGAATAAATATTTTTTATGTTTAAAAATCCGTCGAATTTATTTTATAAATTGAAATAGCGCTATTAATTACGAGAAAAAAAAGCTCTTAAATCCTCTCTGAGGTCCAGAAGAGGTTCATAAATTTTTTTCAATTTCCCTTGAAGGCAAAGATTACATAAATTGTTATTTTGATCAAATTATTTTAAATTGTAAAAATCAATTTTTAACTCTACGAGTGCAATAAAGCTGTAAAAAAAATACCATAATACTCTTAAAATAAATTTTTTTACAAGATAATCCGATTAAGCGCCTATAAATATTATTCGATAAATTCTAAAAAAATCAAATGAAAAAATCGGCCAATTAAAAATAAATTACTAGCACATGATATTACGAAGGAAAGAAGAAATATAATAATTTATTGCTCAAGTTTATTAAGAAATTTCGATAAATCAAATGTAACGCACAGTACTTGAATGCGTACGCACGTAATATAACAACCAATAGTGTCTAAATGACAATAGCATACATGACAAATGGTATTATTGATTATTAATCGGTTCTATTATTCATTGGTTCATTATTTTAGTCATATACACCACATATATCCTATTGCCATCAATTAATATTTACATTTTACATAAATTGGTTCGTCGTTACCGAGAATGAAAACTAATTACAATTATAAATTACAAATTACAAATTACAACTGACGTCATACCAATTAAAGACATTTCATTTCAATTATTTTCCATTTTCATTTACCAAAAAATTCTAGAGTAGCAAGCATGTCTTCCAAAACAAAGTTAATAACCCAATTTTTAGACAGTGCTTTCACTTTTTGATTAAACAACTTGCAATTTCATAAAGAAGAAATATTAATATCATAAAGCGAAAATTCTGTCAAAAAATTTCTTCAATTTTACAAGAATAAATATTTTTATTAATAAAAGTTAAGAACTTTGTTTGGATAATCGGTTTTTTTTTTTTTTTTTTTTAAAAGCAATTATAATTTTTCCTCTAGCAGATTTTTGGTTCGGTCAATTACATCAATTATCAATTAAAAGATTTATCATTTTGTTCAACAATTCTCTACACAGTATTAATTAATTTAAGGCAGTCTGAACGGTAATTACAGGATTAATTACCGTCCAACATGTAACTATGGATATAATTAAAATCTGATTAATTTAACATTATTCAATGAGTTATTATTAATTATTAATAAATATGCGATAAAAAGAGATCTGAAAATTATTGGCTGTGGTTTTAGAGCCGACCACGATACTTTACTTCTATAATGTTACATTATTCGCTTGTTAATCCAAAGTTTATTATAATTTATTGTTTACAGTAATATAATTTATATTTTATATTAATATATAATTTTAATCAATAACATTATCTCAATAGTATTATCACTGAATTGTGCAGGTTTTGCCTGGTTCGGAAGATCGAAGGGTGATTCTTGAACCCGGTGCGATATTCTCGTTTCCAGCGGCAAGGGAACACGTCTTGGTCCTCATTATCATCAAATCTGTTCTAATACTTGGACGTCGTACATTTGGTGCAACAACTCCGCAAGCGTCGCTCAATCGACGTTTTATACTGAGCGTCGCTTTGTGCTTTGGCTTTAAAAATATAAAATATAAGATATTCAATAAAAAATAGACAATAGACAATAAACAATAATCGATAGACGCTATGTAATATTCTCGTTTATTAATATCTTCCATAATATCAATATTTTGTAACCAGATTGCCGGTCAAAGTTTCTCCGATCAGCTGGCAATTCGATATTGATTATTTACTAATTATTCAATTATAATTGCGCTATTTTATATTTTTAAATAATTAATTAATTAATGACTTACCTGAGAGGGTGGAAACATCGTGGGCGAGCCAAAGGACAGGGGAACTTTTCTGTGCTGACTTGGAGCCATTTCTGGGGGCAGTCCAGCAACTGCGAAAAGTTGCGCGAAAAGATCATCAATATTGGTATTAAACTTTGCTGACACTTCGGAAAACACACAAAATTCATCTTGGCTCACGCAATATTTCTCAGCTTCTTGTACTGATACAACCCTGAGAATTTTTATTTTATTTTAAATAAAATAAAAAATAAGAAAAAAAAAAAAAAAAAAACGATTAAACTTACTTAACATCGTAATCACATTTGTTTCCTGCCATAACCATCGGAACTTTAATGTTGTGACTTTTGCTCCTTCCTTTAACATTTTGTGTGGCAGTTATTTTAGCTTCCATTATTGACTCTCTTAATCTGATGGCTTCCTCAAAAGACTCTCGGTTGTCCATACTAAACACCAGTATAAACAAGTCACCTGTTAACAAATTTATTCACAATTTTATTTTATTTTATTTTATTCTTTCCACCCTAGCCTACTGAAAAGTTGTGCCAATTTAAATATTCATCAGGCTTTTATAAACTGATGAACTACTAAAGTATAAAAAGAGTGACGTATACGCGACCATTAACTATGTATGAAACAACCTAACCCGTATTATATATATATATATATATATATATATATATACATAACTTACATCAGCACGTATGCGTAATTAACACGCAACTTATTTAAACTTTTTCTCTGGTAATAAATATAAATGGTTTTAAAAATTATTAAAAATTTATGAGTTTGTTCATTAATATGAATAATATTATTTATTTATGAGAATTAAAGGCAATAGCGTATTAAACTTGTGCGTGAGTTTGATTAGCGTAAATTTCCCTCGCAAATGATGCCTGTTATTTATTCTGGTGGAAAAATATTGTATAAATATAATCTCTAATAAGAGACATTCCTATCGTCGGTATACCGATAAGCCAATGAATTATTTTTGCCGAGAGTTAGATTATGTAATGTGATGGTTATGAATTATATATTATATATATATATATATATAAGTACATTCGTGTTGTTATGTATACGGATAAAGGGAACAGTAATTTAACACGCTATCGTTTATAATATGAAAGTACATAGCGACATATGTTAAGTTATTACAGACCGTCAAGTAGTGTATAATTTTAAAAAATCCTCCAGAGAAAATAATTATTATTCATATTAAGGAAAACCATTTTCATTTTCAGCGGCAGAAAATAAAAACTCTTTGTTCAAATTATTAAAAAAAAATTGGCAATAAACTTCTAAGAATAATTGCTACACTTAATTTACTTGAACATGTTAATTTACCAAGTAAAACTTTTCCAGAAAAAATACATCTTAATAAATTTAATAATACATAAAACGGATTGTCGGTTTTGTGTGAAAATTCTGCGGCGTTCTCTATCAATCGTAGCAATCTGCAATTTTCTCGCCTAGCTCGAGGCTCTAGAATTTTACGTATTATATCGCAAGTTGCACATTTTACGAGCATTATATTCGCAAGTTAGAGACTATGGAGACGTATATTAGTGACCGAGACACACATAACTGCAAGGCATCCTTATCATTAAAAATGTCTGCGTCACTTGTTTTATAGCTGGATAACCATTTAACGAAACGGAATACGTTCAATAAAATCCATTTGGTACTCGTTCGCTTACTATCATTGCATGGATTTATGTTTATATTTAATTCCGGTGGTAATATCGAAGGAAAATATAAGAGTGAAAATCGATAAAGCTTCAATTTGGAAAACCTTGAGTAGGGCGCGCGTAGAAAAGTTTTATTTACCGCGGGGAAAGATGCCGGTGTTAGTGTATTTATACGTATTGTTAGTTTCTCGAAATATGTCAGGCATTGTGTCTATTTAACAGCGAAGAAACTTGGCATTGTCTTCGAATCGGGGTCAGCCGCGTATGAGCGATATATATATATATATATATCTTAGGTAATAGGCAAAGTCTCGGGATGCATATGCTCATTTATTTTCATATCAGCGCTCACAGAGCTTCCTCCTCTATTGGATTAGGACACAATTTAGATCAAGAACTTTGTTTAAGAAATCTTTAAAAAAATAAAATTTTTTCCTCAAGAAACAAACAAAGACTTTGGGCTTTTTTAAAAAATAAAAAACAAATGACAACTTGTTGATTTTTAGCAGCCGAATAACGAGTAAGAGCCAAAAAGACGGGTCGAGTCCGGGTTTGTAAAAAATTAATAGAATAAAAATTAAATGAGTTTTCTCTTAGCGAGAGTCAACGGAGACTAAATTGGTGTTTATTGATTAAAGCACCGGGCTTATATATAAATCTGAGGCTCTCTCCCTCGCAGCTGGCGGTTAATAAGGGTGTTTTTACTCTCACTTCAACTTGTTGAGTACACTTATTTCTGCTCGGCCTACGATTCTATCGCCAACGATTCTCTTCTCTTGAGATTGACTTTAAATATTTTTTTTCTTCTCGAGACCTCTTTAAAGGACCTCTATAGACCCCTTGAAATTCAATATTTTTAATTGTTTCTAATTCTCAAAGCTATAACATTATTTTTCTTTCAAATTAAAATTAGACTTTTTTTTTTTTTTTTTTAATAAAAAAGTTTGTCAAAGTTTTCGACTACTTTCTGCTTCTCGAATAAGATTTGCAGTAAAATTTTGCTCAAATCGTTTGGTAATGAAACACATTCATGCTTAAGGAGGTCAAGATCTCGCTCACAATAACCCTCAACACTGATTTAGTATTCTTCTCACCAGTTAGGAAGGAAAGCCTCCTCATGGCAGGAAACGGATGGTTGCCACTGGTGTCTACGAGGTCTAACTGGTACACTTCACCGCGTATCCGGTAGAGCTTTCGATGAAAATCCTCAATCGTCGGGGTGTAACTTTCATCGAACTTGTTGGACAGGAATCTGAAATAAATAAATCAAATTTTAATTATTTCAATAATATAAATGTCTTGATGTCAACCTGATGCGAGCTGGTAAGTTCATTGGGGATTACTTTCCCGCGGGAAACAGTTTTTGAGCTTTCTTTCTCTCTCTCTCTCTCTGCTACCCCTGTAACAAAAATCTGGAACGAGAGCGATACGAGTGGAGTTTCGAGTTAGTCGGTGGCTCGTGAAATCCCTCAGCTCTTTTCTCGTCTAACGGCATTTTTTCTCGCTGGCTTTTATCCTTACTTTTATTTCCCGAATCCCTCTTTCGCTTCGACTAAGAGATAAAACTCTCCGCCGATTTTTTATATTATTTTCCAAGGCACTTTTCACTCAATCCGATTTTCAGGGCGATCTGTAGAGTGTGCTGCGAATGACAAGTCAAATTAATAAAATAACTCACCTGCTCACAATTTTATCTTTTGAATTGATCCGTCCATAAGTTACAAAGACTAAAATTAATTGACAGTTTTTTTTTTAAATTCGATTTGAAAAGGCAGATAAATATAATAAAGGGATAATTATTATCGATAAAAGAAGATTTTAGCTGGCAAAAATACAATTGATTATGATTTATTGACTATTAAAATAAAAATATCAGGATAACAGCCATTTCCGAGGAGAATTAACTGATGCGTGGAACATTCAACAAGCTGTGAATCCCCGATGAAAATTCCAAACAGTACCAAATACAAACGGAAGCTCACGAATGAGTTAAGCGATGCATACTACCCGTCAGGCGATAACGATACATTTCGACGAGTGGTCAAATGTGAGGGGATAGGACAGGTCCATCGACTGCTCGCGAATCCCATTGCGATTAGCAATAAAACATCCACCGATGAGCGACATCGTTGGAAAAATAATTTTTTTAGTAAACGTAAGAAATAATTTCCTCTGCAAACTTTGTTTTTTATTGATTGGCTTTTTGTTGTTTGATATTGTATTGTATTGTATTGTATTGTATTGTATTGTATTGTATATTGTATATTGATGGAATAAAACAAATATGGTATAAAATATTTTCCAGCAGAGGAGGAAGAAACCTACCGTGCTACAATGGCGGTTTTTCCGACCCGCGCGCTGCCGAGAACAAGGAGACGGTAGCAATTTTTGGGCAGCGGCTTGCACGAGTCCTCCTGGGAGGAAGTTGATGCAGGACTCGGACTAACCGGAACCGGGAGAATTGCATCCTCCGGGCCTGACGGTCCCTCGAGATCCTGAGCACCCCGTCGACCTCGTACTTGCCGGGGTTCGCTCTCCTCGACCGCTGATCTATTTCCACAGAGTCGCTGCACGCAACCAAACAATCGGCCACACGCCTCCAGCTGAAAGAAAAATTCGACATATTGCTTTTATATTTTTCTTTCTATAAATATCATGTTTTTATTTATATTTGTGGTGTTATTGTTCTTGTTTTGTTGCTTCGGGGCTTGATTAATTTTTCTATTATGAAAAAAAATTGTTAATTTTGGTAAAGAATTGAGGCAATTACAACGTTTTAATTTTTATTTCTTGGAAAATTAAATTAGCCTGATATGAAGAAAAATCAGAAAATTGTTGAATGAATTTAACAATTAACAACGCTTAATTACAGAAAAAGTTTAGGTATACTATTTTGATAGTGACTAAATTTATTGATCACGAAATTCAATTAATATTATCGGACTGGACGTCGATTAAAAATAACCCGATATCGTCCATTAAAAAGTTTTGACAGCAAATTTTGTCTGTTCCTTGTTGGCTTTTGTAAAAATTTATATATACATTAAGTAATATACCAATGAAAATTAGTTAATGATATTCGATATTTAACTTTTTATTATTGGTATTTCAAAAAATCTATTGGATTATTTCTGCTGCTCGACAAATATCGCTTAAACAAAAAGATTGCAACACTCTGTTATTTTAGAGTTTCAAGATTTATTTATATTTGTTTGAATTTTTTGATACTTTTGTGTCTATATTTGTTCTGGTTTGTAGAAAATATTAATAGACTTTTGAAAGAAAAGCTTTTCCATGCAATTTTTCATGTAAGAGTATTAAACTAACCAGAAAGAACAATATTAGGGGTACCTATAAATATTTCATTCGAAACAGTCAATATACAAGGGTAGGATACATGTAAAGAATTTAAAATTTTCTTTTAAAACATTTCTAGCGTCGTAGTTCTCACTTTGATCTATTTGATGTATTACGTGGTGCTTTGAACACACATGGAATTTTTTTTTTCATAATTTATTTATTAAAAAAATTAAATATCACCTTAACTTTAATGCTAGTGTAATTTTTAATGACAATTAACACCCCAATTTTAAAACAGTGAGTCATAGCTGGTTCGATCGAGTCCCGCGATAAGATTTATAAGAAAATGAACATTCCCTTTTATATATTAGACCTTTATCCTTTATGTATTATCAATGACGTAGCACGCCGAGCCTTATGATAGTGTCAAACAATTTTAATCCCCTAAATTAAACTCGAGTTTCCAACATTATAATGATTTTGGCTTACATTAAAATTGAACTAGAAATTTCAATTTAAGCTTCTCCCCCAGTTTTATCGTACAACAATCTTAATACCAAGTGTTTGTTTTTAATAAACAAACACCTTCTACGCCGTTGAAATTAAATATTTAAGTTTAATTTTTCACTAATTTTAATAAAATTAGTTTTCTTAATATTGATCAATGTCTATTTATATTAATTTAGACTTTTGTTTGCTGTCAAAAAAGTAAAAGTTTGGCAAAGTGATTTAGCAGCTTAATCGCCGAAGAATAAGCCAGAAATATATCTCTAATAAACTGGTGGCTTTTCTTAAGAAACTATTAGCGGGCTTTGCAAATTAACTTTGGCTTTCATTGGGGTTTGCTTTTTTGCTCATCGTCGGCCAAATATTATATTAAATAAACTTTGCCTTTCTCTGAATTCCACAGCGATGAACTTTATCAATTACGACACTGATGCGTTGCTGCCGTTATTATCTGATCGATAGAGTAATATTTCGTACATCCGACCTATATAATAAAATCATATATATATATATATATATATATATATATATATATATATATATATA